ACTTTTGATGATACTATGTAGTGCAGTGCCACATGAAGATTGAAGGATGAGTTGTTTCTACGTAAGAGAGGTTGATGTACAACACAACTCATAGAAATAACGAATGTCCAAAACTTGTTGTCTAGGCATCTCAAAAATGTGAAACTTAGAGCACTAAGATTTTGAAGCTCAAAATACATCAAAGACTCAAATATAATCCAACATGCCCAGAACATGTTGAGATAACATTTTTTTTGTAGGATTGGTAAATAGTTATTTTTAATTTAATTATTTATTATGTTTTAATAATAAATTATAGCTTGTTTAAGTGCTCACGTATTATAATGTCACATTTTTGCATCAATAAAATATTTTTATTTTCTCTAAAGTATTATATTTGCTCATAAATTCAAGCAACCCCTTTGGATGGAATGGGTGTTATTTTGATAGTTATAGATTGAAGGGACATCCAAATCAGCCCTTGCGGACCAAATGATGGAGGACCGAGGATCTCATGCCTAATATATTCTTGGTATGATTTCCACTACTTCATAAGTTCCATTGCCTCATATAACCTAAGAATCCTTATGATGGTAGAGTTGACGTAGAGTGAAACCATTAGGAACATCATTATGTATTTTTCTTATTAAAGATGAATTGACTCACCCAACTTGGAATGCCTGAAGGGGTCAAACAATTGGGCAGTCAATGTGTGACCTACAATAGGAAGAATTCAACTCCTAAAAAGAGCACGCCTAGAGGCCTAGCACCACAGCTATACCAAGATAATGCAATAGAAGCTATCATATCTTAAATCCACAAAGGGAAAAATCAGAATCCTTAAGCCCTAAAGTAGTGGGAGGGTAAAAACGATTTTTCTAGGTTGAGAAAAACCATTTTGCTCCAGAATATGTGCGTCCTTAAAGAGGCAAAAAAATAATTATTGACCTTCCATATAGCAAGTAATATTTCGTTTTACCAGCTTACAAGTACTTCATATACTATTACAAGTACTCCACTAAAACACACCTGCCCCAGGTGAGAAGGACGCTTCTACACTTTGTTATACGCTACAAATTTTCCGAACAGCTGCCGGAGGTAGACCACCTGAAGCCCACCTGAAGGCCACCCGAAGACCACCTGAGCACCGTATACTCAGACAGCGTATATGAAAAGAATGAAAACTAAAAGGGAAATGATAAGCAGTTAGTTGAGAACCGTGAATGACTTCCCTCCAATTTGATCGTTCTCTCCCACTAAAAGAAATGAGCTTCCGATCAAGAACAGGCACCAGATAATGTTTTGAACGGCCCAATCAAATCCCCCTCCCAACCCCAAGTTGATTGCAAGGCTTGACTCGGCGACAAACAGGATTAAGGGGCTACCCCCTTGAAAAGGCGGTTCCCAGTGGAGCATTGTATAAAATATTCAAGAAATTTTCCTTTTCAAGGGGCTAATCCTTTGAAAAGGCCGACTTCCCTACTAATATATATGAGTAATCTTCCTTCAAAATGGCCAAAAAAAATCTCTGATGAATATTAGTAATGTTGAAGACAAACTGGTCACTGATTTTGGGACAAAATATTGCCCACCAACTTCACTTAGAGATAAATACTGTGTCATAGAAATAGAAAGGTTAATTGAATATGGATTCATTACCCTTGAGACCAGAGGGTAGCTAACAAATTGAGATATATCGCTCTTAAGTCTGGAGGACTGGAAGAATAATTACCTCTGGCGATAACAAGGATCTATTGTGATAAATACTATATTTTTGGTACCAGAACAACTATCATGTTAGAGCCATAAATGGATTCTCGTCATCTTCCTTTAATACGCCTAATGTCCTTGTTATCACAATGAGAAAAATGGCAGAGGTCGTTTGGAGAGGTGGAAATCCTACAATGGCAGAAAGGAAGGGAGGATACTGATTGGCTGCAGCAAGTAGAACACAAGAAGTGAGAAAAATGGGTCTCATACATCTTAGGACTATCTACACACTTGAGGAGAAATAGATGTGCATCATGACCAGCCTTCGCAGTTGTTGGATGGCACATTTAACCCCGCTAGAGTCCGTCCAGCCTCACGTCCACGTTGTTGTCACCGGCCTGATTCGTCACCCACCAGAGTTGGGCCACCATTTGATACCCCTCTCCAGCCCCGGGGCCGGGTGTGGTCTAGGTCACTCCTTGCAAGTCTTCGGAGCGTGAAGCCTCTACTCGGTGAAGGAAGAACGGGAGTCAACTGGGAGCTTCCTTAGGGCCTTCAACAGAGGTGATGCTTATCTGGGGAACTCTCTCTTTCTCATGAACTCGGAGCAGGAGATGATTAACCTGGAAAGGAAAGCGTCATTCAGGGTTACTCGGAAGGGTGTGGTGTCCTGGATGACGATCTTCGCTGGCTTATGAGAAATCTGACCATGCCGATGGGACAGAAGCTTTTTAATGAATTTCCTGTGGTTCCTTCGACAAGCCTGCGAAGAAGTTCAGGTGAGGTGCGCTGAGGAAGCATTCGAAACTTTTAAGAAAATTCTGTCAGCGACTGTGACGCCAGACTACATGGCCGCTGTCTCTGTTCTCTCAGCATGCTCTCAGTTGAGGGACCGCGGCCATTATCGAATGGTACTACGAATGTGGAGGGTTACTTTAGCGATCTCCCAGTTTTGCCAGCGTGCAGCGCCCGAGGGAACAGTGAATGGCCCTCTTGTCTCTCTTCGTTTTCGTCCTGAGGGGTATTCTCGATCTTATATCAGTTAACTTGTCCTGAGAAGAGAACACCTTCAAGCGTTGCCCAAAGAAGAGAACACCGAAGAGGACAGTGTCTGGATAGAAGCCTGGTAATGTCTTCAGGATGACCTGGCTCAGTGTCTGCGCACGCACAGAGCTCTTCTGCATGTATCCGGCCAGATCTTCCCCTTGTGGCTGCACTCTTTTGGGAGCAGGGAGCGGGAAATGAGCTTCATCGTGGGCCAGAAATGCAATTTCCAACGTCTCCCCTCTCTCAGAAATTTCTATGCATGGCATGGAAAAAGCTTGAGGCAGGTATTCGGGTTGCAAGAGGCCGGCAGGCTATGAGGACAGCTTGCTCTTCATCCACGTGATGTTGAACTCTTGGCAATTGAACGACAAACAGATCTTACGGACAAATCATACCTCAGTACCCAACAGGCTTGGAGAAAAAAATGATCTCTTTCCTGGCTCTCTCTCTCTCTCTGTCGAAGCCGGGTAGCAGCATGCACCTTCTTGGATCCCCATTCTAAATCTAGAACAAGCCTAGATTGGGCATATTTTCTGGAGTACACAGCTACCAGCGGACATGAGCTCGCCATATTTGCTTACTGGTATGGAAGTCAAAAACTCATGCAGAAAGGGTAATTAGTATTCCTCGGTTTCCCAGTTTTTCCTTTGGAGGAAAATTTCCGAAAATCTCCATCGTCCTTCTCGCCTCTTGTGATAGTTGAAGATAAACGAGCAGGAGAAAAAATGGAAAATTTGCAGTCAGATACTCGAGTGCATATTTTCACTGTAAATCAGTGGAGAAAAAGATGGAGAGAAGAAATGCCGCGACCTAGTGGATTGAAGATGGCGTGGAGAGCCAGGGGAGGGAACTTGTCGTCAAGTCTAAGCTGTCTCGTTAGATCAGGAAGGAGAATCTTCGTTTGAGCAGTAAAATTTGAGCAAAGTTTTGGGAAAGAAGATCATAAGACCGTCGGAGAAACAGCGATGGAATCCACGAGTGGAGGCCCGGAGAGATCTCATGACTGGAGCTGTGGTCTTTCCCAGAAGAATCCCTGCAGTATTCCTGGGTCCCTCGCTGCTGAAAAAATAAACCCATCTCCACCTGGAAACTATAAATGGGATGGGTGTAAGAGCCCCCTGAGAGAGAGAGAGAGAGAGAGAGAGAGAGAGAGAGAGGCTTGTTTCCCTTGCGGACTGGGCTTTGAGGTTTTACGGCTGCTCGACCCATTTAACACCTCTCCAAAGAAGAGCATTCTTCAGCGCGTTTATAAAACTGCACCGGCCACAAATTCGTACCCTTTTCAAACTTGTGATCTTTAATTGGGAACTTCGTGAATGGAGGAACCCGAACCCATACGAGAGAGATTTACCTCCCCTTCCTCTCTCTCTCTCTTGCTCTATCTCTTTTTGTCCGAGCGTGGAGGTCAACCGGTGGAGTTAATTGAACTTGAAAAGGAGTTACACAGCCAGCCCATCAAAGGGTGTGCGGTAGGGGGGCGGGGGCCGGGGCGAATTCAATCCGCAGAGTATCCGAGAGGATTTAATGATCAAGCTGCTTGCAGATGTCCACAGTGCAGAGGCAGCCAACCGGGAATTGAATCCCACCCCCTGCCTCTCCTCAGCAGAGGGAGGGAGCCAGGAGGAGGGGGAATTAATGGTGAGTTGCCTCTGCGTGTCCCTATCGACTGTCGTGCCGAGTTCATTGTCAATCAGAACAACGAGGAAGCCTCGTCGGTGTTCCCCCTCACCCCTGTGCTAGCTAGCGCTCGGACATGGAGGGCGGGCCGGATGAAGAAGACCCCGTCGAGTTGCAGACAATTCTAATGGCGCCCGCCATCCCCAGACGAAGACGACGACAAGATGACGAAGAGGAAGAAGAAGAAACTTGAGGAATGGGAGGAGCGGAGCCTCGGAATCACAGAGAAGAAGTCAATACCCGAACCATCTGGCCTTCGCTGCAAGGGCAGAGAGAGAAAGAGAGAGAGATAGAGAGAGATAGAGGAAAAGGAAGATTGTGATGCTCAGGCAGCAAAGACGAGAGAGATGAATCGATGGCGCGTTCTTGACTCCCTCCATCGGACGACGAAGCCCCCCGGTTCTTCCAGCTCTTGATGGCAGCATTCATGGCGAACCCACCAGGACAACACAGGGCCCCGATTAAAGAGCTCCCTTCGTCTTGAATGCTCCACCATCGACAGCCCCTCTGAGCGCATCCAATCTCGGAGTTAAGCGGAGAGAGAGAGAGAGAGAGAGAGAGAGAGAGGCCGGTGGAGACCCGGCAGCTCAGACGACGGGGCAATTCAAGGCGGCCTTTATCTGCTGCACGGTGGTGCTGATGAGGTTGTTCACTGTCCCCACGGACTCCATGTTCAGCTTGGCGGATGGCAGGCTGCTGACTAGTATCTGGAACGCCACTGTGACCAAGGACCCGTTCCCTCCGGAGAACTCGCCCTCGTCGGAAACTATGGCGAACCCCGACGGCAGCAGCGGCAACCGCGAGGGGTCCTCCCCGCTCATCACGACGTTGATCGCCGGGATGTCGATGGGGGCATAGACCACCAGGGACCCCGAGGGGTTGGTGCAGCTCTCCTGGAGTATCAGCATTGTGCTCTCGCTGGCGTTGAGGCCCTGCGCCATTCGCTCATTCGCCCAGGTCAAATCCTGGAAAACCGACTGAAGAAGAAGAAGGAGAAGAAGCTCACCCGCAGGAGAGAGATGCAGTTCCTCGGGTCCTGCCCACTGGAGATGTGGGCGACCTCTTGCACCGAGTTGCCATTGGAGAGAACGTCCCACTGCGAAGATGAAAAGAAGAACGCAAGCTGGAGAGAGAGGGGAAGGGAGATGCCCTTGAAGATTCAACTATAGGGAATTAGGGCAGGGAAGCACCTGAGGGCGAGTCTGTTCGTTGCTAAGGAAGCCGAAGACGATCTCCGGCGGGATGGGGAGCCATACCGAGGTGGTGGCGCTGAGGACGACGCCGTTGGGTTGGCCAGGGTCCACGCTCCGGTGGACGGCGACTCGCACGCCGACGTCGTCCGGCCCGGAGAGCGTGGTCGTCCACCGGTGACCGTCCCCGGCGCTCATGCTCGCGCAGAAGTTGCTTACCATTCGCTGAGAAAGCTTCATCATGCTCCGCTTCCCGTCGCCGGAGAGTGCGCCTGGTGCAACCAACGATGATCCACCGAGGTCAGAGCTCATCTTCTCCGAGACGACCGGAGCTGAAGATAGGCGCCGCCAACAAGAACCACCCTACCAGAATCGCCGCCGTGGGTCACGGAACAGGCGGACCACCGCTCGCAGCTCCTCCGGAGGGTAGCCGCCCACCGCTGGGCCCCGAATGCGACGCCCGTCATGACGAGCCCTCTGTATAGCTGGTGGATCGGAAATCTCTCTTCCACCTCCACATGCTCGACCCAAGTAATCTACGATAAGTAAATTCACATATTTGATCTGTGATCTTACCACTGAAGAACATACATAACTAGAAGTAAAATCGAAAGAAGCTGAGATCTGCTACAGATTGATAGAATCTAGAGGAGTTCGTTCACACCTTCGAATATCCATTAAACATGTCTTGAATTACGCAGCCCGATGGAAGCTTCCAACAGCGAGGAGACGCTGGAGATGGGTTTGCTCGGGAGACGTCGGCAATGGCCCATGTACTCTGATCGATCTGTCGGCAGTAACGCAGGAAGAAGAAATCCCGGGGAGAGACAACTGGGGAAAGAACTTGCAGCTCCCCGTACATCTGCGTCGATCAGCGGATCAGAAAACGGGGACAAGCGTAGGTCGAAGACGACGGCGGCGAGTTCCGAGGAGTACCAGCAGCAGAGACCCACTTCTTCCTCCGATCCCACTCGAAAGGACTTCGATCGTCCTCGACTTCGAGACGATCGTCGGGAACAGCTCCATCCACTTGCTCTGCAACCAAAGGGCGCCCAGGTTACTCCGAACTCAGATCCTCCAAACTGATTGGTGAAGACCAAGAAGAAGAGAGGAGGTATTTACCGAATCCATTAACATGTCGACCAGAGACACGGCGGTTGTCATGGCTACGCAGGAGGCCCTGGAGGCCTCCTGGCGCAGATCTGGATCCCTCGGCTGGTTCCTCGCTCCAGTGAAGATCCTGTTGTAGCTCTCCGAATCGAGGATCTCCCTGTCGCCGTTCTCCGATTTCGTCCACAGCGGCTCCTCCGCTTGGACTAACCTGATCAGCTCCGCCATCGCGCTGGAGGCCGCGTCCTCCATGAGAGACCTCTCCTCCTCGGAGATGCCAGCCGATGGGAACGACCGCGGTGGAGCTGAAGGGGAGCTCCCAGACAAGAGATCAATGTCCAGGGACGGGGCATGAACGGGGGAAACGCCATGGCCTCCGACTGATAAGCTCAGCGAGGAAATGGGGATCCGGTGGGCTCGTGGGAGATGGGGGATCGGACTTCCCAGGTTCTTGGAGGCAATGCTGGAGATTCTATACAACTGCAACTATGCAGAACCCGTCACATGGCTGTGGCTGTGATCATCGGTGGGATGAAAAGGGAGTTCCTGGTTCTGACCTCATCTTTCAGTCGGGCATTCTCCAATCGGAGCTTTTCTTCGTCGAAGAAAGAGTCCTCCGCATCGGGAGGGCCGCTGCAGGTTGGGCAGGCGACTCTCCTCAGCGCCTCTTTCATGGCGATGTTCTCGCAGCGGATCCTGTCGTTCTCCGCCCGCAGAGAGGAGTTGTCCGCCCTCTCGTTCTGAGCCTGCGAAAGGAAGCAGGTCCCCCATTCATGAATAGAAAGAACGAACGGGGGTGGGGGGTGGAAGAGGTCGATGGAGGTGAAAAAGAGGAGCAAACCTTCATCTGCGTCCGCCTGTTCTGGAACCAGAACTTGATCTGGCGGGGTTCCAGCCCCAGCTCCCTGCTCAGATGCATCCTCTGCTTCTCGTCCGGGTGGGGGCATTCCTTAAACATCCTGAAAACAGACGGGCCTTCCTGATCTAGGTCGCCTCGACTTCCGAAAGGAGGAGACAGCAGAAGGACAAAGCGCAGAAGAGAGAGAAAACTCACGCTTCGAGCGCCTGTATTTGCCTGGGGGTGTGGCGGTGAAAGCGCTTCTTCCTCTGCGAGGCGGATGCATCAAGGTCGTCGCTGGAATCCATGGCCGCCACAGCAAGAACTCCTCAGAACCACCACCCGTGGGCCAGTAAACACAGCTCGTCAGCTCCTCCTCGCCTGGAAACACTCCCGCTCTGGTTCATCTGAGGCGGAGAACCGGTTGCAGAGCACAGAGAAAGACGGCGGCGGAGGAGGCGGCAAAACCCAGAGAGGAGAGAGGTGGCAAGCAGGCGGGATTATGGTTCGTGGTAGGGGTGGTGGTGGAGGAGAGGGATGGCGAGTAAAAATGGCATCTTCCCCCATTCTCTCTCCGCAATTAATAGCCAGAGCCTCGCCCTCTCTCTCCCTCTCTCCATTCTAAATGCCTTCTCTGCTCCCTGCAGTTCCGCACGGCGGTACGGCGGGACGGCAGGGGCGGCATCCCTCCGCCTCCTCCGTCGAAAAGGGAAACCAACGGGAGAAATCGAGGTCGTCCGCATCTGTCACGGCGGTGATCACCACCCCTCCCCTCCATCCTGCTCTCCACAGTGAGTAAGATCAGCAGTATGGAGTGTAGAGTGAGCGAGAGAGCGAGAGAGAGAGAGAGAGAGAGAGAGAGAGAAACTCAGGTGTTTTCGAACGCAGGAACCCAAATTCGCACTGGCTAATGTCTTAAGCTCAGCTCTCTCTCTCTCTCTTGTGTACTACGGCTCTTCCCTCCCTCCTATCTGTCAATGGCGGGTAAGGGGTCAGTGTGCCGGCCGTCTTTCCCTCCTGGGCGTTGACCGATGGTCCGATGCCAATAACTCACCTTCCGTCGGCCGACGCGATGGCGGCGGCGCCGTCGCTGCGTCGAACTCCGAGGCGCGTACGCCCAGGCTTCCGATTACAACCGTCGCTGAAGATGCCGACGTCTCCGTGACGTGGACGACAAGTAGATGATATTTTATTATATCAACACATAGACGTTGGGATCTTATGAGCACAATTTCTTTATGCGTACGCCAGCTTAGTCAAGACCACCGTAGAAATGCCCCTCCAATAAACTTGTAGTTAGTGGGTTGATTTCATGAGTTGGCATAGTTATCACTAAATCAAAATAGAAAAGAGATAACTTACATGTAAAAAACGTATGTTAATTCATGAGTCTACATAGCTACACAAATAAAATTTTAGGAGAAATAAATGGGGATTCTAGAAAAAATATTTGAGATGTAAGACATCCTACTAAGCTGATAAATCTATTTGACACATCCTACAACTTAAATAAAATCTCACACTGATTAATCTATTCACTAAGTCAAAACCTGGTCAAATAAGTAGTTTGGTTATGTAGATTGTTGTGAAGGTTTACAAAGTATTTGACTTAGATTATCTTTGATGGATCAAATTTAAAATTCTTGAATTATAATGGTCAAATTACAATGAAAAAACTGTCTCAAGCGCTTTCCAATGATTCCTCAATAACATCAGTTTGCGTCAAAATTCCGTCTCCATTTTCTATTATGATTGTAACTTCACCATATCTTTCTAAGGCATTCAAATGTCAAAAAAATCAATCAAGTTCATCCTCAAGTTTAAGATTTTTTTGTAAGTCTCTTATTAGTATTATGTAAAATTATTGTAAAGAGTGTTGATAACAAGGGATAAGAAGCTAAGCTAATAAATAAATGCTTAATATGAGGAGACAACTCTGAAATCAATCATGTGGTTCTTTAAGCGGGAATAGTCTAAACAAAGAGCAGAAATCTTTGGTAAGTGGACATAGGTCTAGGAAGGCCAAACCATTATAAAATGTGCCTATTTTTATTCAGATCTAATATTTTGATCTTGTGTATCAACTCAATCTAGTCAACCCAACTCATATTTACTTAGTGTGTGGACTCAACTAAATTTGTGTCAACCCACTGAGTATAAGATAAAAAAAACATGATAAAACTAAAAAAAAGTGAGAATATTTTAAAGAATCAATTAACTAGCCCACTTGAGGAGCAACAATTAATAATTATACTCAAGAAGTAACTTGAATGGCAACAAATTGGAAACTACAAAGTAACTTGAAGTCTAGCTCTAAATGAGGAGAAGAAAAAGAAGACCTCTTAGCCCTCTCTCACCAAGAACACTAGTCCATTTATTCTAGTTCTCTCCACACCTAGCTACTTTCAGTCCTAGATGGAACTTCCTTCAAATATTTACCTTTCCCCTCAATCGTACACATTGGTATTCATGGGATCAGCCATCCAAATGACTTGATTTTGTCTCAATGGAGACCCAACCTTTTGTGAGGAAAATAGAGCTACTAGTGCCTCATGCTTTTGCCCAAAAAAATCTCCATCCACCACCTAGTTATCTTAAGGCCTAGTGGAGAGCTAATATTGTGATGGGTGAGTCATTCGTAACAATAAGATCATAAAATTAACAAAGATAACTCAGTATACTATGTTTGGGACATATATAAATATTTTTTTTGAATTTTGGCCCATACTAAGATCAAGAAAGGGGGTTGAATAGATCTATTTTTTTCTCTTTTTTCGTTCTTAGATAAGGTTTCTTAGAATTCATTCTTCTCTTAGGATGATGGGTCAGTGGATATTTCAATTCACTATTCTACATGTGGTTCAGCCAACTACTAACGTCGACTATCTAAGAACATTATTGTTCTTTGGTTCTATTACTTATGATTGTCTAATCACAATCGTTGATTAACAGGTTCAACTTAAAGTTTTACCTAGAATCTTTTTTCTAGATTCACAACTCTAGGATGCCACATCATTGATTATTAGGCTCAGCTCCCATGAAATTTTATCCGAAAATTTTCTTTTGGAGTCACAACCCTAAGAGGCCACACTACTATTAATAGAAAAAAATCCCACTTCTGATAAATAAAACTTTAGTATCATGTTTATCTCATACTAAATAATAAAGATGTCATCATGGGATGATTTCTAGAAGACAATGTTGACTCAAATTGTGTCTTGAATGTTGATGAAGAGGATGGTGATAAGGCATGATATTTCTTGTCTTCTTCTCATTATAATATTGGTTGAGGATGGCCACTGAATGCTTGAGTAATTCTCCTCAACTTGATGTCTTGATGTAGTTTGACTAGCCATCAATGATCTCACAACTTTCTTTAGATAGTTCTATAGATAAGCTCAATATAACTCTTGAAGTTGTGGAGCAGTTAAAGATAGGTGTTCAGCTCTAATTAGCCATTAGAAAGCTATGGTAATTATAGAAAATTCTAATTCAAAATCTCCTCCTATGTTATGTTATTTGACAACAGTAATATTTCTAAAAATGATTAGAAATTCAAATATTTGGAAAACTAATATGATATGCCCTTTATAAGTTCAGATATCCTCAAGAGAGACTAATACGTGATTCTTTTAAAACACAATATACTATCTGAATCAAATTGATTGAATTAAAAACTAGTAAAGATCTAATATCATTAAAATATGGTTAATAATATGTATCCTTAGAAAATATGATGATTTAGAAATAAAATCTTATTCAAATCACCTCAAGTAAAATACAATCATCAATTTAACATTCTGAATAATGATCTCAATATTTGTAGTCATTATTTTGATGATTCATGATATCAAAAATGATTTTTTAAAGTATATTACTCAATATCTAGAAAATCATGTTTGACTAAATAAAAAAATCTGAATTCAATCAATTAGAATGATATCAAAATTATTTAAAATTAATGATCTAATACCACATGTATATAATAGACTAAGCTTTCATACTCATATTTTAATTTTTGTTGTCTCGTTGATTCTGATGTGTTTACCATTACATTTTCACTATGACAAAAAATATATTATGTAAAGATTGACATCTTCCACAACTATGAAACATGATGATTTTATATGATGAAATTAGTCAAATATATAAATTCAATATTACTAATTAGAAGTACACTCAATGAATTCTTATCTGAATATTTAATAGTATTATTTTGAATGATATATGAGTGATTTAGTATTATCCATATGTCAAGTATATTTGAGATTAGGCATAATTCAATATTTTATTTCATTTTATGAATATTTTTCGTCATTATAACATCATTCATTTGATGCTCCAATATAAATAATCATCAATTAAATAATTACTTATTAACAAATTTCCATTTGTCATTATTAAAACCAAGGGCATCAGCATAGAGATGAACCATGAGCTCAGTCTTTGCACAAGACACCATGTAAATGAGAGAAGGCCCCAACTTATGATCTCTTGAAGAGATCTATATGAATGATGGCATCCAAATCGTCCATTGATAGCACCATGAAACTAAAAAATTGATAACCTTGATCTGGTCTCCCCTCATGACAACATTAGACTTAATCAAAATGTTGTGAGTATTCTTACTATTGATTATTGTGAGGGTGGGTTGACTGTATTGATTACATCTATGCGGATCAGCCTGGTCATGCTATTCTTGTTGGTATCCTTGCATAATTAAAACATACTTTTAAACTAAAGGAGGTTCAGCGTATGTGTGTTGCTGTCTAATGCCATCTCTTGTGCTGCCATTGTATTGGCAGTGCCTCAAACCAATTACTTTGGATAGTCCTTCCCCCAATGAGGACCCTCACAAGTGAAGCATCAACTTTGGTTTTTCCTACTATGTCATAGTAGTCTTGGATTATCCTTCGCCCTTGCCAAACTCTTGTCCATAGTTGTTCCCGTGCTGCTTTTTTGGATTGTCACAGCTGAAATTGCTGTGGTCTGCTGGCTTCTGCATCCTAAAATTTAGTGTCAGCATTGAATATCCACATGATGTTGTTATTGCAGTCTATGAGGGAATTGGCCATTGGTATGGTCCCTTGCAGATCTCTTACCCTTTTACTTCACAACTTTACTTGCACTCAATGCTATAACCCAACCACAAAGCCAAAAAATTTATCTTTGTTCAACAAACTTTTAATGTCTAAGAGGAATATGAATTGCTTAACATACTTCTGCACATAGGTTGGCACAATTTCTCTTTTTTCGAATTTGGATGAGTCAACATAACTTTTCTAGGTCAACACACTTTCTATGTCTTCTTCAGTCATGGATGGGTAACCTCCATCTTTTTCTCAATATTAAAAGGTCAACACATGTTTCTAGGTTGACACATTTTCTCTCTCATCAATTTGTCCTTCTAAAAATTTATCCATTTGTTTTGATTTTATTTTTCTTCCCATGTATATATTTGATTCTCTTTTTTCTGTATTAGGAAAAAAAACAAATTTAACAACAAAGAGGACTATATCTAATTGTCTAATCTTGATCCTTATGTTACAGTAGTGATAACATATTTTACCAACATTTTTTATCTCTTTGTGATTACTTGTGAACATCAAAAACTTAAACCAACAATCAATCCATTTTTTGTGTAAAGAAAATCTTTGGAAAAATTGTTTCATCACAAATATTTCTTAGCATTGATTTGTGGAGAATGGATAATGTAATCAAAATGTGAACTTTCAAAGGTTCAAGTGGAGACAACTGGATTACTAGAGTTATATGCTCAAAGAATTGCTATTCCTTACTAGGTAGATGCCATCCTTTATTATGTACTCCCTTTGAATATGCACATGATATTTTTGTCAACATCAAAAATTCGTGGTACATGAAAATCGTGAAGACGAATGCATGTTGACTCAATCAAATTTGTATTTAAATGCAATCACCACTTGTCTTTCATTTTCTTCACTTGATCTTCAACTCATTCAAGGACATGAAGAATTTCATCAAGAAAGTTACAAAAGCCTTGTTGGTGAGAAGAAGAGAGAATTGTGTTATACTTGGGAAGGTATTAGATTTGGCGAAGATGAGAGGGTTGATATCTTTGGATCCACCAATAATTTTGGAGAGTATAGTTTATTTGGATAAGATTATAATGACCTACAAGATCACGAGGATGAAAGGGATGATGTTCCTCTTCCTTGATAGATTATTATAGAAAGTGTACTACTATATGCAGTATGATTAAGGCTAGAGGTAAAATTATAGAAATTATTTGCCTAAATTGTTTCATTTTTGTTGTAAAAAAAGGACTAAGTTTATTGTGAGTTCAATGAAGACTTTTGTAAGCAGTAAATTCAACACTCTAATTAATCAAAATATGATCAATAAGAATATAAATTACTATAGAATGGATGGAAAGTTTAATAACATTGATTTTGGTGGATTCAAATCAACAATGCTTGTAAGAAACGTCAACATTTGTGAAAATTTCTCAGCTTTTGTAAACATCAAAACTAGATTGACTTGAAAAGGAAAAAAGTCATAACTAATATCACAAAACTATCCTATTGATTTTGCTTTTTAATTTTCATCTCTAGATTTCTACCTTAAATTTCAAAACTATGAAAGTTCTACCTAATAAGGTTGAAAACTATGAAAGTTTTGATTTCATAGAATATAAATCCTTAGAAGCATGTGGTATGACACATTGGTTAAAGAAAGAAAACACAAGCAACCAAGAGGGCAGGAGAATCATTCATTTTTTATTGCCCATGAATCATTGGTTATTTCATATACATAATCAACAAAGAGACTATTGGTCTGACCCCTTGGCTTACACCACTCTTTAAGGACCAAGTTCTTAGGTTATACTCTGTCTTTAGCATTGGTCTTATAGTAGACAAAATAAAATACAAAGGAGGGGGGGAGAGGGATAATGGGCTCTTTAAATATTCTTTAGCTTGAAAATTTTCTCTTGATCTTTTATTTAGTTGGTTGACATATATTAGATTACCTAGCTAAGTTGATTATAGTAGTTCGGCCTTCTTTAGCCTCTGTCTACTGACTATGATTTCCATCCATAGCTTTCACTATATATTAAAAGGAACTATAGCTGAAATTCAATGAATTTATGAATTAAAGTAATGATACATTTCACCAGTTTATCTCTCTATGCTACTAAGGCACTAGCTTGTCTCTCCTCTCTAGTTATAGAAATTTCTTAGAGTACTTTCACATATAGAAATGGTGGCAGGATACTTAAAATCAATCTTGAAGTCGTGAGGATGAACTTTATTGAGTTATGAATAAATGAAAGCGTTAGTGAGGTTATAGTTATAGCAGAAAGTGGATGAGAAAATTTGATAGGAATATAACAATTGATGTGTCATTAAACTTTACTTTCAAACTCCTAGAATGAGTTTTTTATTTAGTTAAAAAACTTGAGATTTAATCAATACAAAAAATGTCTAGGTTGACCTAGATGTGACTTGTAGTGAAACTCACAAAAATAGAGTATCCATTTGACTAGCATTAAAATAGGTTGCCTTGGACACCATTAGCATAAGGTTTTCTCATTTGATTTTTATTATGATTTGTCAAGATACACTACGATTGGTCAATAATAGTCTCCTACATGCCAGGTTGTTCTAAGATGCTTGACATATTAGGTATCTTATAGATAATCTTTTTTGCTCTCTCCTAAAATTGATTTTCATGTAGTTGGATTAACCCTTGGATTGACACACCAAATCTTTTATAGTGCATTCCTCCCTTTCTTTTGACCCAACAATTGTAGTGTCAACTCACCTAGGTTGACCCATTGGGCAGCCTAATAAGGGCTAGGGTCAATATTTATTTTTGAAATACTTTTTCTTTTTTATTTCAGCTTTTTATTATATCTCTTTCTTGATGGTTCCTTTTGCTAAATTGTGCATTAAAAACATAATAAAATAAAAAATAGACTATATCTAATAATTAAGATCTTCGTCTAGACATTAGTGGAAAGTAACATATTTACCACAAAAATTTCTTTTTATAGATTATGATTAATTTTCAACATCAAAACGTTTAAACCAACATTTAGTAGGATATACACTAAACACAGTTTTAACTAGTTTTTACTAGATTTTAAAACTCCATCAGAACAAAGTATTTCCTCTAAATACTTTATTTAGACTATGGTCCTAAGAGGTCAACTCAATTAGCATCCAACTAACCTCATCTTGATTAATGGCTCTATGTTGGCTCTATTAGTAGAATTATTCAAAGACAAGAAACGAACAAACTATAAATGCTCATACAAAAAAATAAAAATGAGGACTAGAAATATTTCAAGACCAAAAATGAGCTTAAACCAAAATAAATCCACATCAGCTTTCAATTTTAAGTGATTATTTCGATGTTATATTATTTAACATTGCTTCTATAACTGATCTAATTTTTTGAGAGTTAAAACTAATTTTGACCATCTAAAGGCTAGGATATTGTAAGAGGAGATAAATCATTATGAATTTTCTTCCTCTTTGAGAGATATCTTTCGCTTGTGGATGCAAACAACTATTATGGTTTCAAGGGATAGTACTTTGATCCTTGTTGATTCAAGGTTCTATTTCTGTTTCATATAGCTTTTGTTGAGCCAGCTGGGAAAAAGCATTAATTTAAAAGTTGACACTAAAAAAAAAATTATTCATAAGACATCAAACCCATGAAATCTCATGAAATCCTCGATGATCAAATGAGTCTACTCTTCAGCAGCCAGATGATACATTGTCGCACCACAGAGGATTTAATATAATTAATGATTAAGTTATTTTAAGATCAGAAAAAGATTTGACCTATTTTGACTGATACTAGAATGGTGCGGAAATGAAGAGGGAGAGAAAAAACAGAGAGAGAGAGGAAGAGGGAGAGAGAAAGAGAGATGGGTTATGGTTTGGAATTGGCTAGACACGGCCAGAGCTTTAGAATCACTAATCCGTACATTCTGAAGATGGCCTATGTATCCCCACGGCACAAGAAAGAAACCCAGTTTTAATGCTTTTGATTATGTCCGGGAGCTTCTTCTCCTGAAGGCCCTGTCTAGGCCTAGCATTGCAGTCATTTATACTCCGTCGTTATTTATAAAATCATGCCTTCGGTGATCTGCGCCTACTTGGCCCTAAAGCTTTGGGCTATCATGTCACCATTTGGCGAACAGTGACATGCTCATAAAAATAGACCCTGTTAACATCTTCGACCTGCGAAAGATAGAGGTGGAAAGAGGCAGCAGAGGAAAGGAGATAGAGGAGGGCCGTAAAGGCTTAGAGAGAGATGGGTATGGGGGGGGGAGCGGGGGGTTGAGGGGAAGGGCCTTCTTGGACTACAATCGATTGATGCTTGTTTTACAAGAGGTCTTGGAGTTCTCCTTTCATAGGAGTTCCGGAGGCCCCCAGAGTTCCGAACTGATGCTCCATGGGAAAAGTTAGGCAGCCATTTGCTTGAGACATAGCCAACGAGACATGGTCATTCTTGAATGCAGATGGTTGAGAGTTCCCATTATAAGGCCATGGATCAAGGAGACAGTCATTCTTGAATGCCGATGGTTGAGAATGCCAAGAAGACTCTTTCAGGAATGTCTGAGAACAAGAATTAGAAGTGGAGAGTGAGAGGATCAGAGAAGAAGGAAGCCGAGAGAGTGCAAGGGTTGAGATATAGAAATAGTGGTCCAAAATATTCTGACGATTACCCAGATCTCCGGGAGACGAACAAGGAAACCCATTTTTAAGGCCTCCGCCAAGAAACAGGGATATTCTGAGGATCTTTCTTTCACTGCAATCTTTTTTTCTTGTTCAGTTTTGAAAGTATCCTCGGGCATTTGGGGCTAATGAAGCTTCTAACCATTATCACCATTAGACCTTGGCAATCTCAATTAAACACTCTTACACGAACTCTGAAGTGCCTGGTAAAGCCAAGCTCGTTGGACATTTTCTGCAAGTACTATTCCTCTTCTGGTTGTTAGTGTGAATCGACAAGATTGGCCGACGGACCAGATCCCGAATCAAAAAGTCATGTTGACATTTTACCGAATCTTTGATGGAGGAGGTAAAACATGCATGCTACTTCTTGAATGGCTCAAGAAGATAACGCTTATATAAAGTATTGTTCAAGGTTTATCCATTGATGGAGATAGCATAGGATTCATTTCTCTCCCACGAGTATGCTTGCATATTTTATCACAATCTTCCCTGGTGTGCTCACATCTGCCTTTTCTAGTACCGCAGCAGTAGCATCTTACTCCACCTTGGCACTTCAGTCTGACGCAAAGGATGATGTTGAGCTTGCGATCTCTAACATTTGCCAACATCTTACGTGCCCAAAAGTTTGCTTTTAATCCATCTTCTAGTTCACTGCCTTTCGCATCTGTTATGTGAAGAGAAGAATCATAGAAATAAAGTACTAGAAAATAAGAAACTCTTCTTCGGTATTTCAAGTTCATATCCAGAAAGACAGCCTGAGCCGCTTAACTTCTCAACGATTAGGGGAGAAGGAAAATTTAATCTGACATCACGGTTTTGACAAATAAAAGAAGAAACTGATTAATGAAAGTTTGGCTGAAACGAAGTGAGACTAGGAAGTGAAAATATCGAGAAGATGTTAAACTACAATAATAAAAACATTCAAACGGTGATAGATAATCGCAGTGAATCTTCAGAAAAAATGGAGGGATAGATGCATTATCACTTAAAAGAAATAGGGACAAAAACAGGGCGGCGAGGACGAGGTATCCCAAACTGCCGACCCTCGACATGATTCTTCAATGCAGATTCCGCCAGGATGTTCCCACTATAGTCCTCATTTTATACTATCACGCAGAAGACTCGTGCAAAACGACAGATCTCTTCTCAAAGCATCCAGTAAATGCCAGATATTCTCTCATTATAACCTTCCGATTTGAAAGGATATGATATCCCTTATATCTTGCTAAATTTAGTGAGTCATAATTCGGCAGTAATATTCGACAACGCGCTCCTCTTGAGCGATAATTAAAAGCGGAATCTTCTTGAGATCCGCATCTATTTTATGTGTGAACTTATAACGTCTGATAGAAGGGGGAGAAAAAGAGGGGGAAATGGAGCGGGGGATACGCAAATGATGCTTGGGATTTGGTATCCAATGAAATCTCTTAATAAAATTGCAGCAATATTTGCAAGACGTGAGACCTATTAAATATTTGATAAACTATAGTTGTCAATCCATTGCAACGAGACAGTCGGCGCGTCCATTAGGCAAGACCCGGACGACAACGTTATGGGTGTCGGTTGGGCATGGAAAAAATACTCCCATCTTTAATGCTTGATATTTGAATGAAGCAAAGGGGAAGAGATGGGGAAAGAGGAGGGAGGTAGGAGGAGCTAAAGGCATACCGTGCTTCAAGATATCATGTTCAGAACAAAAGTCTGATGGATAATAGATAAAGATCTTTACAAGGTATGAGATCCATGAATGTATATTGAGTCCTTTCGACCAGACAGAAACGAGTCTAATTACATCCATTACCGGAGGCATAGGCCGGATTAATTCTGGAAGCCTAGTAGTTAGGTGTGGCCAAAATATTCGTCATTTAACATACTAGAATGCCGCAGGCGGGAGAGCCCCGGGCAAAGAGAGAGGTGAGAGGGAGGAGATTAGGTATGCCTTCAGTGAGATGTGACAGTTAAGATTTTTGCCATTCTGGCCTTATCCACTGATCCTCAGAATCATCAGTGTAGAGACAAAAATCCACGATATTAAGTGAATACGTTGTCTAACCTTTCTTACACTCTGACGAGCTTATAAATTGAAAAGAAAAGGCGATAGTTCTTATTGAAGGGAATATACGTACATGGCACTTATTTCATCGCTCATCTAGAGGGCGATTGTCTAAACGGCTATTCATGGCTCAAGCACTGATGGATATGCCTCACTACCGATCGCTGCATCAGGTTTGAGTTTGCACATGTGGTCGCACTCTTTCCTTGTATACCTGCATTTGTTTCCTAGGCCCAAGCAGCAGTAGCATCTTACATCGCCGATGCAATTTCTCTTGATGCAAAAAGAGATATGGATCTTCTTATCTCCGCCATTGTCTAACAGCTTACGCACCAACGAGCTTGATGCCGATCCACCTTCTTCCAGGTCACTCCCGTTCGCATCTGCGAACAACAGAAAAGAATTATAGGAACGAATGACCTTCGTATCACAGGCATCCTAGACGAAGAAAATATGAAAAGGTCTCTCACTCACGGTAAGAAAACTGAGACAGCAGCAGGATGGCGAGGACGACGTAACCAAGATTCTTCACCCTCTCCATGACTCTTCCGGGAAGATGCTACGAGTGACATGACTGTATGTGCACCTTTTATAGTACTTTTTCTGAGATTCTTATCCAAATGGATGGTAGTGTTTCTCAACACGTGTCGAATGGAAGGTTTTCTCTCTTTCTAGATATCAGATTTTGAAGGATATGATATTCTTTTGAATCTTTAGATGTTAAAGACTCATAAGCTGGAAGTAAAAATATTCAGGTGCATGTAATTTTTTGCCTCAAAAATGAGCACCGCGCGGTTTTTGCTGACAGATTGACCGGATTACTCGCTGTTAAGAACTCAAGACCTATTCTTCAGGAATATCTCAACAACTTTGCGGAGAGGTCGAACCGAACGGGCATGTTTGGGGTCGTCCGCTCATGCGTAGCAGGCGACGTACGCTTCTAACGCCGGGCACTCCGTCGAGCGTTCACACAGACGAGTCTGCCGAGACCGTTCGGACTCATACTCCTACTGTTGGTCCGCATGGCTCCCTCGTCTAGAGGAGCTCCCGAAGTAACTGCCGCACGACACCGTGAGAAGGGGGCTTCTGTTTCACACCAGCCTACCTTCTCTCTCCACCGGTTTTTCCGTTTCTAAGCTCATCGTGGTCTCTTTGCTTTCCTGGCCTTCAGTTTCTTCTGTCCACCTTTCTTGTAGTCATTGTGTCCAAAGAAAAAGTGAGGGGCAGCAAGAAAGAAAGAGACACAAAGAGAGAGAGAGAGAGAGAGAGAGAGATTCAGATAGACAGACAGTTGGGTATTAATACCTAGGGGGGATCGTTTCGCCGGATGCACTATCGCGAAGAAAATGGATCAAGGGGAGAGATCAAGATCTAATGGTTTAGAGAACGGTTGCCACATCGTGGGAGAGCTAGAGTGGGACTCTACAACTGTAGACATAAGAATGGAAAGAGGACATTCAAGAGGAATCAATTTTCATCCTCAGGACAACATTAAATAACCCATCTTTCTCCACTAGTTGCACTTTTATAGACTTCTAAATCTTGAATGAGCCTCATCCACAATCCAACGCTCTCCACGACCCAACAGCAAGAGAAACCTTCCAACTCCCTTTCTAGCTCGCAGCCATCGAGACACGTGACGAACGAGGAACAAGAGAAACATCTTAAAACTGACATGTTATGCGACTCTGCAAATTCCCAGTACAAAAGAGTAACCTTTATTGAGAAAACAACGACCAAGTTGTCTGGTTATCCATTGGTCGTCTCCCCGAATGCAAATTCAAGGTTTGGCCGTCTCATACGACAAGGCAGGAGATTGTCGAATACCACCCGTTGCGCCATTGTGAAAGCAATGTGCTTCGCAATCAGGAATCTTATAATCGCATGGGGCTTTGTTCTTACAACAGTAGCATGTTCCCTTCTCACAAGTCCTGAAGCGCAGAGAGAAGTGGATCTTGCTGTTGCGATCCAGTAGCAACTTACGCACCCCAATGTCGAGACTTCTAGCATATCAAGAAAGAGGGAGAAAGAAGCATCAATGCCATGTGTAATATATCATACGGATTTGTGACGGTCTACCATTGATCATGCAGACTCAACAAAAGCTCAAACATTCTCTTGCGTTCCGAGATATCTTCTGAATGTTGCGTTTATGCTCAAGTGATATCTTCTGAATGTTTAGGCTCGCATGAATACGTTGATATTTCCAAGAAAAAAAGAATCGTTGGTCAAGAAAAATGCAAATTTTAAACGCTATTGACTACCGCTCCTGGATGGTAGTTAATGAAACTCTGTATCTGGTTGACCGACTGGATCGTTGATCACGCAGGCCGAACTAAACAGGTGAGTTTTGTTCGTATGAAAGTGTTTATACTCCTAAGAAAACAATTAATCCTCAAGGATCGACAAAAACGCAAATTTCAACGGTTGTGGCGAACCTTCGAAGATAAGTTCTTTTTGTCGCAATGAAGGGCCTCAAAACCCTTAACCGCGTTCATATTTCCATTTAAGAATACATATCGTAGCACTGTAAATCGTAACTATTACTTCGATACGCACTTTATGATATACACCATGATTACAAGCAACGTTAGAACTTCCCTGAGTTATCAGAAGATAGATGACTTTTCAAACTAATTGGGAAAGAAGGAACTGAAAATCAGGTTGAAACTCACTCTCGCCAGAACTCAATTCAAGGAACAACAGCAAATTAGGATGCAAAACCTAGCTTGTGAATTTTCTCCATTGTTCTCGTGTATAGGCTCTACCCGCACATTCACCAGCTCTATCTGTCTTTAATAAAAGATAGATGCTCTGATCTAGATGGGATTAAAGATTTCCCCTCATTAAGGCTTATAAGTTAGAGGATATGATATTCCTAAAATCGGCTCCGAAAGATCGTTCCATTGGAAATGCCAATGAATTTCTGGGATGCGTATCTGTCCGTTTTAAATTGACGGAGATTATGAGGATATCATACACATTGACCAAAGCCAAAATTCAGCACGTGTATCCTTGAATGAAAAGACCAGGAATCAAATCTGGCATCGATCTGTTTTATTGAGTTTTGATTCCTCTCATCAATCAGCTGTGATCATCTTGACCACCAGATCTTTTATGATCTCTCACTCTCTCCTTCTCTCTCTCTCTCTCTCTCTCTCTCTCTCTCTCTCTCTCTCTCTCTCTCTCTCTCTCTCTCTCTCTCTCTCTCTCTCTCTCTCGCTCTCTCTCTCCCCCCCCTCTGCGCCCTTTAGTCAGTCGGGATCAAATTAGGCAAGTTAGCCTTCTCCTCTTGGGTTCTTGGACAGCTCTTACAGGCGCTGTCGTACGATAGTCAAAAACCTCTTCACTAGTGGTGTGGATACCGCGAATTAACACAGAATAAAAGCTTGGGGCTTTTCTTCTATGGATCGAGCAAGACACAACTAGGATCACATGCCCTGTCAGCTTTTTGGTGAAAAATTCAACTAATTTACAAAAATGGACAAAGTAACGCATTTGTCACATACATTACCCAAGCACAGAGATATATTTTATCATTTCCATATCAGGGAGTATGACGTTGAATTGAATGTCAAAATAAATAAATACGAAGACGATATAAAATTTGATCTCAATGAAACATGTGTAAGTATATTTAGAGAGAGATGCAGACACAGAAAGAGAGATATGTAAGGTAGAAGTGTCACCCAGTATCCCAATTAGGTGCGGTTTGATGTCAGACGAGCGTCGCTGAATGAAGGAAAACTTTGAGATGGGAAGGCAAGGGACAGGCAGATGGATTTGAAAGAGGAAGTGGTGGAAGAAAGAAGAAGATGAATGAGAAAGAGGTTGGATAAGAGGCTGAGACCGCTTCCCCTAGCATGGTTGCGTGCCATCACTGACTCTGGCAGTCATCCTAGTTACAGTGATATATTTTACCGATCATACTTTATTTCCAAAGATAAACCGAACAAAGCCTCGTGGCGTTCGCTCACCAGGAAACATTCACATGCAATTTTTTTGCCAAGGCTGCTTTGTGGAAAACCAATCACTGCTTAATCAACAACTATGGGGAGTAAGATAGAAGGTAGGAAATTAAGCTATAGCATGCTCGGAGATCTAGTATGAAGCCTGGATCAGGAAGACGGTTGTGGGGCAGGACAAGAGATTAAGTAGCCAACGTCAGTTACTAGAGAGATGAAGACGACGAAAACGGAGAGAGAGAGAGAGGGACAAGAGATTAGGGGTTTTCCTGAGGTGCCCGTGCGATTAGTCTTTGGTTCAGTGGTTCAGGTCCCTGGACGAGACAAAGAGACCTGGTTGTAACGCTGTCTGTTAGGACAAAAAAAAGATCCGTTCTCTAATCTCAAGAACGAGTGAGAAGGAAAGTCGAACTGAAGTCTGAAATCGGCTAGACTGTAGCTAACCTGTAAAATGACTGGTCTGCGAATTCTCTCAATGACCCTGGTCAACCGAAGAACACAGGAAGGGAGCCCGTTCGAATAAAAACATGGAGAGATTTTTCTCCAGTATGCCCGGGCCTGGCCATTCACTACCGTTCTTTTTTTTTTTACTTACGATGTTCTCCGCTAAGTTTGTTCATCATCTTCGCTTGATTAGTTAGATGTGAAGACGACATTCCTTCATTGAGATTTGGAGGAGACTATTTACATATAGCAGCCGGAGGGTTGCTAACATTTTGCCTAGAAATAGAAAACGGGCAACCTACGGTACGGAAAACAAACATGCATGAACTTTCTGGATCTCTTATGAGCAGCCGCGATCGTATGAAAGGTTATTCAGGGTTTAGCCATTGACGGAGATGCCTCGGTAGCGATTTCCCTTTGAGGAGTGTGCACGCATATTTTCTCACAGTCTTCCCTTATATACCTGCACATGTTTGATATACCTCCGCAGCAGTAGCATCTTGCGTTATCCTCGCATCGCCATTTGATGCAAAGCGAGATGTGTATCTTGCGATCCCCAACGTTATCTAGCATCTTACGTACCCTCAAGTTTGATGTCGATCCCTCATCCGCGACATCACTACCCATCGCAGCTGCTCGGATGAGAGAAGAATAAAGCAAGAGTGAGTATATGTCACAGACATCAATATGCATAAATTCAACGATTAAGGAAGTCAAAGGATATTATCCACCCGCTCGACTGGGTAGATTGCTCAACTGAGGGAAAGCAGGATAGCATTAGACATAAACTGGATGAGAAAACATTACAGATGGTGAGACATATTAACACTAGAAACAGTGAAAATTTGTATTCGCACTCACTGCAAGAAAATTGAGACATCAATAGGATGACGAGGGCGCAATATCCTAAGCAGCTCACCGTCGCCATGCTTCTTGAGTGAAGACTCTACGTTTATGTTGGCAGCACGCTCTGCCTCTTATAGTGCCATAATCAAGACTAATAGAAACTGGAAGATTTCTTTCACGATCTGTGACAGACTGAAGATTTTGTCTCATGATATCCTTCTGATTCTGACGGACGCAATATTCCCAAAATCATTAGAAAATTTATGGGTTGGAAACTTACCATTGTAATACTGAGATTGGAATCTTTTAGAATCCTAAATTAGCTATGCGAGAGTCGAGCTAGCAGATCGACAGGATTCATCCTTTCACTAGAAGCGGATCCCAACCGTGTAAAGGTTATATCAATGCAGTTGCCCGGTCAACTCAAGATTCAAGATCCGTAATGGACTTTCCGATTATCTCAAGTACGGCCACATATTTCCTCTTATGAGAAAAATGTCGTTACTAATCCAACGGCATCCTTCTCAAGCCTTCTATATCTCACAGTATATAAGGACACCACGATCCTCTGTATTAGATACAAAATATCAATATATTATCTTCTCTTTTTCATTACTTCTCCTTTCTCTTAATCTTCTCATGTTCTTCCATTCTACCATCTTCGAGATCTTTACATGGTATCAGAGCCTGAAGCTCCATAGCAACTTCAAGAAGTCATCTTGTCGAACTCATCACAAGAATCAATCACGGTGATGACGACGACAAAAGTTACGACCACCGCTACAACAACAAGCGTGGCACATCTTCTTCGGCTAAAGCTTTTGAAAAGCAATTATCTAATGTGGAAGACCCAGTTTCTTCCACTGCTCAGAAGCCAAGGCCTATCGCCGATCGTTGATCTCCGCCATTGCCAACCAGATCCTCCAGGAAACTTCATCGTTAACCCAAAGTACGAGGCATGGTACAAGAACGGTCGGATGGTATTTTCATGGATCGTTTCTTCATTAAAAAAATCTGTCTTTCCCACGATCGTCGATCTTCATACGGCAAAATCAGCATGGCACGCTTTCGCTCGTGCCTATGCCTCTGGAAATCCAATCAAGATTGCATAATATTCAGCAAGACAATGCTCATGTTCAAGAATTTTTTGAGCAAATCAAGAAGTTTTATGACGAGCTAGCCACAATTGGTCAACTTGTAAGTGACCAAAATCTCATCATGAAAAATCTTCGGGAACTTGGTCCTTCTTATGCCAGATTTATTGCTAGTATCATCCCCCAGATGAATGGTCTCACTCTTGAAGATTTTCTTGTGAATCTCGCCACTCATGAGTCAATCATGCGCCAATACTGCCCTGCTCAAGATCCTTCAATAACTCCATCTGCGTATGCTGTTCAAACATCAACTCCATCTCGTGGAAGATCTTATGGAGGATGTGGCCAATTCTCAACTGATGGCCGAGGAAGAGGTCGAGAACGACAACACATCCCATGTTGTCAACTTTGCCTACAATTTGGGCATCATGTGGGTGATTGTCGTGAATGCTTCCACCGCAACTTTACTCAACCTTTATTCCTCTCCTCAAGATACTCCAACAGCATACACGACAACCTGCTACCCCACGCCACAGTCTCACATGATCAACCATCAACCCGTCCAACCAGCACCTCAGATGTTTAATGGTTGTCAATGGTCGGCCAATCATCAACACGCTCCAACACAAGTTCAATACGTTCAAGCTCCACCGACCATTGCTGCAACCTCTTGGTACTTGGATAATAGAGCGACACAACATGTCAATACGTTCAACCTCCTGATCCCAACACCATCATCGACCCAAAATCTTACACTAGATTCAACAAACTTCATATCAGTAATGGTGAAGGTTTGCAAATTTTATCTTCTAATGATTCATTTCTTCATACTTCCTCGCATAATTTAAAATTACATAATGTCCTCCATGTTCCTTCTATCACTTGAAATCTCTTATCTGTTAAACAACTTACCTCAGATACTAATGTATCTCTAGAATTTCACCCTACCTATTATCTTGTGAAGGATCGAGCAACGGGAAAGCTCCTAGACAAGGAAGAACTTAAAGAAATCTTTACTACTTACCGGCACCAAATCTAGTTCCTTCAATGCATCTGGGAGAACGAGTTTCTCCTCCCATATGGCATGATCGCTTTAGGACATCCAAACTTTAAAATTCTCTATAAGATCATAAATAAATTTGGCCTACCCATTACTCGTCTTCCAAAGTGATTGCTTTATGAGTCTTGTTGCTTATCAAAAATACATAAACTTCCATTTCAAAAATCTGATCATCTATCGTCGGAACCTCTTGAACTTATTCATTGTGATCTCTAGGGTCTATCACCTATTTTGTCACATCATGGTTTTAGTTATTATGTTATCCTCGTCAATGATTTCTCCAAATATACCAGGTTGTTTCCACTTAAACGTAAAAGTGATGTACTTAATATTTTTATTCAGTTTCAACATCATGTAGAAAGACAATTTTATTTCAAACTTTAATCTCTTCAGTCTGATTGGGGAAGTGAGTATCAATCTCTTCATACTTCAATATGGCATTAAACATCGAGTTTTTTTATCCACATACACCTGAACAGAATGGAACAACTGAAAGAAAACATCGTTATTTAATTGAAACTGCCCTTGCTTTACTTTTCCGTGCTTCTATGCCTCCAAATTTTTGGGACGAGGCAATCTCTACCTCAACTTATCTCGTCAATCAACTACTTACAACAGTTATATCAAATAAATCACATTATAAAACTCCTTTTAACAAACACCAGATTATTCATTTATTCCTTCATTTTGATATCTCTGTTATCCTAATCTTCATTGCTATTCTCAACACAAGCTTACTTAACAATCTGATCATTGTGTTTTTCTTGGCTACAGCTCCCTTCATCATGTCTATAAGTGTCTCTCCCTTACATCTGGTAGACTTTATATTTCACGACATGTTATTGTTGATGAATCTGTCTTCCCTTTTCAAGATAAATCACTTACTCTACCGACACCATCCACTCCCTCCTCTGAGGTAGGTATCCTTAGATCATTTCACAACTGGACACAACCTCCTCATGGATTGTCTACATCCACTTAAAACACCTCGTCCACGCAATCTTATCCTCATCCTTCTCCCTCTCCACCTTCTCAAAGTGATCATCTTCCCTCTCATCCTAAACATTCTCCTATCACATCCTCTTATGCACCTTCGCATCAATTAATCTCTCCTTCTAACAAACACTCTTTGAACATCTCACCTTCACTATCTCCTATATCACACTCATAGCATTCAACATCTGACTCTGACTCTAATTCCTCTATTGTCCCCACAAAACTTTGTTCCCTAGATGAACTCTATATGTTACAACATCAATCTCACCACAAATTTATTTCACTAAAAAATATCCCCTTTCTACATGTTTCTTCACTTCTCTCTCTCCAAGTGAACCTACTTGTTTTACTCAAACTTCTAAAGACCTTGCATGGAGAGTTGTTATGATAGAAGAATTCAATGGCCTTCTTGCCAATGGTACCTGGTCCCTTACTCCTAGATCTCCTAACATGAATCATAGTCTATAAGAGAGTTATTAAACTTAAACATAAAGCTGATGGCTCTATTGAACAACACAAAGCTAGACTTATTGCCAAATGTTTTAAACAACAGCTTGGTGTCAACTTTCATAAAACACTTAGTCCAGTCATTAAAATTACTTCCATTTGCTTACTTCTTTCTTTAGCTGTTAACAATGCATGGCATGTTCATCAACTTGATGTTTCCAATGTTTTTCTACATGGAATACTAAATGAAACAACTATTATGGAAGTCTCTAGGCTTTTTCCATCCCTCTTTTCCTAGTCACGTTTGTCGCTTACATAAGTGCATTTATGGCTTAAAATAAACCTCTTGTACATGATTTACATGACTTACAACTTATATGCATCATCTAGGCTTTAGTGGTTCTAAAATAGATACTTCTCTCTACTATAAATGTAGCTCTAATCAAGTTCTTTGTATTTTAATATATGTTGATGATATTCTTGTCATTGGTTCTAATAAATACTCAGTTACTAATCTTATTCAATCATTGCATCATGAATTTACAATCAGAGATCTTGGTCCAGCTCACTACTTTTTAAGCATAGAACTTACTAAACATGATAAAGGTTATGTTTTATCCTAGTCTAAATATATTGCTAATCTACTTCATAAAGCACATATAGATAATTGTAAGTCTCTTTCCACTCCTACTAAAATTTCTTCACCACATAAAACAAGTTATCAATCAAATTTTGACCCCTCTCTCTATACAAGTATTGTTGGTGCCTTACATTGTATTGCTATTACTTGATTTGTCTTATGCAAAGAATAAGGCATGTCAATACATTCATGAACCAAAAGAAAAACATTGAATCTCTGTCAAACACTTACTTCGATACCTCAAAGGAAATATCAATTATGGATTGCTATTTCATAAAAACTCACCCTTTTCACTTAGTGTGTTCAATGATGCAGATTGTCCAAGTGTAATTGAAGATCATCATTCAACCAGTGGATATCTAATCTTTCTTGATAACAATCTCATCTCTTTGAGCTCTAAGAAACAAGTAATTATTCATAAATCCAACATAAAAGCTGAATAAAAAGCACTTGCTAATGCCATGATGGAACTAATATGGTTGCGTTCTCTTTTGCAGGAACTTGGCATGCTACTGTCTTCATCACCTACCTTATGGTGTGATAATATTGGAGTAACTTATCTTGCAGTTAATTCAGTTTTTCTTGCCAGAACCAAACACATAGAGATAGTCCACTTTGTTCAAGACCAATTAGCTGACATACCAAAGGATTTATATTACCGAGGATTACCAAAGGCTTGTTTTGTCTGGCTTAGCGACAAGCTCAATATTATTGATGACATGAGCTTGAGGGGAGTGTAAAGACTATATCAACGCAGTTGCCCGATCAACTCAAGATTCAAGATCTGTAACGGACTTTCCTATTATCAAGCATGGCCACATATTTCCTCTTATGAGAAAAATCTCATTACCACTCCAACGGCATCTTTCTCAAACCTTCTACGTCTCACACTTTACAAGGACACCATGATCCTATATATTAGATACAATATCAATATATTCTCTTCTCTTTATCATTACTTCTCCTTCTTTCTCTTAATCTTTTCTTGCTCCTCCATTCTACCATCTTCGAGATCTTTACAAACCGTTCTTTCCCAATCTCCAATCACGCTTGAGATAAGGTCACGGAGAGATCACCCCGAACGTCGGCTGCTCATCCATGTGCATGCTGGTGAGGGGTTTGCTCTCGATCGATTGTTCCACACCGGGTTAGAATGGACGAGTTGCCAAGGTCATCCAGATTCATGTCGCTAATTAAAAGGCTTGGGGTTCTTACTGTTGGTCAACATGATTCGATTCGCAAACGTGGAGAGCATTATGTGCCACACAGGCATGGTTCATCTTGAAGTGGTGATCGTAGAGAGAACTTTTGCCTTCTCGTCAAATCCATTCAGCTCAGAAAGATACGGTGCTCGCGAAATATCTGCAGAATCCTGGGGAGGGTGGACCATGATTCATTCGTGAACGGACGGGAGTGGCACTAAGAAGATGCGAGCCTTTACACCTATATAAGAGAGAGATGATGCAGAGAGGATCTGAAGCACATTATTCTTTCCATCATTCGTGTACCGCTTGGGCCTGATTTTCCTAATGGGACTTTGTTGATCTGATCTTATCTCCATGAAATAAAATGTAGATGGGGCAGTAAGAGAGAGAGAGAGAGAGAGAGAGGATGAAACAAAGCCATTTGTACGATGGGCCTGAAATTATTTGTAGGATGGAGAGATTTCTCGTGCGGAAAGACGCCCTTCAACTTATTGGAACTTACCGTGTATTCAAAATAATTAGTTTCAAGTGGTACTCTTCCGAATCTTTTCATATAAATAGACGTATCGAGCGAGGAGAGACAAAATAGAGAGAGAGAGAGAGAGAGAGAGAGAGAGAGAGAGAGGAGATGAAAATAGTTATTCTTAATTATTAAATCTTCAATATACTGTTCAATTTTCTTATAAGAAGAGCGCCTGCTGGGATTAAAGCGAAAACTCCTCTCTGGAAAGCTTCTCGGAGATAACTGAACTGATCTTTTATTCCAAAAGTATTTTCGTACAATTATTACAGGCTTCTGTTCTTTTGTCACCGGCATGCAAAGGTTTGAATCCTTTTGCTACAGATTATCAACGCCCGGTCGGACCTGTCGAGAAGGAGCTGACGGCTACTGGGAAATGCTCAGTCTCTGAGCCCAGCTTGTAGCAAGCTACGGCGTTTGACTGGAACCCACTTGTGGCAAGAGAGAAGAGAGGAAAACGAGAGAGAGAAAACTGATTTAGAACTACAAGAGATTCTTTGTGCCAAACATTGCAGTAGACTAGCGCGTTATTCACTCATTATTTGCTTTGCTCATTTACGGTTTTGGGCGGATGAGATTTGCTTCAACCTCATCATGATTTATACCGACCGTTGGGTGAGCCGTCAGCGCTCCATGGAGCACCAAATGCTCCATGGAGCATCATGATTCACCACACTCGTCTGTTGCCGCATCTACCCCCCCTCCCACGCATCACCTTCTGAAGCACCGAATGATACGGACTTTTCTCTCTCCATTTCCTTTCATCCCCAGAGGACCTTCCATCCCCCCCCCCTCCCCCCCCGGCGTCTGCGAAGAACGACAAGGAACAGGGGAGCTTCTTGCGGGTACAGACGAAGCCTGGCAATCGCTTAATAGAGAGATATGCTGGCGAACAACTAGTATGGAAGGCAATTTCCAGGAGATGGTTTCTAGTTACTTGGCAGATCCCCCAACGAGTAGGAAATGTAATTCGGAAGAATCTTGCACTCTATGATACGAGAATCATTTTGTTGGGAGAAATTTCTTTTAAATACCGCGTCTAGTTGAATTGTAGGCGTCTCCCAAAAGAGGATCACTACAGTGGGAAGAAGTAGCCCCATGTCCGGTCTAATTCCCCAGATATTCTTACAGAATAAGAGGCCGATAGCATCATGGGGGTGGGGGTGAAGGAATAAGCTTGTAGATAAATATTCGGGGCTAACTAGTTGTAGCGGTCTCTGAAAATAGTTAAGTAATCGAGCTTATTTATTTACGGATTGGTATCTTCAAGAAAAACTATCATCAAGAACAAAAGAAGAAGAGGATTAGATGGAAATAACTACGGGATCATGCAAAAGTAACTATCAAGTAGAAGAATATCTTCGAGAAGAAGATTGAAGGGGAAATACTAAAACATTGAATGAGTATGGCTACCTAGTAGATAAATGTTAGAATAAAAATCATAGAAAGGAAATAGATGAAGACCGACTATGGAGAAATTGGCCCGACATTAGGACGGCGACAATTCCATGTCCCAAGCTCCTCGGCTTGTCACATACTGTTGCGAGGATGTGCCATTTATGGCCACGGTCAACATGTATGGAGGGGATTGATTTCATCTGGTCACAAATGTGGCCGATATAAGATTTCATCATATCACCCATCTGGCATATGGAAGGTTTCTTCTCACCACACTTATGCATGGAATGATTGTGTGTGTGTGTGTGTGTGTGTGTGTGTGTGTGTGTGTGTGTGTGTGTGTGTGTGTGTGTGTGTGTGTGTGTGTGTGTGTGTGTGTGTGTGTGTGTGTCTCTCTCTCTCTCTCTCTCTCTCTCTCACACACACACACACTCACTCACCCGCTCACACACAGAGGAGCATGCAAAGAGGCCTCATAAACATCCAAAATCAATGGTATCGTCTCGCGGAGTAGATCTGCAGCGGATCAGGCGTCGGAGAGGACGAACCGGTGGATCGAAGGATCGAACGATCATTGTGGGCAAGAAATCGCTCGACACATGTTCTCTCATTATGGGGGGTGGGGGGGTTAGAACACGGACTGTTAAAACGGGAAAGTCGGGGGTTGGCTCTTCCAATAAAACGGGAGGAGTTTCCCCAACCTCAAGGGGCGGAGAGTGTCCCAACTGTTAGGGAGGGTTGTCCGAGAGTCGGTCTTTTCCGATAGAAAAGTTTGTGTGCTGACCGTCCACATTTCCCCGTCATTTTGGAGAGAAGAGGCTGTTTGGTGCTGATGAGGGTGACCAAGATCAGTTCGGGGCGAGAATCGAGGTCAGTTCGATCCTCGACCGGTAACATCCGGGAATGGAGGAGCGAACTAAGAACTTCCGCAGAAATGGGGAGAACAACAGAGCTGCAAGTTGGTCAAACAACACAAGATCTGAACCATCCATCTCGAAGTACTGATAACCAAGACAAGGCCATCACTGAGCTGGAGTTGCAGTTGTGGAAAAAAAGAAAATACTAGAGTTTCGTCAGGGAAGAGCCCATCAATCACATCATCAGTTCACGCTTGAAATGTCATTCAACATTGTGAGGCAAGATTCACACGTTAGAACATCGTCTGAAGAAAGAATGAAAGATTTTTGGTTCCTAAATACATTGGGATTTGAATTTTTCCGGAAGAGAGATTCTCCCTTCATCATCGTCTTTAGTCTTCAATCACGTATCTGTTTCTTCGGGTGCCGAATGCAAATCTCTGGATGCAAAAAAATAAATATTAAATTAAATTAAATTATTCCAAGTCACTTACTATACACGGCAAGGAGATGAGCTATGATTCCTCAACTGAAAAAATCTGGGAGTAGGCTTTCAGCCCGGTGAGGAAGCGGATGTAAGTAGGCTTCATGGTTCCTTTGTTTGGAACCACCCTGATGCAACGTACAAGGTATTCAGCAACCTGAAAGCATCAAGCCCAAGAGTCTTCTTAGGCATGAACTACGATCCTGACCTTACGAAAAATATCTAATTAGTTTAATGAACGGAATAAATATGGAGAAACCCATCAAGAGAATATTGATACCACTGAAAATATTATTTCACATATTTCTTAGAAGATACAGACCAAAGAAGATATCAAATCAAGAGAATGACGGATGGCTAGATGAGGAAAGATGAGGATGATGATAAGGATGAACGTGTTGATGATGCTGGCCGCGTAATCGCAGGTTTTTTAAAATAAAAAAATTTAAACTTCACAGAAACCTGAAATTCGTATTCTTTTCCTGTGATATATCGTTTGGTCTATACGCCCATTACTTCAATTAGCCTCATACTCCGCAGTCGCTATGGTGCAATGAATCGAGATTTTTTTTTTATTGTTCATGATTGTGCAATATCTTATATCGAAATATTCAATTCCATGTAATAAAATTGCAGAGAAATGAATCAATATTTTCAAGCTTCATAAAAACCCTGATATAAAGTTATAACTACTACATCTAAAACAACCTGGCATGAAACTAACAAGCCTGTTCTTACCACTTCTGGAGTCTCAGCTAAGATATTGATGAAGAATTTGGCCTGAAATCAGATCACTGGGTTAGAGAAAGAGAAAAAACTAACAAAACAGCGTTTTTCCGAGAAAGGAAAAGAATAAGAAGGTAGAGTTAAAGGTATACTTGTTTTGTGTTGGCCCCAGACATGAGAAGATCAGTAGTAACCATCCCAGGCTGCAGCAGCAGGACGAAAGCAATTCAAGAGAAATTATGGAGAAAATTATTTCCACAAATCTCCCATCCATTTCAGATGATCTTCTGACACCCAACCCAACCCAAACCAGTTCACAAGGACTGCAAGGAATGCTCATCGGAGGACTTACCGATAGATTATGCACCATAACATTTTTGACTTCATGCATCTGCAATTCAGCCTGGGAGGTAAATGAAACACTTAAATATCTTCGCACAAAATCTTTTGGCCTACCAAAAAAACTGCTGGAATATTTTTCCTGTAATTTTATTGAGAATTTTTGGCTTTCAAACATTCCAGATGGTCCTTTCTCAAGCATCCTAAAAGAACCTCGTAGAGCATATATATACTCTAAATTTGGTTCCACCTCTGCCAAGCAGAAAGCAACAAAGATTGTTGCGCTATGTTGAGAGGTAAGTCCTTGTTTCCTTGCCACGTGACCATGGTTCACAATTCTGGAATGAAATATTTGGAGTACTATGTCAGTGATATATACCCCAAGATCATGGCCATCCTCTTCCCACTTATTGAACTTATGGGACACCTTTGCCATATATGGGACTTTGCAATTATGTCTATAATGCAAGTTTTGTTCACCACAAATTACATGAAACATCAACGACAATTAATGCAGCATAAACTCCCAGATATCATGTGGTACCGTACCTGTAAGGACTTGGTCAGATGAACCACACTACGCTTGGTCGCCCCGTATGCAGCAAATCTGAAAACGAAATAAAAAAAATACATTCACAGGGACCAGGAGAATTTCATCTTCTGCAGAATGGGTATAGAGCGAGGCCCAGTTCAAGCATTTGCATGGCAAATAGACTTATAGGGAAATAGCATAGGGGACATACGAATCCATGAGACAATGATAGTATTATGACGTGAACCAGTTTCTATCTAAGCTGATAAGGAATTGGATTCACATTTCGTTCATAGATATAAGAAGCCTCCCATTGCCGCATATTATCGATTTTTTAGTAAAAAAGACAGAGCACTAGTTAGTTAACTATGTCCTATAACTGCATGGATTTTATTTGTACCGAGGGGTAGGACGCCCATCTGAGCCAGCTCCATCCATGTTGAAGATATGGCCCCCACGAGACTGGTTTAGCATCATGTTAATCGCCTGAAAGTTAAAAAGTTTTGCAACTTGAAAAAATTTTAAAAAAACAATAACTTGGTTTTTCTCTTGGAGAAAAAAATTAAAATTAATGTTACCTCACGACAACAGATCATCAACCCAAGTGTGTTTGTTGTCACAACTTCCCTGTTTCAAGAGAGGACATTTTTCAGACGCCGATGAAGAAAACAGGAGCCACCAGCTATGAGAGGATTTTTCTTCGCAAATATCGTATGAATCTCACATCAAGTCTTCATCAGAGGTCTCGGCCAACGGTTTGTGGCTGTATGCGTTGGATCCAGCATTGTTGATCTGTCTCACCCGACAAATTGTAAAAAACAAAAAATCAGAATGTAAGTTCATATGGGACCTCAACGTGCACAAGAAACAGGGATACATCTCATCAGAAAGTTGCATACTTATAAAGAACTAAGAGTTTTCATCAACAATGTTAAATACCACACCAAGATGCAGAGAAACAGAAAGCCTTCTAATCAGAAAATTTCAATCACCTAGAAGGAAAGAGAATCGTCGCTGGTGATTCTAAAATATTAACTCTTGTCTCCTACTCTGACTCTTGGGATGGCGCATGGATTTAACGTGGAAATAGATTTTAAATTTTTGCAAAATTTGTTCTTACTCCTCTGACCACACCAATTTGCATATTTTTGCATAGATTTAAAGTGGATTTAAAATCAGAAATTGTTCATTTCTAGAATGCAATTCTCCAAAAATCCATTATTTGGACGAATTCTGCATCAATAAACAGCCAAAGATGATGTCAAAACTGAATAAAGGAACGAAGGATTTTTAATCTTCTAAATAATAAAGTATACTAAAAGAATCAATCATGAGCGATGCATATGAAGCAAGCAAACCAGACGAAATTAATTCCAAATTGGTTTGAACAATTTCCACAAAATGCCAAATTATTTTCGTAGCACTTACCATAAAAGATGTTTTATTTTATGCAATAAATGATTTGGCACGATGTAGAACTTACAGCCTTCCTGAGCGTAAAACTAGCATCCGATTGATAACTCAAGTAATAAGAAAAACATCAGGTGGATCTCGTACCCAGATATCAACAGACTTGAGCTTATCTTGTGCAAAGGCAACTAATGATCTGACATCCTTCGCTTCTCTCACATCACAGACAGTTCCCTGGAACAATAACATCAGCACATAACTCCAAGATATATATACATATATGAAATGAAATTATTTGGACCAACCGGAAAATTGTACATGATTCAATATGAAATGAAATTCTTATATTTGTGCGAGCATTTTCATGACAGAACCAACGATGTACACTAGTCAGAGGGGTGTAATTAATACCGACTTTGATCAGTGGAGAGGATAAAAATTCAAATAAACCTCGAAAGTTCATTACAAAAATGAGCCTTAAATATAATAATATCAACAAATTATCACAAGCCTATCAATGAGACAAAAGATAAAAAGACAAAGAAAAAAGCATGTTGACGGGAAAAGAGAGAGAGAGAGAGAGAGAGAGAGAGAGAGAGAGAGGAAACAAGCTCAATTGTAGGTACCCACACGTGTTGCTCCCCGAATTCTTCCCTCAGCTCCTTAACCGCAGACTCTACACGTTCACCTGCATGTGATTGTCTGGGCAAGTGAGTAAACATTTCGGCCACCTAAGATGCACAGGCCATGCATAACAACAATAGGCAAGTCTGGGGATGAACATCCAAGTTGCAGGATAGAAAATAATGACCAGTGATTCTGATGCAGAAGATAGAAAGTAATAGCAAGCAATTCTGATGCAGAACATAGAAAATAGTAACCAATAATTCTGATCCACAACGTAGAAAGTAATAGCAACCCATTCTTATTGGCAAGCATCTCTACCTGATCTTGAGCATAGTATAACTTTATCCCCAGCTTTCAGAAATTCTCTGGCAAGTGCATATCCAATGCCTGACCAGAGCAAAAGAAATACAAGTTTAATGACCACAAAATCAGAAAAATATGGCGGCAAGATATATAGATAAAAAAGTGGTTCAAAAAAAGAATAATAAAAATAAGCCCAATTTAAAGAAAGGACTGACTAAAATAATCTCTCACATGACAATGCAAACAGAAAGCCATTTCTAGAGTCCAATTCTCATCAGCAAGGCAATAACTACAGGTCATCCAATAAATAAACGAACAAACAGATACACAAAAGAATCGAAAAAAAATAATTTAAAACTTGGTGTTCAGTCCAAGGTAGATGCGTTTAAAAAAGAAGGTATTTGGCTATTGAATTCCATTCTTAAAATCTTTTTCTGTCAAACAGTTAAAAGGAAAAATAGCCATCACACCCAATATGGGTTCCATAGTGCCAGAAGCACCTTTCACTTTACCGAGAAGGTTGAGCTATGCATCAATAATCCACTTCATTAGGATCCAAAATCTCATAACCTCATGCAGTTGTTCAGTGCATCATGCCTTATTGGGTTCATCTAAAGCCGATGGAACCTCTGCCAATATCCCCATTCATACTTCATGTTTAAGTATCATGGGGCTTCTCAAAGGAACTGTCGCCTCTAAAGCCCACTTTCCTCCAAAGCACCCTGAGTAGCCATCCTTTCCAACTATGGTGCAGGAAACCTGAAATGATACCTGGTGCTGCTCTTAACTAATTCATGGATGCGTGTTTCGTCAAAGCCAACATATGCCTGAGCATGAGAACAAAACTTTTAATTACTTGTAGCCACTGGTTCCTTTCCGTTCATAAAAAATAATCGGCTTAAATATTTCAGTTCTTCAGCATGTTCAGCTCAAATGTGCATTTCCGAATATCGATTGTGTAGATGTGTTGGCCCTGAGGACCCCTCATTCTTCATCAGAAAATTCAAATACAAGAAGTGGAACCCAACAATCTCCAAAATCCACTATATCCAGCTCATCCTTCATCTCCATCGCTCCTCTGACCCTTGAAGCATGAAATCAAGGCCCAGCTTGTACATCCCTTGTCTCAGCTCAGAAGCCCAGAGTGATGGAGAAGCCTTCCCATCAATGGTTAAAATCCTTCCACCTTAGGAAGCAAAAACCCACTCGAAGCAGCACTGGGCTGGTAGGAATCCGTAAAGCAACTCATTAAGAGGAAACAAAAATGATTCCCCGTAGAACACTGAACAACATCCCTTCAGCAGGTTCTCCCCGGAAACTCGTAGACTGACATGTAGCGCAGATTATCCATAATGTTCCGAGTCATTCCATACTGATCCTTCTTATATTCCGAGCCCCAAATCAATCCAACTCTGAAACCCAATCCGTGAGAGTAGGATCGAACTGTTCCAACGCCTTTCTCCATGCGTTTAATTTTAGGGGCCAACGGGAAAGCTATGTAGAGGATGACGATGGACGAAAGGGTCAAGAAGAGAGAAGATGCTTGAATTATCACGGCTGCGGATAGAAATCCAGAAGATTTCGGAGAACTTGGACGAAATTTGGAAGGGAAGAATTTGAATCTCGAAAAGAAAAACCGTCTTCGTTTTCCAAGAGTCCGCGCGAGAATCGGAACCTTTGCTTGAGCCGGTGATGAGCACGTTGTAGGGGGGAACCATCGGCTCCCGCTTCTCGCCCTCCCCCAAGTTTCCGGCGGCGATTCTCGGTAGAATCCGCCGGAGATAAGGCCGCCTGTGGCGGAGCGCGCCGCTCCGAAGAGAGGCGGCCGCGGCAGGTGGCGGCGGGAGCGTTCTCGTTGCCGCATGGTGGAGGAGAGAGGCCGCCCTGCGGTCGGCGAGATGAGAGGAACTCGCCGGAGGGGAGAGAGAAAGGGCGGGAAGCCACACAAGGCTCGCCATGACGGATCGATAAGGATGGTGGATCGGGGCAAGAAAAAAGAAGAGATCTTTTTTCTAGCCGGTAAAAACAAACACCCGAGTAATTTCTAATTTCTAAATAACTATATATCAGAAATCCTTGCGTAAGTCTAGTTTATCCTCGGATTTAAATATTTCCTACTCTTTTTCGGTTACTTGTAGCTTCTCTCTCGCTCTCTCTCTGCTCTCCTATCTCTCCCTCCCTCTCACTCTCTCTCTCTCACTAGCTCACTCTCTCTCCGTCTCTCCCTCTCTAAAGAACCCCGCTGATCAATAGAAGGGAAAGGATTTACAGCCAATCTTCCGGCGAACCTACTTTTTAAAGACACCGAAGTAAGAAGACGACGGCCCCGCCGCTTCCCCCGCCACCACAACTACGGCAGCGGCGGCGGGGGGGCAGCAGGAACACGAGGAAAATGACGACTATGATGGGGAAAAACCCTCCGCTTTCTCCCTCAAAACCCAGCTCCAGCTAGGATTTCCACATATCGGAAGACGAAGGAGGGGCCCCACCGACGCCGCCGCCGGTCAGAGGTCGAGTATCGGCGGGCCGAGGTACTCCACCAGAGTCATCGCCGCTTCTTCGGGCACCCCGGTCTCCTCCAGCCACCTGTAGACCCCCTCCTCGCCGGCACCGCCACCTGCACACCCACACAATCCGGGAGGAAGCCAAAAGGTCAGCGCCGCCTCAGCCACAATCCGAGAGGAAAGACGATGGCCAAAAGTCAACGGCTTACCGGAAAAGGGAAGGTCTCTGTAGTAGGTGATGTCCCGGTCGTCCTCCGTGGAATATGGCGGCCCCAAGATGTCCAGGATGGCGCAGGGGGTGACGGCGGTGAAAGCATGGATGTTCCCGCCGGCGGCGGGGAAGAGAACAGAGGCGCCGCACGGCGCCGAAAGGTCAGCGTCCACTTTCAACCTGGCCAGCCGCCCTGCCAGGCATTCCACGCTAATGTTACCAACTCTGGGATCAACGCACTGGGTCCTCGGACATTTCCATAACTAGTAAGGTCTCGGCCCAGACACGTACTCTTTTGCGGCGACGGCGGCGCCGCGGCGGCGGCAGCGGCAGCGGGATCAGCCGGGTCAACGAAGTCATAGGATCTCACGTGCATTGACCCGAGGAGGAGCTTGCTGAAGACGGTCATGTCCGGGTGGTCGTGGAGGGGGATGACGGCGGCCGGCCGCAGGAAGAAAATGCATATCTTCATGAAAAAAAAGGAAAATATCATAATTGATATAATTATTCTTTTATGTTTCCATGACTGGTTACTATAAATGGAAAAAAAAATTACCGAGAAGTTCCTGCACTGGTAGACCGTCGTGTAGGTGACACCAGGGGCGCCTTCCCCGGCGGTCTTGGCCTTGAAGAAGGGTATGTCGGCGCTCAAGTCAATGTCTTCCGATCTCATCTTGTCTGAAATCGAAGTCAACCTCGTCAGCTTCCAAATGCGGCAATCTTTTTCTGCCCGAACGAAAACCGACAAGACAACCGAAATCTCGTCCGACCCATCAAGAGAAACAGAAGAATGGATGGATCTCAGCAATAAACCCAAAAAAATGATTTCCCAAAAAGTCAACGGAGGAGCCAGACGATTCGGGTCAAATTCCGGCGAGATGGGATGGATCAAGAGATGGGTGGCGGCGAAACTGAAGTCAACCTCGTCAGCTTCCAAATGCGGCAAGTTTTCTGCACGAATTGAAACTAACAAACAACCGAAATCTGTCCGAACCATCAAGAAAAAAACGAAAACAGAAAATTTAAGGAATAAACCCACACATCATTCAACCCACCAGGAAATTTCTTGCACCCAAAAAGTCAACCGAGAGAAGCAGACGATTCGGGTCACATACCGGCGAGAAGAAATCCATTTTCTGTATCTCCGATTAAAAATCCGAGGTCAAAGGAGGGAGAGATCTAAGACAAAAACCCACAGATCATTCAACGCACCAAGAAATTCCGAGGGAACCAGTCTATTCGGGTCAGACTCCGGCGGCGGCAGCGGCGTACCTAGGAGGTGGCGGAGCATCTGGACGTCGGTGGCAGAGGGGACGGTGCCGGGGCCCTTGAAGACGGACTTGCAGGCGAGGAACAGCGACTGGATGGCGGCGGAGGACGCCTCCACTCTCCGGCGAGGCCGCCGCTGGCAGCTCCGCCGCCCTCCTCCGCCCCCGCCGCCGCCGCCGCCGCCCTTCTTCCGTATAACCCTCTCCACATCACGGATGGCGTCTCGGCAGAGCCTGCTCCTCCTTCTCCCCCCCGCCGCCGCCGCCGGTGAGATTCCGTCAAATTTCATCCACGAAAACCAGAGCTGATCGAATTACGGCGGCCGCGCCAAGATCATCCGAAATCTTCAAAACCCAGATCGGAAATCCCCAATGGCGGGTCGTCTTCTCCGGTGAGAGAGTGCGCAGAACGCAGAGCAGATAGAGAGAGAGAGAGAGAGAGAGAGAAGGCGGTGATAACTTTGGACGGGCGTGGTGGAGGGCGACGGGGGAGGATGAGAGATAAATAAGGGCGAGAGGAAAACTGGGGGCCATGGGAGGAGAGGGAAAGAGAGATGTAGAGAGAGAGAGAGAGAGGAGGGAGGATTCCTTCAACGAGGAGGGGGAGGGAAACCAGGGGGTTTCGAAGAACCTACAATGCCGTAGTAGCGCCGCCCCTAAGAAAAGGAGTCCCCGGCGGCGCAAAACAGCTAGTTTCCAACCCCTCCGCCGCCGTTTTCTTTTCTCTCTCTCTCTCTCTCCCCTCTCCCTTTCTCTTTATCTATTCTCTTTGTTTCTGCCTCCGTCCACGGTTTTGCGTGGGACACAAAAAGGGCGGCTTTTTTGTCCACATCCGGGGATCTAATCCAGGATATGCCACGTGGAAGTTAACCGCCCTAGGCCATGATCCATATTTCATCGACTTGGCCCGCATGACACTTTTGTCTCCGCCCCCACCGCGTCAACGGCTCTCTCTCTCTCTCTCTCTCTCTCTCTCGCTAAACATAATCAACCACCAGACTACTTCCACGGGATGAGATATGTATATATATATATAGAGAGAGAGAGGCCTTGACTTTCATTCTTTTCTCCTCCCAGATAAATGCACTCGGACTTGGAAGAAGAATAAGAAACATCGGTAATTAATCATGCATCCATTTTCTTCAGTTTTAGAGCGAGAGAGGGATTTAGAGGGATAGAGAACGAGAGAGAGAGGGGATCTAGAGGGGATAGAGATAGAGAGAAAGGAAGAAAGAGAGGGATCCAGAGGGTAGAGAGAGAGAGAGAGGGAGGGAGAGGAACCCACAGAAAGAGGGAGGAAAGAAGAAAGAGGGAATCCAGGAGAGTGAGGAAGAAAGCGAGAAGAGAGAGAGAGAGAATAGTCTTCCCCTTGTTTTTGGCCCCCACAAAAAAACCACGGATTCCGGAGAGCTCCGAGCACTTTTTCCTTCCTCCCACGTTGACTTCTGCTTTAAAATAAAACCGCCTTCAATTTTTAGCCAGGGTCTTAACAGTAAATGTACAAGTTCCTACAACAACGGCAAGTTGGGTGACCCGATCTCAACGCGGTGAGCTCATCCGGGCCAGGCCAGATCAGCCAACTGTTGACTTACACACGCGACGACCAACCTCCGTGAGCCACGCTATTTGGGAATAAAACCGTAGAATAAATGTTTGAACGTTATAAATTAGTGATTCATAACTGAACTTCTTCAAATTGAGCCACGTATTTAATCTTTTATTACAGAAATAAAGTTTCCAGAATCGGGGGGCGGCAGATCGAGAGAGAGAGAGACAGACAGAGAGAAAAAGGGCTGATTTTGCGAGGGCTCAGTGGAAGGTGGCGCTGCGGTTGCCGGAGGGGGGGAAGGCCTGGCACCGCCGTGGAGCCTGGAAGTCCGCCGCCGTGTCCTCCGTCGCCGGTGCCCGCCGGGGGAGGACGGCAGCCCCGCCGTTGCCACGCTGCTTTCCACGCCGGCGATCCCCGCCGCCGTCCCCCGGCGCAGCCCCGGGGTCCGTCCCCTGCCGGCGATCCCCAAACTTCACCTCCTCCCTCGCGGCGGCATAGTCGAACGGCTTCCATTGCGGGGGAGCGGCGGCGGCGGCACCGTCTCCTCGCCGGCTCTCCGCCGCGGCCTTGAAGCACTCTTCAAAGCTGGAGGACAACTCCGAAAGCGACAGCGGCTGCTCCTCCTCCTCCGCCCCCACCGGCGGCGAAGCCGCCGCAGATGAGCCGTTTTCCGGTCGGCCCCCGTCCGCCGGCGGATCCTCCGACTCGTCCGTCAGAGGGATGATATCCTCCACCTCGGCGCCGCCGCCGGCGGGCTCGTCTTCCCCGCGATCGGGGGGCACAAGTGGCTGAGCTCCGGCGACCTCCGCGCGTCTCCGGTCCGTTCCGGCGGCCACGGCGGCGCCGCCGGAGAACGAGTGGAACGGGAGCGCCACAGAGGACTTGATCTGCTCCAACTTGGCCTGTATAAAGGAGGAGGAAGATCATGATGAACATTTCATACTTCGGAAACCCTAACGATCGACGATGGAGAAAGTCGCCGAGGTTTCTGAAAGTCCTCTGAAAGAACTAGGTACCTGCTCGGAGTTTGACCCTTTCGAATCCGGAGCGAGCTTCCTCTTGGCAGAGGAGCCCCCGAACAGCGCTCCGAAGGCGCTGACCGGCTTCTTCTTTATTTGGACAGACACAACGTTGACCTGATAAGAAGCAGATGGGAGGGAAGGTCAACCAGTAAGAAGACTTTTTTCTTTCATGGCAGACAAGCATAGTCAGCCATGCAACTCACAGCCTTCATCTCTCCTCCATCCCTTCCAACAGGGCCAGCAATCTCCTCCGCAATCTCCAACCCGGTAACAGGAGTTTCTATACTTGGGACATCCCCGGCGGTGGCGGCGGCGGCGGCGGGCGGCGGCAGAGATGGGGGATGATCGCCTCTGGGCCCACCAGCAGCAGCCTACAGAAGCGAGCAAGAGGTGAGGGGAAAGAGGAATCCCTTTTTCTTTTTTTGTAACTATTAACTTATAGACCATGTTTTTGGGGGGTTTTTCAGTGGGGAGGGGGCTTACGGCCTCCAAATGGCTCTTCTTGAGATGGTCGTAGACGGCTTCGAAGCCGGCGGCGTTTGCGACAGAGTTCCTTATGACGGCCACCACAGACCCTAGGTTGCGTTCCACGTAAGGGTGCTTTGACTTCACCAGCCGCTTCAGCATGCCGGAAGTCAGAGGCATCTGCCTGGCTTTTGGATCCAAAAATGGGGAAAAAAGGTGAGGAACATCAGCCGAAACCTAGACAAATATAGAAATAAATATTTATCCAAGCATCATAATAATAATAATAATAATAATATACATAAATGGCTAAATATGGCTACCTATTTCGAGGAGGGCTTTGTTGGGTAATATGTATCCGGTGCTCTCATCTTCTGCCCGGGCAATATGATCTCTCCACTCCCACAAACCCTGCAGAAAATAATAAATTAATTAAATTAAATTAAAGCCCCTCGTTATTTTGTGATTAATAAATGAGTAAATAGGGGATAGAACAGAGAGTGGCTTACGGCAACAACAGCGAGCTGCTCGGGGCTGAAATCGGTTTCACTCAACCTGCTCACCAAGAGATCAAAAAGTCAACGCAACCTCAGGCTTTCTGCATCATAGAAAGCAGGGAGCCCAACGGGGGGAACGTACCCGTATATCCGGAGAAACGAGGAGCCGGTAAGGAGTTCCTTCTCATAAAGCTGCCGGCAGATATCAGAGCTGCGCCTGTACACCTGCAAGATAAAAGGGAAATGGAAACCCACAAGAGATTGATTGACCGAATGGATGAACACAAGAACAGATCGTGCTGAAATTAGAAAGAAAAAAAAAAAACTGAGATCCCAGGAGCAAAAGGCAGAATATGTAAAGAAACACAGTAAAAGGATTGGCTCAGAGATTTATTTTATGTTTTTTACCAATTAAATTGGCACGCAAAGAGGCTTATGAATCGAGAGAGAGAGAGAGAGAGAGTGGACCTCTGCAAGCAGGGAGTGGGCAAGATCAGGGTTGGATGATTCTGCTGAGAGCAGCCTCCGCTTCATTATGTCGTACATAAATAAAAGGTAGTGCGTATCCTCCCTTGCGTATCTGCGGAAAACAATGTCCAAGCAGATCAATCAAATATAGCTGAAGAAAGCAATTGATCGTACAGGATATAAGCTGCATTGTACATTACTTTAGCATGTCGTCAGGAATAGGCCGCAGCCTCCAATCGGCTTGCTGGTATCTAGAGATAAATTTTAAGAAAAATAAATAAATACAGCCAAAAATTATATTTAAAATAAAAATAAAAATGAAGGAAGAATGCGTGCAACATTAAAGTCAGCAGAACAAGATATACACAGAGGAGGAATCGGAAGAAAGGAGAACATGTTACTCTTTGTTCGCAGTAACTCCGCAGAAGTACTGAAGGAGAAACTCAAGGCTATTCCTCTCCAGTTGCAGGACTCTCGATGCCTGCATTGCCAAGTAACATTACTGTCAGAACCCAACCAAGGTTTCTGGATTCAAACATCCCCGGTATCACTAGAGCACGGAGTCGGAACCAATATAATTAATGTTAGAATTTTGAAATTATAATTTAATCCCAGGGAACACTAAGTCCGAGAACTTCATTCAAAAAATGAAAATACTTTTAGTTAATTAAGTAGGGTTCCAACTGCATCGTCAACATCAACAATTTTCAATCAATCGCTTAACATTCATTAATCAGATATGAACCCCCCCCACCCCCCATCCATTTAAAACCTTAAAATGGCAAGCTAAACCAATTGTTGAAAGGTACAAATCCTTTTCTTCAGCTTTTTTGAACACTTGAACACTCACAGTCCTAGCCCTTTAAAGCTATTTATAGCCTCTTTTGTTTGAAACGGTAAAAATTATGTCATGGGAAAAAGGAGAAAAGCTAAACTTTTAGAGATTTTTATTTCTTGTGTACTAGATTACGCCCTAAATCATCAATCATCAGCTAGATTAAAATGGACATATTGCCGCTGTGTAGAAAGTTTGAGAGCAATCTCAACTCAGCCGCGAGATATAATGATCTTTAAGATCAAAGCAATAATAGATACCTGTCCAGTAGGAACACAAGAATTTTCATGGGTAGTCTAAGAAGATACCTGTCCGGTATCAAAGAGGTTGCACACATATATCCCAAAGTCCCTCTGAAGCCACAATATGTCACGATCTGCTCCATGCATGACCTGATTAAACAACAAGACACAGCTTGATAAACAAGAAAACATGTTATAAAACAGGGGGCAAATTAGTTATACCTTCCGCTTAGAAGGGTCCTTGAAGACTTCTCTCAGATATGGCCCGACATGGACACGCAACTTCAATGTATCGACAACAAAATCCTCTGTTCTTGTTGATATTTGCATCAAGCATGTAAGCCCTTGAAAGGATCGATACTGATTATGCTCCAAATCGACCTGGAAAATAAACCACAGTAGAAAAATTAACCGAGAATATTGAACCGTCATAAATTTCTCGCATGGTGTCCACAATGAAAGAGAAAATGTCCAGAAATCTGCATTCTGTGAATCTCTCAACTTGACAAAGTCACACGGATTCATAACTTTTTCAAGTCTTCAAAGTAGCCCCCCCCCCCCCCCCCCAAGCTCCATATGTAAGGATAGCCAGCTCTGCCAACAGCCTTATTCTATCAAGTTTTGACATATATGCTTTAAAAGTTAGAAAACATACACAAATGATTCGGAATTTCTATGTATCAGTCAGTAATCTCTCCCCAAATGCATGGAACAAAATCCACAATATTTGTCCTCCGCTCTTGCAAACCCATTCATCTTCTCATTTCGGTACCTAACCCTCTTCGTGGATAACTTCTATGTTTGCCTCGTGCATGTGTTTGCAACTGCCAGCGATTACCTTGAAGTTGATCCTGGTCTGATACATGCAAGTCTGGACTTCTGGCCTAAGATACGCTTTGAACGCACATTGCATTCCATCAGTTTCTCTAACTTTCCTCAGGTTTGAGATACGAACCCAAATAACCGAACTACATTTGTTTCCTTCGTCCAGATCTCCTCGAGGCGATCACATTTGTTACCATTTCAGTCTCAACCACAGCTGTTAACCCCGTCAAGCATATTAAGCTAATCGATTCTTAACCTGATTCGTGTCTACCCAACCAGGAAGGACCGAGAAACTTCTGGAGACCCAGGCAGAAGCCAACATACAAGCTTTCAGGGGTCCATAGCAAAGTTCTGACACTGTGATCCCCAGAAATGGGAATTGATCTGTTCGTAGCTCAGTTGGTTCATCTTCCTCAATATTCTGCAGCACACTGCCCTAGAATTACCACTGATGACGGAAATTTTCTTTCTACATGCAAAAATCGCCTATGTATCGAGCTCAGATTTTTTTTTTTTAGCTGTCATTTATCCCGCATATTTCCCCCCGCCCTCTAGTGACGATCTAGATCATAGGATGTTGTCAGTATCTACCAATAATGCGTTATTTTTAAGGAATCACGAATGTCAACCAAAACAAACAAGAACAGTGAACAACATATCGGTCAACAATCTTCAATGATACAATACAGAAACTAAAAAGTTACTAAAACTGATCCACAACTAAAGCCCAAGAAAATATCTCATTGATTTTAAATCAAAAGTTATTATTTCAGACAGAAAGGCTTCCACAAAAAGAATCCCATATTCATACTAGCGACATGATTGATAAAATATTGAAGAGTCGTACAAATGAGAACACAGGTCTCCAGCCTAAAGAAAATGCCAGTAGAAGACATGCGAACTGAAAATGGAAATCAGTTCTCAGAAAAAGTACTCACAGCAAATTCATTTACAACACGCAACTTCGCAGCTAACTCCTTCAAATCTTTCACTTCTTCAACAAGCTTAAAAGGAGTGTCTTCAATAGGAGGCGGCTTCATTGGCTCGCTTTCCCCAACGTTTCCATCAACAAAGTCAAGCACGGCCAATTTCTCCTGTATGCACATGTTCAGCTCAAATGGTGCAAGTGCATAAAAATAATAACCTAAATGCAAATGATGCCAGGATATTAAAGCAAAAAATAAACACTGTCCTGATGTGGATGCTAAAAAAGCAAATTAAAATATTCACAGAATGACGGTATCAACAAAAGCTCTGGGTGAACTAGAAAACTCTCAGTACCGAAGAAAAAAAAGTTACAATTTTCCGTAGAGATGGATTAACGATGACACATCTGTCAAAATTATAATATGTGCAGTCAAATTTCTACAGCTGTTGAGAAAAGCTACCTAGCAACTTTTCTTGCGAAGAGAAAGAAAATTAGTTAATGTTTTTTACGTAATTGCCTCGAGGATTATTAAACTGAAATTACAAGGAAAATACGCTTTGTATTTGGACGACAGAATTTGGTTGTGTAGGATCTCATCAAGGGCGTTCGTCTCATGGGCAGTGCTAGGATCACCAATCTATAGCTAACAAGAGATATAATTCACTTCCTGGCACCTCTATTTCAGGCATCAACTGATATTTCAACCACAACATATATTAAGGACAATTTTTACAGGTTTTAGACTTCCATTGGCCATAGTGATGATGGGCTCATTTCAGAGATCATAGGTTCTAATCGGATCAGATGGATATATCAGGCAACAAAGACTGCATGAGAGAACTGATTCTACGTTAAATTCAAAGTATGAAAGACCAACATATCGTCAGCTCAATAAACAGATTATGTCAAAGTTAACATTCTTAATCAGGCATAATTACTATCAAGCTTAAGAAAAATCAATATTTTCCAAATGCCTAAAAAATACAGGTGGAATATAAAGGACACTAAATTTCGTGAGAGATCAATCACGAGCCTTAGAAACCTCTTGGAGAGTTCATCCAAATTTCACTTTGATAACGAAATATGGGTCATACTTTTTGGGGAGACTCTAGAACTCTGAATGGAATTGGGCCATATAAATCCGTAAGATTCCATGTTATTACCATGAATAAAAGGATGATCGGACTTCACATGACTAATAGGGAAAAAGCCATACAAAAGGGAGACTCAAAAAATGGAGATTTAATGCTCCCACTAGAAAGTACCAGAGGTAAAAGTTGATGAAATAGTATCCTCACTCAGGACCATTCGGTAGCATTGACAAAACTAGCTAGAATCTTTGTTCCCTATGCAGGTGAGAAGGGACCCATGTACTCATAATTAGGATATTATGCAAGATTCTTTCATTTGTGATATTGCTAGAGGATATAATTATACTTAGGCACAATCATGGATGATTTAAATATATATATATATATATCCCGGCTCTCATTGTCGCTAAAAGAAAAGAAAAGCCACATTCGGGAGGCCTTACCCGATGCTCTCGAAGTTAAAACCAACAAAAAAGAAATGAGATTGAATAAGAAACTAACCAGCGGGTGTACGAAATGACTCCCGTCGTTGCTCCTCTCCAACCAGACGTGTTCAAAGGGTTGGTTCGAGTTGTTGACCAGTATCTTGAAAGCGTCCTGGGGACGGGGGATGGTTGGTAAATGGAACGGAACCTGCGAACGCGGCGCCCTTGTCTTTTTGTCCCTCGATGCAACCTTAACACCAAAGGCGCCGCCAACATCCACAGCCCCATCGTAACCTACAGCGTCATCCCCACCACCATCCATCTTCTTCTTCTTCCCTTTCTTGCCGTAAACTATCTGGAACCCCCCCGTCTCCATCGCCGCCGCCCAATCCCCCGCTGTTCCACGCTCCTGCTCCTCCTCCTCCCTCAAACTTTTGAATTCGTCCATGGACGCACTGAACCGCTCCAATATTTCATCATTCAGATTAACCACCCAGTCATGGGCGTCGTCAAGATCCTCGGGAAGCCCAACCAGCTCCGATCCTTCCCGCCGCTTCCCGCCGCTGCCGACCAGCTCCGAAGTCCCGATGCTGCTCAGCAGAGACTCGGACCTCGCAGCGACCTCCCTGGCCGGGGACCGGAACTGCTCGAAGTTCCGATAGAAGTGGAAGTCCCTCCCGTCCGGAACGGCCCTGGATTGAGCAGAGAGCCTGGCAGCGGAAGCAGCCAGCGGCCCCTTGACCAGAGCGAGAAGGGCGTCGGCCTTACTCTCCTGAGGCGGCGACGCAGAGCCCCCATCCATCGAGCCGCAGCAGCCCCCACTCCTACTCCTCCTCCTCCTCCCGCAAGCTTCCTAGGGTTTTTGGAGGCCTCTGCCTCGAGGGTTGTCTTCTCCTCCTCCTAGGGTTTCTTCCATTCAACTGCCGGGAGACCAGCAGACGCTAAAGCGTCACTACACGCCAAAACTCTATTCCCCCCTAATCCTCTCCATAATACCTAATTACTCAAATACTCTCCTAAACAAGGCGGCTAGAGGGGTATACACCACAAATTCAGTTAGATGAAGGCAATGAGTGAAAACGTTAAATAGTAAGTGTCTTTAGTTAATTAATAAATACGATTGTTAGCCTTATCGCATTACATTTCTGCCATCCTTTCTTGGGTCTTGCGTGGAAGGGTATTAGGGTCTTTAATCATACAACGGTCTCCATTCACTCGGGGGGGGGGGGGCGCTAATTCTATCCAACACCTCAAAGTTCTCTGAACTTTTTTAAAAAATTACTTATACTTTTATTTGTGCCACAACCATCACCGAAGCGGGACGCGACAGAGTGAAAAAAGGTTCTGGTGCAAATACTCCATTATAGGGTACTCATTATAAATTGCCCACCCTCCGCGACAGACGCGAAAATTCTATTTCCCTTTTATCCCCTCCATAATACCCAATTACTACAAAACCTTCATAAACATGGGCTGGGGGTTGTACCCAGAAATATAATCAGAATAAGGTTACAATTGACATTAGTAAAATAGTAAGGGTCCAAATGTAATTAATAAATATGACTTTCCATCTTATCGCATAATACTTGCCACGTTATCTCCGAAAACAATTTCTTGTGTAATTACATTTTTGCCATCACTTTCGAAGTATGGGTAGTAGTGTCTTCTGATCGTATAACGGTCTCCACCAACGCGGGGGGCACTTCTATTTAACTCCTCAAAGTTTTGTGAACTTTTTTTAAAATGCTGTTTATATTTTTATTTGTGCCACAATCCATCACCGACGCGCCTTCTCGTGCCGATACTTCGTTACAGGGTTCTCGGTGTAAATAACCACCCTCCACCACAGGCGCTAAAACTCTATTTCCCTCTAATCCTCTCCAAAATACTGAATTACTAAAATACTTTCTTAAACATTGGGGGCCAGGTGTATACGCAAAATATAAATAGAAAATGGCAAAATATGAAACAATTTAAATAGTAAGTGCCAAAAGTTAAATAACAAATTGGCTTCTCATCTTGTTGCGTGATAACTGCCACGTATTACATTTTTGCCTCGTTTCAATGGTGATGCAGTAAGGGTATTATTGTCGTTTGATCGTACAACCGTCTCCATGAACTTGGGTGGTACTACTTTTTAGTTCCTAAAACTTCTGTAAACTTTTTATAAAACATTATATATTTTTTATTTGTGCCGAACCATCAGCGAAGTGGAACGCGAGGGACTGAAAAGACTTATCGGGCAAATACTTCATCACAGGAACCTCATTGTAAATAACCCACCCTCCACCGCGGGAAAGCTAAAACCTTTCTCCGCCGCCGGTCTGCTCCAGAGGACGACCGAAAACCAGCGGCGCCCACCGCCTCTCTCTCTCTCTCTCCTCCCTCCTCTCTCTCTCTCTCTCTTTCTACCCATCGCACTGGCTACTCTCTGTGATGGCATCTCTGCACCTCTCCCTTCTTGTGATCCTCTGCTCATCGCGCCACCAGGCTCCGTAGATTTTCCTCGTTGTGAAGCTGGATCATGGTCGGCATTAGGTACGCAGCCTCCGGCAAGCACTCGCCGTCGAGGCGGTACGTCCTGGTGCTCGTCTGCATTGCGCTCCTCGGCGTCGTCCTCGTCTCTGACTTCTTCTGGGCCTCCTCCTCCTCCTCCGCCGCCGCCTCGCCTTACTTCTCCGTCCCGAAGATCGATGAGGTGGTTTACCCTCTTCCCCGCCATTGCGAGAGCTGTGATTCCGCAATGGATGGCCCTCTCCCCTTGTCTTCTTCTGTTCTTCTGCTCCATGATCTTTCTTGGTTGAAGGTTGTCTCCGTTTGGGGTATGGCATTGTGGGTTATGGTTGCAGCGGATGGTGAAATAATCTTCGTTGTGAATTTGACAGACGGAAGAATCGAAAGAGAAGAGGAATGCGAAAGGGTTGAAGCTGTCCGTGCCAGGAAGGGAGCTGAATGCGACCTTCGCGGATTTACCGGCGCCGCATCTGGAGTGGGAAGCGATGGCGGAGGCTCCGGTGCCTCGTCTCGACGGGTCAGCGATACAGATCAAGGATCTCCTCTACGTCCTTGCCGGATATGGGACCATCGACTACGTATGAATCTTCTCTCCCGATCTGTTATTTTGTCAACTCTAGCAGATCCACGACGGAATGCCGGGTTCTTCCCTTCATCCGAACAGACTGTTTCAGTACATTGCTCGATGTATGCGTCCAAGTTAACCACTAAACACCTCCGGAAAGGATCTCTGGTGTCCTCTGAGACAATTTTTTATTTTTTCTTCCCCGTCTTCTCCAGATGCTGAGCTGATTGAATTCTCCCCCTATTCGAATGAAATCCCTCGAATCGAACCACCCGAATCTCATGATGTTTCAGATGGCATCAAAGGCAAATTTTACTGTTTCAGGTGCATTCTCATGTTGATGTCTACAATTTTTCTGCCAATTCCTGGGGAGGAAGGTTTGACATGCCAAAAGACATGGCTCATTCGCACATTGGGGTCGCGAGTGATGGAAGATACATCTATGTGGTCAGCGGGCAGTACGGTCCCCAATGCAGAGCTCCCATTTCTCGAAGCTTTGTGTTAGACACAGAGACTAAGGAATGGCACAGTTTGCCTCCTCTTCCCGTGCCCAGGTACAGAGACTGTACCCAGTGACCCTTCTTCCCTTGCCCTTTCTCTTATCAGTATTTATCAAATCTGTTCCTATCTAACGGAAGGCTATTGGATCAAATGACAAAGACATTGTTGAGAAAGAGATGGCTTTTCCCGGATGAAATGAAACATTTTGATTCATGTAACAGGAAAAAGATTTCCCATTCCTTAGCTGTAAAGATATGTGGCCATGAAAAGGAGATTAAGTGGAACAGAATTGACCGGGCGGTAGAGTCGTGGAAACACTTGTTTATTCCATATTTTTTACCTTAGCTCCATGGAACAATATGCTACTGCTGAAACATGGAAGAATTTAAATCTTAGATCAAAACACTATGTATGGATGATATGAACAGCCTAAACAAGAATTCTTGAATGGCGAACAACCAGAGCCTATTACGAGGTCATAAGCGTCTATACCGTAAAATCGATTTTCGACGGAATGAAAAAGACATATATGGTAGAATCGTAACCATAGAATACGACCCTAATCGAAATGCATACATTTGTCTCATTCACTATGGGGATGGTGAGAAGAGATATATTTTACATCCCAGAGGGGCTATAATTGGAGATACCATTGTTTCTGGTACAGAAGTTCCTATATCAATGGGAAAAGATTTGAGGATCTTCTCAATTTTTGTAAAGGGTTCTTGTTGGGGCTCGCTCTTTCTCAGAAAATTTTTGATGAGAATTCTTGTGGTTTCTTTGCTTAGATATGCCCCTGCTACCCAGCTGTGGAGGGGCAGGCTCCATGTGATGGGCGGCAGCAAGGAGGACCGACATGAGCCCGCCACCGAGCATTGGAGCTTGGGAGTGAAGGATGGCAAAGCATTAGAGAGTGAATGGCGGTCAGAGATGCCGATCCCCCGTGGTGGTCCGCACAGGTCTTGCCCTTCCTTCTTACCTGCAAATCATTTCCCGTTTGTACTCTGATTTGAACCTGCTCAATGCAAGAGGCAGAGACAGGCCGCAGAAGCGCAGGCGATCAATGTTCCATCGATGTTGTCAGAGCCATGCATATCTAACTGTGTAACATCTTGAGGCTGGGGGAAAATATGCTGCAAGATCTCTAAATACTCTCGTTAACTATAAAGATTAGAGGAAAAATCAATTCCCTGCAAGGAACAAATCGATTTCCATTTATTTTTCAAAATCCTGCATCGTTATTTTATTTTTCCCGGGATGAAATGCTTATTTAGTCTTACATGGCAGATTATGGACATCAGATTTTTATTTATTTTATTATTATTAAACTAATTTTTTTTGTCAGGGCTTGTATTGTTGCCAACGATAGGCTCCTCGTGATCGGTGGCCAAGAAGGTGATTTCATGGCCAAGCCAGGATCGCCCATTTTCAAGTGCTCACGGAGGCACGAGGTATGCAGAGGAAGGAGAGGAGGGGAGGGGGGGGGTTCCATAGCTGCACTCTCTGAGCTTTCTTAAATGCATCCACTTATGGGGTGCAAATCCATGTTCCCTCAATTATGATCATTGCAACTAAATCTTTAAATATCTTTAAATAAATTTAAATATTTTAAATATTTTTAAATAGTAAAATTGGGCGATTATGATGCATGTGTGTTCTTATTCTGCAATTGCTACTAAATCTTTAAAGGCTTTGTTTGGCCCGAAGGCCTCTCATGCCTCTGTTTGGATCTGCATCTTGCTTCCATATCCGGAGTTGTTTGCCCGATTCAGTAAATCTTTGATGTGATGAGAAATGATTCTGTTAAATAGTTTGGAAACGCCCGCCCTTTTGAAGCAAGAACTTGTTTCCAGGTGGTGTATGCTGATGTCTACGTGCTTGGCGATGACCGGAGATGGAAAGAGCTGCCGCCAATGCCCAAACCCAACTCGCACATAGAGTTTGCTTGGATTCTCCTCAACAACTCAATTGTTATTGTCGGCGGCACCACCGAGAAGCACCCGTTGACCAAGAAGATGATACTCGTCGGGGAAGTCCTCCGCTTCGATCTAGGCTCTATGGTATGTTGACCTATTTATTTTTGCAATCATTTTATAAATAAAAAATAGTTGACTTCTGGAGAGAGAGAGAAGAATGTTCATCACCCAGCGAAGGAAAATTCTGGGCAATACTCAGATTACCCTGAAATTATTGTCTGCAGCTTTCCATAGAGAGAGAAAGTGAGCCTATAGTATCTATAATATCTAAATAGAAAATGGGCCTTAGGGCCCAGTGGTGGAGAAAGGGTCTGGCACTACCTGAGTGGATCATCTTCATTGAGATCTTTTAATTTGTGGCCACGATTTCATCTGATGGACAGGAATGGACAGTGATCGGGAGGATGCCCTATCGGATCAAGACCACATTGGTTGGGTTCTTGGATGGATGGCTCTACTTCACCTCCGGTCAACGCGATCGTGGGCCTGATGACCCCTCACCTAGGAAGGTTGTTGGCAGCACATGGAGAACTAGGCTACGCCTATGAATCTCTCTCTCTCTCTCTCTCTCTCTCTCTCTCTCTCTCTCTCTATGAAATGCCTAAAAAAACATGTCACGGGCTTTGGCTAATCTTAACTGCTTTGATCCCCTCAAGTCAACCTTGACCATCATTAAGTCAACGTTGGGCAACCTTGTCAATTTGCATATAAGCATACAAAAAATCAAAAGAACCGTGTTCCTCACTCTCTTAGGAAAAGAAATAATCACGGAAATGACTTCTTTAGTTGTTTAGTCAATGAAGTGGTGCTTACATTGTCTAAGCCTCATAAACTCTTTTATAACCACTTTGGGTGCTTATGGTGAATTGGATTTAAGTCAACGATTGTTCACATAGCTTACTTAAATGATGTGTCGTTTAGTTCAAACTTAAAGTCAAATATTCATAGGGTTGACTCACCATAAGGTTTTTGATCTAAAATGAAAAATTATTAGTCCCGTCTAAATTAATGGAACCATAACTTACATAAACTATACATTAACAAGCATGTTCTGCATAATGATTATCTAATGGTCAACCTCATGCCTAGGTGGCAATCAGGTCAGCTAAGATTCCAACGATCAGATCCAATAATTCAAGGAATTGTGAATTTTTAAGCAATGATTATGAGAGAAAATGTCATTTATGTAAGTGATTAGTGTAACTACCACCAAATAACTCTCAATCATGCCACCCATAAATTCAGTATGCTCAAGAGGTCATTATTCCAAGGGATGGCTTTCATAAAAGATTACTCATTATAGAGAGAGAGAGAGAGAGAGAGAGAGAGAGAGAGAGAGAGAGGAGAGAAAAACGTGTAAAATCCTTTGAGAATTATTGTTGGCATTTTTGTTCACAACATCTGTGGAAAGGGTAGTTGCGCAATTTTGGGAATGCAGAGGAGATCCCCGCGTGAAAGAAAGGTACACGGGGACGAGGCATCCATTCTCATTGGCGCTCACACTTGCGTACGAGCATGAACGGCTAAGAGTGATTCTCATCGAGAAGCCACGGGATCCAACGGACAGAATCCTCTTAACCACGTCATAGTGGTCCCCACGCTCGCCGAGTTTGACTTTTGACGCTCGTAGACGCTGATCCCACTGACCCCATAAAAACGGCCATCCCCCCCCCCCCTTCCCTTCCGCCATAACTCCGCCGCCCAGCGCCGATCTCCTCCACCTTCCCAGATCTGGTGGTATCTCTTCGGAGGCGATCTCTTCCTCACCGGCGGAGGTCTGTGGCGGTGGTGGCTGCAAGGAGAGGGCTGGTTCTTTGCCGGAGGAGAGATGGACGCTGTGGACTCGGTCGTCGATCCGTTGAGGGAGTTCGCCAAGGACAGCGTCCGCCTCGTCAAGCGATGCCACAAGCCCGATCGCAAGGGTAAGAAGCCTCTACATGGCGGAGATGGGGGATCTGTTGCCCCGAGTTGGGTTCCTCGAATTCTTTTCCGTGATTCGATTCGGTTCGTTTGGGATCAGGTTTTGCTACGTTTACTTGTAGCTTAAATTGTGATTTTCTGTATGTTTCTTAGAGTTCACGAAGGTGGCGTTCCGGACGGCGATCGGATTCGTGGTGATGGGCTTCGTCGGTTTCTTCGTCAAGCTTATCTTCATCCCCATCAACAACATCATCGTCGGCTCCGGCTAACTTGAATTCGATTTTTGGTCCGCCTTCCAAGGTCGGAAAAGGCTCTCTGTTTCTTAGAATTGTTGGATCCTTTGTCTTTTTTATCCTCCCTTTTGTCCATCAATTCGCTCGAATCTTGTTGATTAAGATATGAATTGAAGGGGACGTGGGAACCTCAGGCTCCAGTCGAGTGGATTCTTTGGAGAAGAGAACCAATTTTTTAGGCTAATATTTCCGTAATCAAATCTGCGTGGCGTTAAATTTTGCATGCTTGACAGCGTTGTCCAAGAGAGGTAACAGGGCAGAAACAAACTCGGTCACCTTGTATGAGGATTAAAATTCGATTTCAAGAGCCGTCAAGATCTTAAGATCTTTGCTGTTGCAATGGGTAAGCACCCGTTTCTTAGGATTCAGCTTTTTTCATTTTTGAGAATGCATCAGTAATTGGATGTTGCAGAAAATTGTAAATTACTGGGAATTGTATGCGTCTCTAGGACATTTCCTGGAGTTGTATGTCTCAGATATTTTGGGACCTACATTGCTCACCATCATAGATTGATGGCAAAACATTGAATCATTCTTCTAATTTCAACGAACAACATTTTTCGCTTCACTAAAATGCTGAGTCTTTTCTTGAGTTCTGCTTACTTGCATGGTGACCTAATGAGTCAGTCAGCTCAACAGAACTCAGCTCATATCTTTCTGTCTATGGCATTGAGGTCTGAACCCTACACACCTGAGAAGATTCTCCTCCTCAGATGAAAGGAAAAACCATTTTCAGAATCATCGAGAGGCCTGAAGATCTCATAAGCATATGTAAAACCAATTATTCCCATGTCTTGCCTTTGAATTCCTTTGCCCCTTTTTTTTTTGTTTATTCACAATATGATCCTGCCTAGCAGTACCTTACATGTTGTGAACAAGATTGATGGAATCTGATCTGGGCATCCACTTAAAATCTTGGGACGTGGCATCCAGATCCTTGCCCGATTCATGATCAATCAGTCTCAGGTTAAAACTATCCTCATCCTCTAATCCATTGACCTTCTAGGTTTCTGGAATATATCTTTTAAAATAATGTTTATAAGCATTTGATTATTTGCTTATTTATTGGGATCTGAGCGGGTGCTACGATCAGATCTTGCCTGCCATTTATTAAATATAGAGATGTGCCGCTTCATTTTGCCTACTTTAGCCCATATATATATATATATATATATATATATATATATGTATTATTAATTCAGGCCTGCCTATCCGAGTCTGGGACAATTTGCCGTGAATCACAATAGTTAGTATTTTGGTATATATCATCAATGTGTATGGATGTGGATAACATCGTAATAAAGCTGGGAGAATTAGGGTTCTTGGGTAGGGGGCTGGTTTATTCAGATCTGTGATTGCTTCCCCCGACTGTTGAAGCTCTATTTGTGTCCATCCACAAACTCTAATTCACAGCAAGAATCAGCCTGTGGTGCGTGGAGGATGCGTCTCCTTTCTCTCACATCCTCTTTCCCTGGATTCTTTTTGGTGAAATGTATGCCTTAATATCTGTGGGATGAATATGTATGTTTGCTGTGGGAAGAACCAACCATCTTCACAGCAGCATTACTTAAAGAGAGAGAGAGAGAGAGAGAGAGAGAGAGAGAGAGCATTGGGGGAGAGAGATTATTGTTTCTCTGCCCTCAATGGAGCCACAAAACCCAAACCCAGCCCCGGTTGGCTGACCTTCCATGTTCTCGGCCCTCGAAATGAATATATGAAACAATATACACCTCTCTCTCTCTCTCTCTCTCTCTCTCTCTCTCTCTCTCTCTTATCGGCCCTGATTTTACTCCCTCCTGTATGATATATATATTAAAAATTATACCCAGGATTTTATTCGTACCTTTTCTATACGCCTGAGGCACCATGCTAAAGAACTCACAACCTGCACATAGAGAGCTCCATGAAGTAACTTCCATGCAGCTCCTCTCTCTCTCTCTCTCTAAATCCCGGCAAAGGAAGCCAACCCAGTGATGATAACACACCACCGGCGTCAGCCCTGGCGGCGACCGGCCCGCCGCCGCCGCGGCTTCCCCAGCAGCTTGAGCATGTTCTCGGTGACATCCGGCGTCGAGTCCTCCTCCCCGCTGCCACCGCCACCGCCGCCGCCGCCGCCGCCGCCGCCGCCCTGCCTCCCCGACGTGTGGGTGAGCCACGCCAGCGCCTCAATGGCAGCATCCCTCTCCGCCATCTGCTTGCTCTTCTTCGCCTTCCCCACAAACTGCATTCCCTTCAGCTCCACCAGCGCCCTGAACTCGTTCGTCTTCAGATGCTTTGTCTTATACCTCGGCGGCCCATGCCCGGCCCTCATCAGCAGCGTCTGCAGCACGCACTTTGGGTTCACCCTCTCCGCGGCGGCACCACCGTCTCCACCGGCGGCGCCGCCGGTGGTGGTGGTCCTTTGCGCCCGCCGTGCTTCTCTGCCGAAGACAAACCGCCCCTCACAGAGGTCGCCAGAGACGAGCTCCTGGACAGCAAGTATGAGGTACTTGCCCTCCTCGTGGATGTCGAGGCTACTTGGATCTTCCAGCTGCGCCGCCACCGGATAAGAGGAGGTGGGTTATATATAGTTTCAGGTGGTGGCGGAGGCGGCCAGTCAACGGGTGGGGGGATCGTCACCTTCCTCTGGAGGAGGTCATCGAGATTTTTCTTCAGGTTCTTGTAGCAGTCGGCGAGGCTGGGCTCCATGAAGAACTCCACGTACCCGTTCAGCATCTTCAGATGCCCCGGCTGAGAGAAGAGTTGAAGAGAGATGAGAAGTCAACGGAAGGTTGTGGCGGCAGTGGCAGTGGGCGGGTTTGAGCTGACCATGTGCCCGTCGGCGAGGGTGCCGCCGAAAAGGATAAGGATGGAGTCGGAGATGCCGGTGGAGTCGCGGAGGAAGACGGCGTTGACCTTGACTTTCTCCCCGAACACCAGCCACGGGTAGGGAATCGTCTGGTACCTGGCGTTCACAGAGTTCTGACGACAACCCACTGTCAAATTCTTCCGGATTCATTTCTTCAAAAGCATCTGACCGCACAAACTCAGCGATCAACTCTCCTACATCACCCCCACATATCGACCGAGAACTAGATCTGTAAAAGGTCAACGCAGGAACCTACTCTCTCTCTCTCTCTCCCCCCCAGTACCGACCAAGCATGGACTACCCACCAAAGATTAAACCAGAAAAGGATATGTAAAAGGAAGTCAACGCAGGAACTACCCCTCTCTCTCGCTCTCCCCCCCAAAGTATCAACCAAGAACAGGATTAGTAAAAGGATGTCAACGCAGGAACTTACCCCATAAAGAAGAACCTGGCCGTCATCCATGGTCTTGAAGGACATGGAGCTCTCCCTGTGCTGCACACACCATCGCCATGGAATAAAATCCTCAAGCTGTAGAGAGAGAAACAGAGAGACTAAGAAAGAGAAACATGGAGACACTCACGACGACCGAAGAGATGCCAGGGTAGAGGCCGGAGCAGATGACCGCCCGGACGAGGGACTGGTTGTGGCTCAGGCTGTTGCAGGTGGCCTCCATCAACCCGGAGTCCTTCAATATGAAGCTGAACTGCCGCCGGAGAGAGTGGATGGCCTGCAGAGTCTGGGCCGAGAGGAAGTTCCTCCAGCAATACTCATAACCCGATCCTTCTCTCTCTGCCGCCTTCCACCCCTCGTATGCCCGAACCAGCGCCATGTGGTCGCTGTAATCCTTAGAGGAGAATCTTGACTTTGCCGAACCCGCCAGCTGCCAAAGAGACCCACAACAATCTAGATAGATACGATCCATCTCTCTCTCTAAAATTCTATATATGGTAATCATCTATGACCCAGAAAAAAAATAAAAAAAAGAAAAAGAAGTGGAATGTGGGTTCTTACATCTTTCTTGTCCTGGGGGAGCAAGAACGGGTCCCGCACGCTCAGCCCAGAGACTATGGTGAGGACGGGATCGACGCAGCTGAATACGGCCCCCATCACGAGCATCTTGCCCAGCTTCGGATCGACGGGGAGCATCGAGAGGTACTTCCCTGATTCAGGGTAGGAGAGAAATAAATCCCAGATAAAAATCAGCAACCCAAGGCCAGCTTGGTGAAGATCAGAAACCGTGGACTTTTACCTAGATTGGTCAGGTTTTCTCTCTCATCTAATGCACCTATTGTCTTCAGAAAGTCCACAGCATTCTGGACCTGCAGGAGGCGAGGCGAGTTCATCAGTCTCACACGACAAAGTCCTTGAGATCAAGAACGGTCTCCTCGAAACAATAGCGAGAGCAGACCCATCACCCACTAAACCCCGCACCCCAACCCCCCTCTTCCTACCTCCCTCCCTCCCTCCCTTTCCTTTTCTTTCCTTCAGTGGCTAATATAGAAGAGAGCAGATCCATCAAAACTCACGGCCAGCGGCTCGGGGGGTTGCAGGGCGGCTGATAAGAACTCCCCAATCGTCCCGAGCTGCAAGCTTTTTATTTGCAGGCAGAGGGAGTTCAGTGGAGTTCTCAGAAGCTCTGGGAGCTGGTACTCTGCAAAAGCTTCGTACACGCATCGTGGGTAGAGATGGTAGCATTCTCCAGGCTGGACGCGACCAGCTCTTCCCCTTCTCTGTCAATATGACGACAAGATGAGCCCATTTGATACAATCTTGATTGAAGAAGTAATAATGCGAGAATGATGGAATGGTGCACCATTATCATAGGTATTAAGCACCTGTAGTGATTATAGCATTAATCGAACGAAGAACACAGAGAGATCCTGGGAAGGAGCATGTCTATTTGATTTGAAGAACCCTGGTGGTGAGATGCCTATGTGAAGAAATTATACAGATAAAAAAAAAACATGTACAACAACTAAATGAGCCATTAATCGGCCAAAGGCCAAGATAATTAGGTGATATTTGATTCAACGAGCTCTTGATTTAGAGATATCAAAATGAAGAAATTACACAGGAAGAAAATGTAAGATCAATTAAAGCATCTCACCTGGCGAGCAGAAGCTCGGGATATCCACGAAGGCAGGAGACATGGTGTGTTGTTCAACGCATCGTATGTTGTCTCCTTTGCTTTTCCGCAATCCACCACAAAGACAATATCATTGATTGTAATGCTTGCCTCGGCCATGTTCGTGGCAAGAACAATTTTCCGTACATTAGGCCGTGGTTTCTCAAATATAAGTCTCTGCAGATGAAGCCAAGCTAACATTTAAGTATATAGAACGAGCGAGAGAGAGAGAGAGAGAGAGAGAGGAACTATCAACGTACAGCCCGTCATAATTGCAGGCACTAGAGAAGAGTCCTAGCAGTACTACAACAAAGACATTGATGATTCTGTTCGTTTTATCCTGAAATGAACGCTCTTATCCATGGGCAAATATGTGGCCATAATTGAAGATATACGGTAATAAAAGTGTACTTAAAAACAAGAAATGGCTAAATTGAGTAAGGAACATAAGACCCACAACTTTGAACGCCATGGCTTACCTGTTCAGAGGTAGCCATTGATCCATGGCATGTGAGTAACAGGACCCTGTTTGGGTCCCCTAAAAGAGGATGGGCCTTCAGCTGATCTCTTAAGCAGCTAATATCATCCCAGCCCGTCATGAACACCAACACAGCACCTGGTCTTTCCTTCCGGCATATGTGACACAGAACAGCTTCGATGAGATTAAACCCTATAGAGTCGGGGGCCCAACAAGACAAAGAATCACGAACACTAGGGCTATACCCATCAAAGCTTGACCCTTTAAGAGAATCCTGCATATTAAGAACGTTACTGTGAAAATGTGAATCAGCAGAGCCACAATCCACAAGAATGGGGGAAAGCAGCACTCGACCTCGACTAGAGCAGTAATCTTATTTTTCCGTTTCCGTGGTGCAAGTTGCTTCTGTGTTTTCCACAGCTTATCTTGGCCGTAATCATCAATTTGATTGAATTGACTCAGTTTATACCCTGTTTTCTCCAGCACATCTTCTAAAAACTGCGATCTCACAGGATATGTAAAACCCTGACGTGTCAAAGGGAGAATAAATTCATTACTGAATAGTAAAAATCATCAGGTCAGTTACTAGATAGTTTAATAAATACGAGAAAGAAGCAACATGATCAGCAAAGAAACACACGATCTATAAGACCACACATGACAGTAACAAACACCAACTAATGCAAATTGATTTGCACGGGACATTAACTCATGATGTGCTTGATACTCCGAGAAAAGAACAAGGTTTTCAGACGGACCATCAAACCATAAAGGCCACACGTTTTCTTCTTCTTGACCTGAGAATTTGGCCTGGTCCAATGTTTTAAAACAACGAATTAAATAATTTATCAGATGGGTTTTGCGTTCAGTATGCACAAAGCCTATTTTTACCCCTTGACCTGTCCCTTGCACATCGACTGAATATCGCACCCATGCATGATTCTTTAATTCCACCTCTCCTTTTACAAGGAAAAAAAGACCAACTTGCCGACAAATTTTTAATGATAAAAAGCATGGTAACATCCAAAATTTGAGGCTAGACTCAGCATACCTCTCCAGGAAATCGGTCAAAAGAGAAATTCTACCCAGAGAAAAATCGAAATAAAGCAAAAAAAAAAATTAGATCATGAGCGTGCATTAGAGCATGGTGCAGTGTACCTGCCAATCCAATTATAAACCACTGCAGAGTCATTAGAAATGAGACCCAGAAAATTCGGGGCCTTTATAAATGCGTATAAAAGAAAATTGGTCGCTGATTTTATGGTACTAATTATGAATAATCAGACACAAATTATATAATAATTTGCATGCTATTGCCTCGTTTTGATATTCTCTCTCTCTCTCTCTCTCTCTCTCTCTCTCTCTCTCTCTCTCTCTCTCTCTCTCTCTCTCTTTCTCTTCAAGAATCATGGCAAAATTTTAAGCTTCAGCCACCTTAAGGATTAGAAAACTAAAAAGATCATGTGAGTGTAATGCCTATCCCACCTGCACAAGCTTGCACACCCAACCAGATGAAAAACCACCCTCATGGAAGAGAAGAGAAAAGTTATGCAAAACAAAAAGGACTCCAAAAAATGTACAGCAAAGAAATAGACCACCCTCGTAAGGATCCAGCAGCAGTACGAAGGTCACAGCAGTTGCATCAGACACTGCCGGCCTTAAAGCTCAGGTTGATGGGAACTGGATAGTAAATTCACAGGGTAAGACAACCAACTCTAGAGTTTCAAAGGGATTGCCTAGTGTGCTCCTAGTTAGTTCCCCACGTGATTCTTCATGAGGAAATTTCAATACTACGTATTACAAGAAATAGAACGTGAATAAGCCCCGTTCAAATTTCCTCTTCATCTTTGCAAAATTATTTTAGTCCATGAATCCGAGAAAGCAGATGCACGATCCAAAAGACAAAACAAAACAAAACAAAAAGAAGATAACCAATATCATTAGACAGATGGAAGCTCCGGCTTATTCCCATGTGTAAAATTTCGTGAATACATTGAAAAAACTCACAGGAATATGAATTGTTGGAGCCCCTCCAAAAAAGTTCGAAAACAGTTCAGCATTCAATGTAGCACTCATCAAAACGAGTCTTAAATCCCGACGACGTGGTAGAAGATCCTTCAAAACAATCAGTAAGAAATCTGTGAAAAAACAATTTGATCCATTAAAATGCAGTTAAGGGCACTATAACAACAAAAAATAACTCAATGCTAGCATTACCTTCATTCATTCCACGTTCATGGATTTCATCAACGAAGACATGAGTAATACCATCAAGATTACGGTCACCCAACAACCTTCTAAGCAAAATACCACTGGTGCAGAAAAGTAGATGTGTGTTTTTCCCTTTCATTCCTTCCAATCGGACTTTGTAGCCAACCTAGAAGGAAGAAAAGGTCATAATTGAGTTTTCCAGCACAAAAATCCACTGATTTCCCATAGATCGTGTAAGAAGATATGAGAGAAAAGCCCCAATTAGAAAAACCTTACCATATCACCCAAAGTTTCTCCTCTTTCCGTCGAAACTCTCTCCGCCACAGCCATCGCAGATATCCTCCTCGGCTGGGTGCAGATGATGTTGCAGAATGCTCCACGCCCAGATTCTATTTCCGATTCTAAAACATACTGGGGAAGTTGAGTAGTTTTACCACACCCAGTCTCCCCAGAAATTACTACGACCTGCCAGTTACACATAAAAACATTATTAGCACATCTTCAAACATCTAACGGCCAGAAAGCAAATATTTAAGGAGAGGAGAGGCCTATGACTCTGAACATTCCCTGAAATAGTACAAAATATCAGCCATACTTTTTTTTCCTTGATATTTCATGATAGCTGGAAGCGTGTTTTCCTGTTATACTCGGAATAATCCTGAGAAAACTATCTTGTTCTGGTCGAAACAAAAGATCACTAAGACTTCATTTAAGCCATAACTATCAATGCTTACTAAACAGAACTACAAATTTAAAAAAGGAAACTTTCTTAATTGGCATGTTCAGATTTATTGTCATAAATGCACTGAACAGCTGATCATGATTAGTGGAAACACTTTGCTTTTGTAGGATAGGGATTTTCGTTGCCCACAATCTGCCAAAAAAGGAGCCTTAATTAATTGACATGTTAACATTTATTGCTATACACACACTGAAAGCAGACCATGATTAGCGGAAACATTTTGCTTTCTTAACTAAGAGTCGAAAAAGGGGACAAAAACAACGCTGATCATGAGACTGAATGCGCATCAACATGATTAGCTGAAAAATACCCGGCTAGAGTGCGAGGAAAGATTTTCAGCTCCAAAAGAAAACCTGATTCCGTGCAATGGCAGAAAGTAGCATCTCCTTCTCCTTGTATGCAGGAAGAGATCTTCTAAAATTTAAAATCTTCATACCCTCTGGTGACTCCTGAGATAACCGAAAATCGTAGCTTCAATATTTTAGTATGAACAGACACTGAAAACTATCCCTGCTAGGAAATATCAAAACCAGAGGAATCACAAACGTGCTTGAGAGCTATCGAACGTTAAAGAAATGCCTTCTTCATCTTTATAAGCAGTAAGAGTTGCAGGAAAAGTTAGAGAAACGATCTTATTCGGACCAAAACTCTGTAACACTACAAGCAACCATATTTTGGAACATGGACTGGAGGACTTCCATTTGGTACGATGTGTAGAAAGTTGGCATGTAGGCACTGCCATTTTTATGATAAACGCGAGAAAATAATAAAAGATCATCACACAGTCAAATGATAAATGAGACATATCTTATTTCTTGAAAAGAGTAAACAGCAAAAGCAAATACTTGACCTGCCAGGACCTCTGAAGGTTGAGCAAGCGCCAGCTCCTCCTCTGAAGAATCTTTTCCATCACTGAAGCATCATTCCCTGGTTCTCGGTTCTCCATCAAGTTTAAATCCTCAGCACCCTTGACGGCAGAACTATCTAGTAAACTGTTGTTTTCTCTCACCGAAGCTAACTCCATTCTATCAAGATGTTCCTGAAGTAGAGCCTCAACCCTCCTTTGCAAGCTAAGAGGGATTGTAACCTACTTAACACAAAACATTAGTGGCCAAACATATCAAAACGGAGTCAGATTCCAACTAAACATCCATACAAGATCCTCACCTCTCTCTGAGGCCGCTTATCATCGAGGTCCGGTCTATAATTAGGCAGAGGAACCTTACTAGCAACAACCACTTTGCCGTATTGCTCACTAAAAAAAAGATCAAATATACGGAAATTTCAAAGAGAAAAATTCAGATGGTTCCCATTCGTTTCTTTTAAGTGGAAATACGTATCGTTGCATATGACACCGAACCTGTAAAGACCCATTCTCTGGGTGAGGCTGGCAATCTGCTCATAGTCACGCCTGTCTCTCTTGTCTCTGGAAACAATCTCCTGCTCGTCCGTGCTGCGCAAGAGCAAGCTGAGCTTCCACCTCCACTCGTCGATGTTGGCCACAGACGACGACGGCTACCCCCCAGCATTAGCAAAAAAGTCAGCAATCAATCCGCTTCGAAAAAGAATCAATAAAGAGCGTATTCACCCTCATTCCTACATAGAATGCGAAGGGAGAGATTCCACCTTCTGGTTCTCGAAATCGCACTCGTACTCGTCATCCGAGAACTGCTCCACGGCGTAGCTGCTGAATCCCCAGCGTCCGGTGCCATCGAGACCAAGACGGCGCCTCACCGGAAACGGCAACACCCCCCACTCCCCCGCGGCTGGCACCCAACGCCCCCTGATCCGCCTGAGCAGCAGCACCCTGGCGTGCATCCCTGCGATAACAGAACCTCACGGCGGCCGCATCTAAATCCCTTCGCCACGAACAAACCTGCGTCGCAGAATCCCCACGGCCCCACCCCGATCCTCCTCTGGGAAGAGAGAGAGAGAGAGAGAGAGAGAGAGAGAGGAAGAGAGAGGAAGAGAGAAGAGCAAACGAGAGAAAGAGAGGAAGAGAGGGAGAGAGAAAGAGAGGAAGAGATAAGAGCGAACGAGAGAAAGAGAGGAAGAGAGAGAGAAGAAGAGAGAGAGAGGAAGAGAGAAGAGCGAACGAGAGAAAGAGAGGGAGAGAGGGAGAGAGGGAGAGAGGGAGAGAGGGAGAGAGAGAGAGGAAGAGATAAGAGCGAACGAGAGAAAGAGAGGAAGAGAGAGAGAAGAAGAGAGAGAGAGGAAGAGAGAAGAGCGAACGAGAGAAAGAGAGGAAGAGAGAGAGGGAGAGAGAGGGAGAGAGAGGCAGAGAGAGAGAGAGAGAGAGAGAGAGAGAGAGGAAGAGAGAGAGGGAGAGAGAGGGGGGAGTCGCCACACTCAGCAGTGGTGGTTTCTGAGCTCCCCCCCGTTTCAGTAGGGTTTCTCTTTTCGGACACGACCGTTCGTGCCGTTTTACCAAATTTCGTATGAATCGGGCCCGGCGCGGCCCAACTCCTCTTAATATGGCCCGGCCCAGTGAGCTCAACAATCTCTCTTATTTATTTACTTATTAACTAAAATATTGGTAACTTATTTTTAAAATGGCTGAGGAGAGGAAAGCGACAGCTTTGAGGGTACTCCTGGGAACAGATCCAGTATTTATCCTTATTTTATTTAAAATTATCATAAAACATAGAGATATATATATTAATTTATATCGCATAATATTTTAAAGGAAGTCTAAGCATAAGTAATATACGCATATTTAATAATATTTTCATGATCAAGGGATAAAATAGTCATTCTGCATTGTCACGTGAAAGATATGAATTTTGAGTATAAAAATAATGTCATTAAAAAAATAGAAAAAAACCTTTAGTGGCTAGAAATTAGGGATTAAACGAATAGAAAATTTTTATTTGTTCACAATAAAACGTCAGAACCCTTTTTATTTATATTTTTTAACCTTTCCAATTTTGAAAAGTATTACTTGAATTATTTTAAGTTATAGTCTGAATTTTCATATTTTTTCTCCAAATAACTTGCTTTGACCAACCGTAAGCTCCTATTTTCAATACCCTGTTTGAACATAATTTTTTTTTTCTTCCTCTTTTTTTGGTTGCCAAGGATTGCCACAAATGCCAAGCGCCATGTATATCAGGCTCAGTTCCAAGGGTGTAACCCAGGAATCAATGAGCTGAGTCGTTGACCTCTAAAAGTCGACGGTTGACTCCCTTGGTAGCAAGTTGAGCTAGTGGAGTTTTTTTCTCCGATGTCATGACAAAAACTTGACTACCAAGTCAACTCATCTAGGATGCCCCTGAAGAGAGAGAGAGAGAGAGAGAGAGAGAGAGAGAGAGAGAGTCAACTCCCATCTCATATATCCCCTCTCTTTAAAGCGGGGTAGATAACTATCCACCAACGGCTACCTCTCCCGCTCCATTCCAGGTGCTCTGGGCGTTTGCCCTCTGCTTCTCTCTCCGGGATCGCTCACTTCTTGTTCTTCCGGAAACCAGGCCTCCTCAAGGCAACCTCGTCGCTTCGTCTCCTCTCTCTCTCTATCACCGTGGTTCTCCTTCTCCGCCTCTTCTTCCTCCTTATCCTGGTTCTACTTCTCTGTGCTTCTTCAGGTATCCCTTGTCCGCCACGTGGGGTCTCCTCAGTTCTGATTAGATCCCGCGGCGCCGCTGCCGTCGCTTTTCTTCAGAGTTTCAGGAGATTCCTTCCACACCTGTTGTTGTTCACCCCACGAGTTGCTGGATTTTTGTTAGGGTTCTCGTGGAAGTTCTTCTTTGCGGAGCAGAGGGAGATGCTCGGAGATATGATCGGTTGCGGTGCAATCGCGCCAAAGATATCCAGAACATGTTTTTCAGGAATCCTTTCGTACTCTGCCGGGCGAACGGGATTGATGTTCCGATTGGAGTCTGTAGGCTCATTCCGCAGGCCATATGGGCGCCGTGGTGATCGTGCTCTCTGTATCAATTCATCCAGGTGCTTCTCCCTCTGATCCTTCGATTACTGGAACATTGCGATTCCTCTATTTTGTTTCCCCTTCTCTTTGCTTTGCCCTAATTCTTCCCGAAGCATCGCAAAACAGATTGTAGGAATCTAATGATCGCTTCATAATCTGTAACCAGGGAGACGTCGTCTCACATCGTTGGCTACCCTCGGATCGGCCCCAAGAGAGAGCTGAAGTTCGCCTTGGAGTCCTTCTGGGACGAGAAGATCACCGCAGAGGGATTGCAGAAGGTCGCCGCCGAACTTCGGGTCTCCATTTGGAAGCAGATCTCCGACGCCGGGATCAAATACATCCCTAGCAACACCTTCTCGTTCTATGACCAGGTGCTCGACACCACAGCAATGCTCGGTGCTGTTCCTGACCGATATGGCTACTCCGGGGGAGAGATTGGGCATGATATCTACTTCTCCATGGCCAGAGGGAATGCCACTCAGCCTGCCATGGAGATGACCAAGTGGTTTGACACAAACTAGTAAGCGGTTTCTTTCCCCGATCATCACTCGATTACGGTTTCTGTTTTTTCCCTCTGCGAATGAATCAACCTGAATTATGCCTGTGATGCAGCCATTTCATCGTTCCCGAGCTCTCTCCGAGCATGAAATTCTCTTATGGCTCGCGCAAGGCTGTCTCAGAGTACAAGGAGGCCAAGGCGGTATGCCACCATTCTTCCCTGCAACATATGAACTGGTAATCCGCATTGCTGTTTTTGGTTTCCAGGCTTGGCATCCAGACCTACCTCCGAAGAACACCATTTACGCCCAATAGTACCCCTCCTCCAACCTTACTTCTGATACGATCATTCAGAACTCTGAGATAGAAAATCTTGAGATCCTGTTTCTTAAAAGAAAAATAAAAAAAAGAAAAAAAAGAAAAAAAAGGAGAAAACGGCTGTAGGAACATGAAATGCAGTGATCATTGAAACCTCACCGCTGCTGTTGAATTGATCTTTGTTCATGCGTTGTGAATTTCCTTCCCTCTGTTGAATTGGTACAGATTGTGACTTCGTCAGTTGATCTTACTCTGCAAATATATTTTTTGGTTTGCTCTTGTTTTGATGCAGATTGGAATTGACACAGTTCCTGTTCTGATTGGGCCCGTGTCCTACTTACTGCTCTCCAAACCTGCAAAGGGGGTGGAGAAGTCCTTCACGACTCTCTCTTTGCTTGGCCAAATTCTCCCCATCTACAAGTAAAATTCTAACCAACAATGAATTTATCTCAGGAATTCAGACTTTTATAATCGTAATTTTTTTCATGATCCTGCTCACATGTGACATCGATGAGTGAGAAATCAACAGGGAAGTGATCGCCGAACTCAAGGAGGCAGGAGCTTCATGGATCCAGTTTGACGAACCTACCCTTGTATTGGATCTCAGCTCCCACCAGCTGGAAGCCTTCTCGTATGCCTATTCTGAATTGGAATCCTCACTATCCAGTCTGAATGCAGTCATCCAGACTTATTTTGCTGATGTTCCTGCCGAAGCATACAAGTTAGTCGGCCATCCTCCTCCTCTGGCATCTTTCTCATCCGAGAGTATTCCTCACTATCTCTCTTTCCTGTGCTTCCCATCAGGACTGTCACAGCTCTGAGCAGCATTTCTGGATTTGGGTTTGACCTTGTTCGGGGAAGTCAAACGCTGGAATTGATTAAGAGCTACTTCCCTGCTGGCAAGTACCTGTTTGCCGGGGTTGTGGATGGAAGGAACATCTGGGCTAATGATATTGCTTCATCGCTCTGCACCCTGCAGGCTCTTGAGGCCATTGTGGGCCGAGGTGGGTCTTTTCCCTGGTCAAAATCCTCTTCCTCCCCAGGCCCGGGCTATCCTGAACTCCTTTGCCATTTTATGTCAGACAAGCTTGTCGTCTCCACCTCCTGCTCGCTTCTCCACACTGCGGTTGACTTGGCGAACGAGTCTCAGCTGGACGATGAAATCAAGTCGTGGCTGGCCTTTGCTGCCCAGAAGATTGTGGAAGTCAACACCTTGGCCAGGGCGCTGGCTGGGCAGAAGGATGAGGTGCACATTCATCGCAGCTATGTTCATACCTCCCAAGAAAAATAAACCAGTATCAACCCTAGTGACCTCCATTGTTTCCTCGATCTAGCAATACTTTGCAGCCAATGCTGCCGCCCTGGCGTCGAGGAGGGCATCTCCTAGAGTGATCGATGAGGAAGTCCGGAAGGCTGTCAGTGTTCATAATGAGGACTCTTTCCCAGCCAGCCCTCTTCAGGCCGGTGACGATCTTCCTTCTCTCACCAGTCTTTCTTTGGCGTTGACTTTTCAGGTGGCTGGGCTCAAGGGTTCTGACCACCGCAGGGCTATGAGTGTCGGCGCCAGATTAGAAGAGCAGCAGAAGAAGCTGAGCCTGCCGGTTCTTCCCACCACCACCATCGGTTCCTTCCCCCAGACAGTGGAGCTCCGGAGGATCCGCCGTGAGTACAAGGCCAACAAGTAAGCTTCCTGGCCCCAGTCAGCGAAAGTCAACCCCGATTCCGACGATCTCAGCTCCACTGGTATGTACTTCATATGGGATCTGTTTATCTACTCACAGGATCTCTGAGGAGGAATACGAGAGGGCCCTCAAGGAGGAGATGCAGAAAGTTGTCAGTCTCCAGGAGGAGCTCGACATTGACGTCTTGGTCCATGGCGAACCTGAGGTACCGATCCGTATCAGGCACTGCCTGTTCATAGTAATTCTTCCTTATACCAGGAAGCAGAAGGTTTCATCCTTGTGGATTCAAAGATTTGAATGGGCATCATCTCTCTCCAAGATCAGATTGTGGGGAAATCCAGGTAGGAGATGGTTAGTTCTGATCTTCTGATCCGTGGTGTTGCAGAGGAACGACATGGTGGAGTACTTTGGGGAGCAGCTGTCGGGGTTCGCCCTGTTGGTCAACGGCTGGGTGCAGTCCTACGGGTCCCGCTGCGTCAAGCCGCCAATCATCTTCGGCGACGTAGGCCGCCCCCGGCCCATGACGGTCTCCTGGTCAACGGCAGCTCAGGGCATGACGGCTCGCCCCATGAAGGGCATGCTGACGGGGCCCGTCACGCTGCTCAACTGGTCCTTTGTCAGGGACGACCAGCCCAGGTGGGAAGAAGCAGGAAGAAAATGGCGGCACCGCCGCCCTCCTCCCCTTCGTCCTCATCTGAAGGCTGATCCCGAGCTCGCCTCCCGCAGATCCGAGACTTGCTACCAGATCGCCCTGGCCATCAAGAAGGAGGTGGAGGATCTCGAAGCCGCTGGGATCCAGGTTTCTTGGATTCTCTCTCCTCCTCCTGCTTCTTCTTCTCACTCCTCACGGTTCTACCTGGTTCTGCAACTTCTTCGTCATCTTCTTCAGCATCGTCTTCTCTCTCTCTCTCTCGGTTCGCAGGTCATCCAGATTGACGAGGCTGCCCTACGAGAGGGGCTTCCTCTGAGGAAATCCGACCAGCCCTCCTACCTCGCCTGGGCCGTCCACGCCTTCCGGATCACCAACTGCGCCGTCAAGGACTCCACTCAGGTGCTCGCTCCTCTTTCACGACCGTCATCGTCATACGTCTTCGTTCTTCTTGTTCATCGGCATCGTCTGGTTTTGTGGGGCAGATCCACACGCACATGTGTTACTCGAACTTCAACGAGATTATCCCCTCGATCATGGAGATGGACGCCGACGTGGTCACCATCGAGAACTCCCGCTCTGACGAGAAGCTGCTGGCGGCGTTCGGCGGAGGCGGCGCCGTCAAGTACGGCGGCGGCATCGGCCCGGGAGTGTACGATGTCCATTCTCCGAGGGTGCCGGAGGCAGCGGAGATTGTCGGCAGGATCGGGAAGATGGCGGGGTTGCTGGACTGGCGGCTGCTCTGGGTGAACCCCGACTGCGGCCTCAAGACCCGCCGGTACTCCGAAGTCCGCCCTGCGCTCGCCAACATGGTCGCCGCCGCCAAGCTTCTCCGCGTTGACCTTGCCGCCGCCAGCTGACACGCCAGAAATCCCCTCCCACCGCCAACCTTCTTCTCTTGTTCTTCTTCCTATATCCTTTTCTCTCCACCTCAACCATTGCAAACAGATCCTCTCTCTCTCGCTCTCAGTTTTGCTTTTGTCCCTCCGCCTGTCGCAGATCAGCTCAGAAGAGAGAGAGAGAGAGAGAGAAAGAGAAACATCCGATCAAAAAGTTGATATTTCGATAAATAATAAGAGAGAGGCATAGAGACAGTCGGCTCGACTTATATTACATGATGCGATGAAGACATCCGATCAAAAATTAAATCTTTCGATAAAGAATGAGGGAGAGAGAGAGAGAGAGAGAGAGAGAGAGGATGGCCAAAAAAAGGGTAGTTCACATGAGGACGCCGGCGACGTTCCGGAGAGCCTTCCGGGCGAGGTCGAACCTCGCCCGCGAGGCGGCGTCGCCGACCACGTGGCGGCTTATGAAGAATTCAAGGCCCCCGCGGAGTGCCTCCAGCTCCGGCGGCCCGGCGACCCTCGTGAAGACGGTCCACACGACGGCGTCGGCGGCCGCCAGCAGCGCCTCGAACATCATCCGAAAATGCATCACCTTCCGCGCCGCCATCGCCCCCCCTAAGTCAACGGCCTTCAGTGCCGCCAGCGGCAGCGCGAATGACGTCAGCATCTCCGCCGTGAACCTCGCCAGGTTCAGGGACCGCCCCAGCTCCATCCCCTCCAGCTCCTTGTAGTGGTCCCACAGGCAGTACTGGTGACGCAGAGACCATCCATCCAACATGTGTCAGTTTTTGCTCTCCCTTTCCAACCCTGTCCAAAAGTCAACGCTCTCCGGGATACCTGGAGAGTGAACTTGTGGTTCTTGTCGTGGGCGCAGAATTTGGTGGCGAGGACGGCGTAGTAGCGGTTGAAGACCTTCTCCTGAAGGCAGCATTCCACCAGGACCCTCATGATCTCCCTGTCCTGCATGCATGCATGTCCATTCGGTCAACCAGCCGTCTTTCCATCGATAGCAAAAAATAAAATAAGATCAACGGCCTCTAGATCCTGTCCGAAGTCCCTGACGGAAATAGCAAGAACCCCCGGCCGACAGAATCAGCTCAATCTGGCCACCTAGCCAATTGGAGAAAGCCACCAGCTGAGAATCAGGAATCAGACGATCATCTGATGCCCATCTCGATCCTGATCCGCTGATCATGAGACCGCCCGTATGTGCGTTAGAGAGAGAGAGAGAGAGAGAGAGAGAGAGAGGAGGGATGGACCTGCTTGCCAGAGAGATCAAGGCGGAGAATCTTCTCGAAGGCGTCGATGTAATCCTCCCCGCTCATGATGATGCAGAAGATGGCCCTCCTGACGTCGGTGTTCATCCGCTGGGCGGCCGCCAGCTGGACGAGCCGCTGGGCCTCAGGGGCCTGCTGGTCGGTGGCGGTGGCCACCTCCCTGATGTCATCGGCCGCCGTTGAGGTCGACTCTCCGGCCAGCCACCACTGCCCCTTCTTCTCCGGGTCCAGCAGCTTGCCCCAAGTGAGATTCCTCAGCAGCACATCATCCGCTCTCAGCTGCATGTCAAAACATACATTGAGAAAGCTCTCAGAGAGAGAGAGAGATAACTTAGAGAGGGAGCATAGTGTAGGAAGAGAGCTTAGAGAGAGTAGAGTAGAGTAGAGTAGGGAGAGAGAGAGAGAGAGTAGAGTAGTGTAGAGAGAGATAAGAGACGAGTGGAGAGAGTATAGTAGAGAAGAAAGAGGAGTAGAGTGGGGGGAGGGAGAGAGAGAGAGAGAGAGAGAGAGAGAGAGACCTTCTGCAACCATTTCTTGATCCGAATGTGATGGGCGGGGTCCTCTCTGGCCTTCTTCTTGTTGTTCTTGATGTCACATATGGTCTCCAGCATGAACTCCATCTGCACAGATGGCTCTCACACATTTACACACTCGAAAATAATAATTCCCACCAAAAACTTACACAAACCTGAAGAACATGGGCATACTAAGGCGTAATAGCCTTTTCTTATATTTTACATATACGTAAAATCTGTAAAAATACATACATGAGAAAAATAATTCACACCAAAGAACCTACATGAAAAACCTACATGAGCATGAAAAAACGCACCCTCTTGCCTTTCCCAGAGGCTGCGGCGGCATCCAACTCGTTCACCCTGCTCTGAATCCCAACGATGAACTGCATCATCGCGCTGGGATCACCGGCCCTCAGCTTCATCCCGCAACCTAATTCGTACACCCATAAGAGCAGAGCTTCTCATCAGTCAACGTTGACATAAGTTTTGAAAGAGCATGAAAGGGGAGTGCCAGTATTTAAATCGCAGGAGAAGTCAACAGATTCCGGTCTTGACCAGTGGAACACCCAATCTGGGTCTCCAATTTTCCATCTCACCATAGTCAAACAGCAGGTTGACCAGTGGACATTTGACTCGGCCAATCCCAATCAGCAGGTTGACCATCGGCAGAGTATGATCCAACCCGCCAGTCCAGTTCTTCTGACTAAAGTGTTGACCCATCTGACCCGAGTCAAACAAATTCCAAACAGTACGGATTTAAATCGACAGAGTCCGATCCAAAATAATTCTTTACTCATCCAACCCGACCTTCAACTAAGCTCCAAGCAGTATGGTCTGAGCTGGTCTAGAGATACATTTTCCCACTGCTACGAATAGGAATCATCAACTTGATGTCATTAGACAGGATTCAGAGGGACTCACATTGAAGGACTGTCAAGATGGTGGACACATCTAGCTCGGTCAGCCGCTTGGTCAGAACCAACAGAAAATCGTAAATCAGGTCACTGCAGAGCCAAAAAAGCTGCGGCATTTAGAGTCTCATTTATTATTGGAAAACTGGGAGATCGGGAGGAGGGGCAAACCTGCCGCAGGCTCCAAAGATGTACAAGTAAGAGAGCAGCAGTGTCAGGTTTCTCAGAGAAAGGCCGTCCTCCTTCTGGTATTCCTCCTGTAAACAAAACCCAGATGATACTCCAAACCCTGAAGAGGGACAGCCAAGGTCAACCCCCATGGAAAAAGACAGGGAGATGGGCACCTCAAAGGATCTAGCAAGAGAAGCGATCAGCTTGCCACCAAAGTCAACTCCTACTGAACAAGCCATGCCTGCAACAAATGCTGCAAAGACGGCAGCGTACCTGCACAGGAGGGAAGAGACTGGTCAGAGTATCCAAAGTGGGGTCCAGTCCTCAGACCAGACTATTTTTCGGGCATTCATAACAGAATAAGCAGGCCAGGACCAGAACTGTCAAAAGGCAAGTCAGATAGGGGCCCCACAATGACTCAAGACACACCAGTACAGGAAAACACAGCAGGAGTCTAAGAACATAAGATAGGGATTTTGACTTAATACATTGTTGACCTTGCATTAGTGGCATATATACCTTCAATTATTTAGTTATCAATGAAATGCTAGGAAAAAGAGAAAAAAATGTCAAGATATCCTGGTCAGGTAATGTTGGATGGGCTTCGGAACAAAAATATTGGGGCATAAAAAAGTTTCAAAATTCATCACTGTGATGTTCTTGCCATTCTATCATGTTTTCAGGAAGAAACCGATTCCCTCTTTGGACTGATTTAGCAAGAAGTGACTCTGTTCGCCTACTTAATGCAAACATGTGCCCCGGGGGGGTTGAAGAGATAGTCTGCCCTTAACTGTTCATTTCCTCGAAGTCCTCCGGAGCAAGATGACAGCACCTCCTCACTAATCACCTGGCAGCTGATACTGCGGCCCATGGACTGCCAAATAAAAATGTAAAACCGGACAAGAGTAATCATTAATAAACCAGGCAAGTGATTACAATGCGTCAAGTCCTCTATGCTGCATGGAAGTAAAGTAGGAAAAGATAACGTAGCAAGCATATGATCTCATCATAGAAGCCAGAGTCAAAACGGTGCTGACAATGAAAAATAATTACAGTCGAGGGCATTACCTGATACATGCCTGCAATTTCGTGAGTGATAGACTCGATATTCGATTCAGAAAGCCTGTTAAGAAGCCCTAACCACAGAAACAACAAGGTTCACCAATTCAAAGAGGAATCCAAAGATAATATAAAAATCATAACAGATGAATAAGTACCATACCTCTCACTCTGCGTCGCATCTGGGAAATCTCCTCCGACTCATTACCAGGGGAGGATCTCAAGTGAGGAGCAACGTACTTTGTAGTTCCATCACCTGCAGTTCTCTTAGCCATCGGTTCTTCATGAATAATTGGCTGCTGTGTGGAGACTCCGTCTGGAGCACCAAACTCTCTCGTTTCAATCTGGTCATTTTCCGCAGGACTGGAAGGTTTCATCCTCTTCCGCTTTTTAGTAGATGAGACATTCTTACGATCTTCTTCAAATCTGCTCTTCTCTCCAAAACCCACGTCTTCATCAAGAGCTGAAGGAATCCCCTCCAACAACATGTCAAGGCCGTCGTCAAAGCCCCCCAGTTTGCCACGCTTTACCTTGAGCTTCTTAGCAAGTTTCTTCTCCGCTTCCAAGTCAAATTGATCAGAGGAACCCACCATGTTCATCTCCATATCCATGAACTCTTCGAACTTGGTCTTCTTCCTGCTTTTCTTCTTAGTCTTCTCTTCCTTCTTTTTATCACAAGCTTTCATCTCTCCCCTCACCTCAAAACTTGCTTTAGGTTTTGAATCAGCAGGTGGGACGGGTTCAGTATCTTTCTTCCTCTTCTTCGGAAGCTCCGGTGGATATGGTTGTTGCGGCTCGATCACTGTCTTTTTCTTCTTCTTAGCATTCTGAATACAATGAAGAAGAAGAAAAAATAAAACAGAAATCTGACTTCACTTGGGAATTTCATCATCCAACTTGTCAGCAAAGTTCTTATATTCTACCAAATTATAAATTTTATTCTTAAAGCTTCGCGAGATCTTAGAGTTTAAAAAAACAGAAAATTTGATTGAATCAGGCGTTTCATCAGACATTTTGTCCTAATACCTGGTACTGAAGCCACGACTGCAATTTTTTTTGCTTCTTGGCCTTGCGTCCGTCCTTCCGCCTCTCCTTCCGGAACTTCTCCGTTGGGGCATCGTCTATCATCCAATCCAAAGAAAAGCAAAGATAGAAATATCTTACAACCTTCAAGTGATTAAGCGAAGAACACGAAAGAACGGCAGAAGAGAAAAGGGCATCGAAATCCCTCACTCGTCGTTTCCTCCGAATCTCTGTCACTTGAATCCCTCGCCATCTACACAGATAATCGCTCTCCCGCTGAAAACACCCAGACAATGCCAGATAGCTCTCCGGCAAACGGGGCACATCAACTACGACGCGTGAAGAGGATCGGCGGCGGAGTGAACGGCTCAGGACATCTTCCACAGGATGTGTGCGTGTGTGTGTGTAAGAGAGAGAGAGAGCGAGAAGAGAGTAGAGTAGAGAGGAGCAATAGGGGAAGAAGTTGGAAGCGGCGGGAGGGATGCAGGAAGGGAAGACTACGGCGGAGGTGGAGAGAGAGAGAGAGAGAGAGAGAGAGAAGGGAGGGAGAGAATAAGGCCCATTAGGAGTGGAGAGGAATTGGGCCAACAATGCGCCAAGATATGGAGGGTTTTGTCACACGAGAGCCGATCGTAGTTAATGGGCCTAATGTGACTAATATGTGGGCCAAACTGGCCGATTTTATTCTGGGCTTGGGCTTCTTCATTGGGCCCCTAAAAAAATCATATAACAAGTTTATGTGCCGGGCTTTTGGAGCTCCGGCCCGGCCCGAATTTTGGCCCAAAAGTAGCAAAAGTCTACTTTACCGTACCGTACGGATAATCCCTACATTCCGCGCACGTCCCATTCATAATAATCAATTAATATTTAATTTTAAATTATTTAGCTTGCAATAAATTGGAATTAAGCCCAATATATATTTAACATGGGATAGTTGACTGCCCCATCCCTCACCTCCCAGCACGCATAGCTGTAGAGGGGCCGGGCCTGTGAATTTTCCGGGCCGGGCCTTGACAGTACCTCCAGTCCTACGGTCCTCTCTCTCTCTCTCTCTCGAGATCTGTCACTGAAGCAGACTCAACTGCCTGGGAAGAACCTCCAAAATGCTTCCGCCCGCCTCTTTCTCTCTCTTCTACCTCGCACCTGGCGCGCTGGCCATCTTCTCCGCCGTTGTCATACTCCTGGTCTATGGCCCCGCCACCTCCGTCCTCCACCTGCAATGGCGACAATCCACCGCCGGCCTTCCCGGACATTTGGAAATCGCCGCCGCAAACAATGTGTCCCCTGCTGGTGCCGGCGTTCCCATACCGGTGGCGTCAGGGCAGGCGCCGCCTTCTCCGGCAGGATCGGTGGGGAAGAGAGACAGATTTGGAACCAGGACGAAGGATCAGGGACCAGCCGGTGGCCGGCGCCTAGGTATGCATACACCCCCCTCTTCTTAAGCTTGAAGTATAATTCGACGTAATTCTTTAATCTTTCACGTCTTCCAGAATTTCGCAATCACCAGGGGCGACATTTCCCTATCTTCTTACAGATCACGTAGATAATTCATGTTTTGGGCGATCGGGAGATTCGCATAGATTTTTTATCCTTTTTATTATTATTATTACTGTGGGGATATGATCCTCGTTGGCGATTTGAGCAATTTCATATCTCGCCTCATATGATGTTTTCCGTTGACCATCTTTCCCTCGAAGCGAAAACTTCAGGCATCTACGATAAGATATCCCCCTCGATCTTCCGAAACTAGTATTGAAGTTTTTTTTTTGTTTCCACTAGGTATACTTGGGTTTCAGTGAGGGATAGCCACTGCAATTGAACCGATGGTACCTTCTACTATTGTGTTATCTGCACCCACATCGTAAGCTGTTTCTATCGATCATAGAAATTTGAGCTCGACTTTTTTCATATTTCTGATGGTATCCGGTGATTAATTCATTTGGATTATAGATCCTATTAGTCACCGTGCTCAGTAGGATTGTGAGTGGTGCAGAAGCATCTCAGACGTTCTCAGCAGGCCATCTTAGGCACGGTAGGCGTTCTGAACGTATTGCACATTGGAAATCGTTACATATTTGATAAGAATAGTGCCATCGTCAACCTGGAATCGCAGTCTCTCTTTTATCTCTCTCCCTCCCTCTCTCTCCCTCTTTCTCCAATGTTATATCCTTGCCGAGGACTCTTCTCTCTTAGCTTCCCTGTCAGGAGTTTTGAACATTGTTCATGAGGAAAATTTTGGAGATCAAATGGATAGAGCTGATGGGTATCTCACACGATGTGGATTTTTTCGTGAAAAACAATTATCCACGCCAGTGAGTGCGAGCCAAGTTCTTTCAATTGTTTGCTTTTTTTTGAATCATTTACTTGCTAAAAACCAGAACTGAAAGATGAAGACCGGATGAATTATTTCAGAACATCAAGTGTTCAAACCATTTTCAGACATCAAGTAGTCAAACTATTTCTCTTATGTATCTCACGGGATGCACCATACTCGATCATTCTGAGTCACATTCAAATGGTCTTGTGCCTGCTTTTGAATCACGCTACTACCAAAAGAAAAAAAAATAAAAATCTGAGAGGAACTAGTGGTCGCTGCAGAAAACCATAGTGTGCAGTCGAACTATATATTTCAATATTTACCACACTAAATATAGTATTTTCTCATTAAAAAAATAGTATCTACAACAGGGTGTAGTAAATCAAATTCAGTAAATTGTGTGCCTGGAGTTGGAAGTGAAACAGAAAAAAAATTGTAGTTCCTCTGTGATACCGGGGAGGAAAGGTTTCAGATTTCTTATTTGGTCTACCATTTGACTTTGGTCAGGGAACAGCATCCAGAGCTTTGTTTTCCACGACAAGTACTCCTTTCTTGAAGATTACAAGGAGATGAACAGAAGCTTCAAGATTTATGTTTACCCCCATCGCAGAGACGATCCCTTTGCACATGCCCTTTTACCCGTGGACTTTGAACCAGGAGGGAACTACGCCAGCGAGAGCTACTTCAAGAAACTCCTCATGGAAAGCCATTTCATCACAAAGGATCCATCCGAAGCCAGTCTCTTCTTCCTTCCCTTTTCAATTGCAAGGCTGCGGCATGATCAGAGAGTCAACGTTAATGGCATTGCCGACTTTGTCCGAGGGTACATCTCCAGAATCAGGCAGAATTACCCATATTGGGATCGAACAGGTGGTGCCGACCATTTCTATGTTGCTTGTCACTCAACGGGAAGGTCAGCCATGGACAGAGCTGAAGAGGTCAAGCTCAATGCGATCCAGGTCGTGTGCTCGGCGAGTTATTTTTTGTCTGGGTACGTGGCACACAAGGATGTGTGCCTCCCACAGATCTGGCCCAGAAAGGGAAATCCACCCAGCATTCGTTCTTCCCAGAGGTAACAGATCTTCTTCATCAAGTATGCATAGATCACTCTGTGACAAAACCTTATACTTTTTTCAATTTCCTATTTACTGTCTCTCCTGACTATCCACATTTCTGCATCCATTCTTGAGGCAGCGATACTCTATTTTGCTACTTCTTCCCCAAACATGTTAAACCTTTTTTTTCTGATATGTAAATATGTTATGTGCGTGTATATGTATATATATACATCTATTCATTCTTGTCATGGCTTAAGGCTCATTTTATTCACCCACTTAGTTTATAATCAAAGTTGACCAAATTTTGGTTCCTTTTGAAAATCCCAGGAGCAAATTAGCCTTCTTTGCGGGATCGATCAATTCCCCAGTCCGTGAGATGCTCCTCCGAGCATGGGAGAACGATTCAGAGATCTCCGTCCACCATGGCCGCCTCCCAACACCATACCCTGAAGCTCTCCTCAGCAGCAAGTTCTGCCTCCACGTCAAGGGCTTCGAAGTCAACACCGCCAGGATCGCCGATGCAATATTCTATGGCTGTGTGCCCGTGATCATAGCCAACCACTACGATCTCCCCTTTAGTGACATCCTGAACTGGAAGAGCTTCTCTCTGGTCGTCGCCACCCTCGACATTCCGCTGCTCAGAGAAATCCTCCGAGGGTTGACCTCAGAGGAGTACTTGCAGATGCATGAGAACCTTCTGAAAGTGAGGAAGCATTTCCGGTGGCACCTCAACCCACAAGACTACGACGCCTTCCACATGGTCCTGTATGAGCTGTGGCTCCGGCAGGGTGTCGTGAGGTTCCCTCTCACCGGCCTGCCTGATTCTGACCGACGCAGATATGGAAATTCTTCAGTAGGTCTCCTGGGAGCTGGATGATGATGATGATGATGATGATCCAGGCAGGCAAGGCAGCAGATGAGCAATGAAGATCTGAGATGCTGCCCACATTCAGACATCAATGATTATACCAGTTCCTGATTATTCTTGACCAATGATTATACCATTTCGGATGGGAGATCATTTTTTTTCACCAGGATTGGATCAATTGGAGATCATGTTTCTGGGATCAGATGCTCTGAGGATGCTGTCTTGGGGTCAACCCGCGGAACGATTCATTCCACCAATGCTTGATGCAGGGTCAGAAGATCTTCCCTTGAATCGGGTAGAACCTTTTCAGATCTTCTGAAAGCTGTAACCAGATTCCAGATTCATCGGTCTGGATTTCGTGAGGAATTCTTTGAGGAGGTTGTGTATGGCGGAGGAGCCTTCTTCGATCTAAAGGTCCAAGATTTCGGGCAGTCATCCCTAGAAAGGTATGACTGTGCCCAGATTACAATCTGCCAAGTATCGTTGACTTTTTTTTTGGTTGGTTTTAGGTCTCCGAAATTCTCCCAACCTGCAATAAGCCCCCGTTATTGTAGAATGACACAACTAATATATTTTTTTTATAGTTTTGGTCCCACATAATACTCTGAATTATTTTTTTATTTTAATCTCCTTCAAAATATTCCCAACCTGCAATATATGAGACACATAATGTTTTTAATTTTTTTTTTTACGTTTTTTTTTTAGTTTTAGCTCCCCCTAAATGATCCCAACCTGCGGCAACTAACTATTATAGAAATAGAAAAATAATGTTTTGGTCTTTTTTTATTTTGCTCCCCTAGAATGGTGGAACTAGCAATAAGCCCCTGCGTCCTCCGCCAGTCGCGTATAATTTTCCAGCGTGTATTTTTAGAAATAAGCCCCTCTGCTTCCTGGCATGCCCTCCTTTTATCTTGCCCAGCTAGTCTTCCAGGCTTTTAAAAATATTTGGAGAGTCAATTATATCGATTCATTTTTTACAGGGACTTATCACCAATTCGAGAAGGAGATTTATAATTCCTTTAAAAAAATAATTTTGTCCAGATAATGACAGAGAGACAGACACAGAGAGAGTAGTGCCCCCCCTCCCCCAACCGCGGGCCCTGGAGAGTACAATGTGAGTGAGAGAGAGAGAGAGAGAGAGAGAGAGAGAGAGAGAGGCTCGCCGTGATCCTACAGCCGGAGGTGGTATTTGCTTCTGGAAGGTTCAAAGGCGGGACTGGTGGAGAAGGCACGTGGCGGTGGTGTGCCTAACCGGCCTCGGTAGTTCCTCCCGTCCTGATCTTGTTGCGGAAGGATTTGTTGCAGAGCGGGGGAGGAGTGGGGATCGAGGATCCCGCTGCACCTGACCTTGAGGTTTGATCGCCGTTCTTCTACGGGCTCTTCCTGTTCTGATAGAAGGAAATATCATCTGCTTGTTGTTTCCGCGATCTTGTCTCCTGTGTTTTGATCTCGGCTTGATTCGTCCTGCTTTTTGTTCCTGTTTCCTCATTTCGTTGCTTAGACGGTAGAAACAGCAAGCAGATCACCAAGGATGGAGGTAGTGCTGCTGGTTTTCTTGGGAACTCGGTTGCTTGATTTGAAATCCGGCAGGCGGGAGTGGAGTAGGTTCTTCATGTGGTTGTCGTCAATTCCTCATGTACTCACAATGCAGTTGTATGAACTAGGCCAGCGTGGACTTCTCCGATTGATTTCTCCTCTCTTCCTGCTCATCGGCTTCTTCGAATCTCTCCTGCTGTGCTGCTTTCCTTCCTGTCTCGAGAGATTATAACGTCTTGAAATGCGCGATGTTCAACAATCTTTCCTTGCACATCTCGAGGGCTTCCTCATAAACTCCGCGGTTTGAACGGAAGAGAACCTTTGGAAATCCTGGATCACCATCACGTTTGCAGTCGAACATTTCACATCGATCGATCATGTTTTCTATTTTTACCCTATTTTCTTACGTTTTGGCCATGCATAAATGTTGCCGGTTCTCTGCTCTCTCCGCATGCTGCTTTGTTTCGCTCTCGATTCGTAAGAATTAGGATTGCTGCTCTTTGAACGGCAAGATGGAGGCCATTCATTCTAACTTCACAGCCAACAAATGTTGATTCTTCAATCTTCTTTAGGCAAAAATCTCCTGAGACTGGGCGGAGGAGATCGCAGAGATGGCTGCGATCGAGGAGGAAAGCCTTGCGAAGTTGAAACTGCACCTGAAGGTCAAGAACAAGGAGAAGGAACCCCGGACAGGGAAGGAGGAGATCACAGAACTCAAAATGGACGTGAAGGATAAGAAAGGTAAGAAATCAATGGAGGGAGATGATGGAGTAAGAGGAGATGAGCGGCCCGAACGAGATGAAAAATCATGGGTGAAGGAAGAGAAACATAGGGGGGATGATGGAGATGATAGAGAGAGAAAAGAAAAGGAGAAGGACAGAGGGAAGGGGATGGGAGAAGACAAAGGTGCTTCTGATGAGAACCAGGGGAAGAGGGAAGAGGAGGAGGGGAGAGATCGAGAATCGTCAAAAGGGGAGAAGAAGAGAGAGAAAAAGAGCACCAAGGGAGAGAGAAAGGCAGTACGGGAGGAAAGAAAGAGAGAGAAGAAGAGCACCAAGGGAGAGAGAAAGGCAGTACGGGAGGAAAGAAAGAGAGATAAAGACCTAGAGGAGAAGGGAGATGAGCCAGAAGCAGCAGAAGAAGCGGGAGAGAAGAAACGAAGAGAAGGGTGCGATGAGAAGGAAGAAGAGAGAGAGGAAAAGGAGAGAGAAAGTACGAAGAAGGAGAACAAAGACCACAAGAGGGAGAAAGGGAAGGGAGACGTTGAGAACAAGAGGGAGAAAGGAGGGGAGTCCAGTGAGAAGGGCGAAGAGTCCAAAGACGACAGACCAGAAGCAGCTGAAGAGCGCAAAGGGAAGAAGGGGGATGTAGCACGCAGAGAGAAACTGCAGCACGAGAAGGAAGAAGATAGAGAGAGAAAGGAAAGGAAGAAAGAGAGAGAAAGGAGAAAGATGAGAGCAAGGGACAGGGAGATGGGAGAAGAGGGCAGAGCAGCAGAAGGCGCTTCTACTGAGAAACAGGAGGAAGACAAGGACGCCAGAGGAGAGAGAAAGGCTGAACAGAAGGAAGGGAAGTGGGAGAAACCAGTGGAAGGCGTTGAGAGTAAGGCCGAGAGAGAAGTAGGACTGGAAGAGAAGGGTAGAAGGCGAGAAGAGAAACACGTGGAAGACGAGAAGAAGCAGAAGATGATGATGATGATGATGAAGAAGAAGAAGAAGAAGAAAGAGGAGAAGGGAAATGGCGACCAGGAGGACTCTCTAGGGAAGCTGAACCAGAAGCTTGAAAAGATCGACAAAAAGATTGAATCTCTACTCGCCCAGAAGGCATCTCTCCTGAAGACAATCAAAGAAACCGGGGAGGGCTCATTAGCTGCTCCTGACGCTGAGCTCAAATGAAGGGAAGAGTAAAACTCACTCACTCTCTCTCTCTCTCTCTCTCTCTCTCTCTCTCTCTTCCTATCGCTACTTGCCCAGAAGGCATGTCTCCTAAAGACGATTAAAGAAACCGAAGGTTCATTTGCTGCTCCTGACGCTGAGCTCAAATGAAGAGAAGATTAAAACACACACAGACTCTCTTTCTCTCTCTCTCGACTCGTCCTAGTGTGCATCGATATTTAAAAGTATAACTTATCTTAGTTTACTATATCGGGAAAGTAAGCGCACGGTTGGTGTTCTAAGAAATGGCAAGTCGGAAGGCTACCGTCGGTGGGGCCCTTATCCGGCTGTCCGTGAGTTCGGATCCGAATCAGGTCCCCATTAAATATGGGCGGGGGGACCTGTATAGTTATTGAGCCCATTAAATAAGGGATCTTTTTAAAACTTAGTCATCAAGATCCCTTACCGTGAGGAGAGAGAGACAGAGATTTTGTCTGAATCTATGATTGAAGAGAGGGAAACTTGGTGATGATCTGAGGAATCTACGGCGAGAAGAAAAGAGATAGACAGATAGATAGATATATTGATAGATCGAGAGAGAGAGAGAGAGAGAGAGAGAGCATTACAGTAGAGAGATAGATAGATAGAGGTAGACAGCAGACTGCAGTTGTTTTCTGACTCCATTATTTTTCATAAGGAAAATGTTCATCTACTGTAATATTCGTTTACTAGTCCGACATCGGTGTCGTCATCTCCCGTCAACCAGCTCCAGCTACAACTGGACGGCTCCTCGTGCTCCCCCCCCCCCAAAGTCAAATCAAGAGTTCCATTCTCTTTCTTTCTCTCTTCCCCCTTGTCCCCCTTCTCTCCCTCTCTCCTCCCCCCCTCTCTCTCTCTCTCCTCTCTCTATCTCTCTTCCCGCTTGTCCCCCTTCTCTCCCTCTCTCCTTCCCTCTCTCTCTATCTCTCTCTAGGAGGCTTGTCGGGCGGCAGGAAGGCGGCGGAAGATGCGTCGGCTAACCCGCTTCAGTCGAGAAGCTACCAGATGCTTCTTCCACGTCGCCCCCGTCGCGCTGGTCTTCTCCTCCATCGTTGTCTTCCTCGTCTACGCGCCGGCCACCACTCTCCACCTCCGGCAGCTGAATTCCGACGCCGATCCTCTCCAGGACCCTTCCGCCAGCTCCGGATCCCCCACTCGAGGCAGCCTCCCCCCGGTCAACGGCTCTCTCAGCAGCACGGTCTTGGCGGCGCCGCCGCCTTCTTCTCCGGCAGAGGTCGAGGGTATTCCGGTCAGAGCAGCCGTTGACCCGCGTGCAGGTACGCCCCTCATCCCCCCTATCCCCGGCTATTCAGACCATAATTCGAGCGTTTCTTCCATTTGAATCGGGATCCATGAGCTGCACCGTGTTATGTAGAAATCCGATCTCATCGGCGATTACTGGGATTATTGTCAACGTATATTCGAAATCTTTTCTTCTTTTTCGTGATCATCCTGTTCCCGAAGCCTCCTTCTGCTTCAGAAACCTGCTGTTCATCTTCCCGGCCCATCTTCTTATTCTTTTCGTCCGCAGAACACGTTCGATCGATGATGATTCAGCTGGATTTTTTTTATATATAATTATTCTCTAAAGAAAGAAACGTAGCCCTTGTCGCTTTGGTCAACCATCGATGCCCAACAGAAATATTAAAAAAACAGATGGAATTATATGCCTCCTAATAGGGTATAAGAGATTGCGCACTGCTTCTCCCTCTGGTCAACGTTCTGGTCGTCTGTTTCAGGCGGCGGCCGGGTCAAAAAGAGCTCGGTCTTCCTCGACGGGGACCTCTTTTTGGAAGACTACCAGGAGATGAACAGGAGCCTGAAGATCTTCGTCTACCCTCATCGGAGAAATGAGTCCTTCGCCCACGCCCTCCTGCCCGTGGACTTTGAGCCGTCGGGGAACTACGCCAGTGAGGGCTACTTCTTCAAGACCCTCGTGAGGAGCCACTTCATCACGGATGACCCCTCGGAGGCTGACTTTTTCTTCCTCCCCTTCTCGATCACGGCGCTGAGGAACGACCCGAAAGTCAGCGTCGGCGGGATCCCCGACTTCGTCCAGCGGTACGTCTCCGAGATCCGGCGGCGGTACCCCTTCTGGGATAGCAGCGGCGGCGCTGATCATTTCTACGTCGCCTGCCACTCCACGGGAAGATCCGCCATGAGCAAGACCCCGGAGGTGACTGTCAACGCCATCCAGGTGGTCTGCTCGGCGAGCTACTTCCTGCCCGGGTACGTGGCGCACAAGGACGTCTCGATGCCCCAGATCTGGCCCAGGAAAGGAGCCCCTCCCGAGGTTCGCTCCACGCAGAGGTAATCTTCAACTGTCCGTCCACCGTCCTCACCCAACAAGTCAACTACTCCCACCTGTCTCCTTTCTCTCCCACCTAAAAATGGATCATTTTTTTCTTTTTTCCTTCCCAGAAATAGCAAACTGTTCATGTTTATAGTTTACCGGCTTCAGGCATGTCTTCTTATCTTGGGACCTCCATTTTTCTTACCATAAATGTGAGGTGATAGCAGGAGCAAGCTGGCCTTCTTCGCGGGGGCGATGAACTCCCGGGTCCGACAGCAGCTCCTCGTTTCCTGGGTCAACGACTCCGAGATCTTCGTCAACCGTGGCCGCCTCCCGACTCCATACTCGGAAGCTCTCCTCAGCAGCAAGTTCTGCCTCCACGCGAAGGGCTTCGAAGTCAACACCGCCAGGATCGGCGACGCCGTCTTCTACGGCTGCGTCCCCGTCGTCCTCGCTGACCAATACGAGCTCCCCTTCTCCGACATCCTCGACTGGCGGCGCTTCGCCGTCGTCGTCGCCACCGTTGACATTCCGCTTCTGAAGGAGATCCTCCACGGGATCTCCCCGGAGGAGTACGAAGCCCTTCATGGCAATCTCCTGAAAGTTCGGAAGCACTTCCAGTGGCACCTCCCTGCGCGAGACTACGACGTCTTCCACATGGTCATGTACGAGCTGTGGCGCCGGCGGGGAGCCGTGAGTCTCCCTCTCCCCGCCACCGCCGCCGACGCCTAGGGTTCCGCCGGCGCCGCCAGTTCATCCCCGAGGGCGGAGGAGTGCAATTCGTCTGAAGATATGTAATTATTATTTTATTCAAATGACAGGAGGAAGAATAAATCCGAAAGAGGCAAGAAAATATGGAAAATTATGAAGGGAAAATAGTTGGAGAAGATGGTAAAAAAGAGAAATAATGTTCTTGGATATTACTATATGCAGATAAAAAAGGGTTTAATAGTAGACATAATGAGAGAGGTGGGATAAAATAATAAAAAAGAGTGTATGTGGACCACTTCAATGGGTCAAAGGAGCAGTCTTACTCAAATTTTTAATTAAATTCGGTATTTTACGGCCTTTATTCATTAATCCAGTAAAGTTTCTATTAGAATATTAAATGAATAATATTTTGATGATGACAAAGACACACAAAACCAATAATTAGATCCAATGATATTATTCTTGTTTATCCAATTATTTTAGTCATAAGCTGAAGATTAATTGAATATAAAACAAAAAATAATCATAAATAATAATTTTAAAATACCTAAATTAGGGATTTCATAAATTATTTATGAACAATAATATTGAATTCATGTTTTTTGTTAGTTAGTGTGGCATCTTAGAGCAGAACATAAGGGATAATGAAAAGGGGATTAGGCTAAATTTAGTAATTAATAAATTCCCCTATTTAGTGGTCAATACAACATAATAAGTTTCAAAAATTGGCAAAATAAATTGGTGCCCATTGATTTTATGATGTTAAAAATGATAATTTATGATGAAAAGTAATCTCAAAAATATTTGCTGAAGCAAGGTTTAATTCTAATTTTTAATATTTTTTTAAAAAAATTAGGAGAGCACCACATTTGGGAAATTCTTTTGAGAAGTCAATATTTTCCCTATTGAGGTGAGAAATTTGACATGCTCAAAAAATATTTATTAAAACTAATACTAATAAAAAAATACAACAAAAATGAATGTTGGGTGATGTGATCTAATCATTGTATAATAAATCACATAAATTTAAAATTTATAAAACTAGAAAATATTAAGTTTTTAGATTTTTAGAAATATTTCAGTACAAATAAATTAATTCTAATTTTCTGAAATATTTTTTAAAAATAGTGATACATTTTTAAAGTAATCACAAGGATGTAAGATAATATTTGATAATATTTTATAATTTTTCTCAAATAATATATATTTTTATTATTTTTAGATTGATGAGGACAAAATATATTTAAAAATTCATGAAAAAGAAAAATTCATGTGTAGATGTTATAGATGATTTAATTGATCAAATTAAGATCTATGAAAGTAAAAAAAATCATAACTTAATGAAGAATAATTTTGAAATTTAAAATAACATAGAATATCACTAATTTAAGTAAAAATAAAGTTTAAAATAAAAAAGTCAAAGTTTTAGTTTTGTGATAGTAATCATTGAAATTCAATGTGTTCAAAAGGATTATTATGCAATGTGCACAACCTCAAAAGTTCTTTTTAAATATGAATAATATGGATAATTTTTAGATATTCTTGCAAAATATAAAAATCAATTAAATGAGTCGACAAATCATCGCATATAATTCTCACCTAACATAGTGAAAATAGAGTGACTTTCAGATATTCGGTGACTATTGTCCAACAGAAATAAGTTAGATGAAAGTGGTATGTGTCTTAGGAAGTTTCATTCTCAACTCACACAATAAGAGGAGGTTATTCATCATATTTGATACACTCTTAGGAATTGGTGACTAGTCTTACAACACATCATCCTCTTCTTAATGGCATCTCCCTTGTTGATCAATTAGAGATTATTTTTTTGATAAATTTATGATCTTTTTATATAGAGTCATTTGTCAATTAGCTGACGATAATTAAATAATTATGATGGTTTAGTAATTGATTGGTGTTCTATAATAAAATTATGATTTAATAAAAAAAATATAAAATTTGCCTCTAGTGAGATTTGAACCTTTGTCGATCGCCTATTTACATAAGAGATAGTTAAATAAATATAGACATACCTTTATCTAGTAGAGATGATTCCTTCTCATAAATAAGAGAAATTTTAGATATAAAAATATGTAAAATTTACATGTGAGCATTGGTGTCTGTTTAGTCTCACATTAGTTATTTTTTAGTGTTTGACATGGATATATAATAATATCTAATTTTACTTTTGAGTTCACTCTCCCATAATCAAAATGACCAGGACTATTGAGAGAGGGCTAAGTTAGGTGGTATGTCCCCACATACACATGTGTACAAATGCTCCTTGCCCCATGACTAATTGACCCCCTAGATGTAGGAGAGTGACGACATGTGCTCTATGTGGGTCCTTTAGCCACTCAAGCCCTCCCACTCGTGACTCCCTAATTGTGTTTTTGACCCATGTGTGGACCTAGCTAACTAGTGGGTCTCTCATTTTTCTATATTTTAATATTTAATTTTATTTTATCTCAAAAATATCCCCATAAAAATCATATAAATTTATATAATTAACCAAAAGATCACATTAATCAACTAAATATCATTTTCTTAATCTAACACAAATATAAGATCATGAGTCAAGGCTTAAATATATTATTAATAAATTATTACTCATGATAATGAAAACTTATTATGGACATGTGATTTAATTGTTGTAAAATAAATCACATAAATTTATACAAAATAAAAAATAAAAATATTAAATTTAAATATTTATAGATTTGTCTGAACAAATATATCAATATAATTTAATAAAATCTCAAAAAATAGTAAGAATTTTTTAAGTAGAGTAAGATTTTTTAAGTAGTAAAAATTTAAAATATTTCTCAAATAATATGATTTTTTTTATAATTTTGGACTAAAATATAAAAGAAAAATTATTTAAAATTGACAACAAAATTTAGATGATGATAACATGATGATGCCAGCACTCAAAGAACAATGATTCATATGAAAATAAGGTTATTCTTGACAATTATTGTATAAACAATTACAATAAATTCAATTAATGAAATTGAGGTATGTAAATGCCAAATAAATTGCAATTGACTAAAGAATAGTTTCAAAACTTAACTTAACACAAATTATCATTAATCCAGAGATTAATAAATTTAAAATATGAAAAATAAACTTTCAATATCACGACGACAATTGTAGGAATTTAAAGTGTTCAAGAAGATCTAGATGTAGTGTCCACAACCTTAAAGGCTTTCTATGAACATATATGATGCATGTAGTCTTTAAATTCCCATGCTAAGTTTAGAGAGTGACAGTAGAAGTTGATGAAGCATCTTCGACAGTTGTCACTAGGTAGAGCAGAAGTTTAATGGCAATAAGTCTCAAGCAATTGTCACTCAATAGAATTGAGTTAGATGAAGGTGAAGTGCATCTCAAGAAGCTTCTTCTTCAAGTTTGTATATCAAGAGGAGGTTAGTATTGCATTTAGAACATCATGAAGAGGCTGCAATCAATCTTTCAACAAATTGTTGTCTTCGATGATGATGTACTCATCAACCAACTAGAGATGATTTTTGTGAGAAATTTATGATTTTTTATCTAAAAAAATCACTCGTTAGTTGCTAATAATAATCTCTAGATATTGTTGACAAATATTATGTTGATGATCAAGCACTTTTGGTGGCTCAATCATTGACTGATGTTCTACATAAAAATTATAGAATTAAAATATAATAAAGTTGTGATTTTTGACATAAGTGAGATTCAAACCTTTGACAGTCACTTGACTACATTACCTTCTCTTAATGTGGGGTATTTTCAGTATTACTTTTTCAGTGCGCTCTATCCATCTTTTATTATCACATTATTCTATTACCCTCTACTCTATTAGAAGAGGGTTCTACAAAATCAGGTGGTCACCCCCATATACACAGGTGACAAGATCATACCTTGCCCCATGCCCAGATGACCCCTAGTGATATAGAAGAGGACTGACGCACACCCATTATGCATGGTTTCAAGCTCAACTTGTGGCTCCCCCAATTGTGCTTCTCACTCATGTGTAATACTTTCTAGGTCAAGTGTTTAGTTACTATATCTCTTTTATATATATATATATATATTATTTTATTTCTATTTATTTTAACTTAAAAATATAAATAGAAAAATTATATAAATTCACATAATTAGCTAAAAGTTCACATAAAATATTTTTTTTTGATTTAACATAAATATAAAGTTATTCATCATAAGTTAATGTGTAAAATATATTATTAACTAATTATTTACTCATAATAATAAAAACTTATTATGATATACTTTTCTAGTAACTAAATGAGAAATAAATATCATGATTAATCTTTTTTAGTTGGTGCGACATCTTTAAGAACAAAACTATGAGGTGATGGAAATGGGATAAGGCTATAGTTAGTAATTACAACATTTCCCCTTCATTTTGTCAATTAAACTACCTTGGCAAATAAATGACGATATATAATAGAAAAATAAGCTAGAAAAATCTCAAGCAAATGGCTTTCATATCCCATGAAAAATTATCGATGGAAAATAAATTGAGAAACTTTGGTAAGATAATAATATCATGAAAATATTAGTGAAAATGGATCTGCAAAACTTTGGTAGGATAATATCTCATGAAAAGAATTATGAAAAATTAAGCTGAAAAACTTTGGTAAGATAAAACTATCATAAAATATTAGTGACCAATTAATCTGCAAAACTTTGGTAAGATAACATCCCATGCAAATATCAGTGAAAGATTAAGCTGAAAAAACTATGGGTGAGAAAAGAATCTCACAAGAATAACTATATGAGAAATAAATGGTATTTTTGGTCCCTGTAACTATAACTTGCCGGATTTCTGATCTCGCGCCGCCCTGGGACTGAAGATGGAGAGGAGGATCGGCTGTTAATAGGTAGCTCCTCTCTCTTCCTTGCCATCATCGCCTGGCACAGAGAGAGAGAGAGAGAGAGAGAGAGAGAGAGAGAGAGAGGTGTACGAGAGTCCTTGTGTCAACCATTCCCATTTCCATGAGAATAAAGGCTGGTTGTTGTTGATGAGGGCGACCAAGGCCGGTCCGGGGTTAGAATTGAGGTGAGTTTGGTCCCTACCCAGTGACACCCAGGCAGAGGAGGGAGGAGCTTCCGCCGGCGGAGAGGGAGGGCAGCGGGAAGAAGGGTGAGGCATGGGGAGCAGAGGGAAGGGCGGCGCCGACTTCCTTTCGGAAGAGGAGCGTCTGGCGAACTTCGCACAGATCCCCACCACCTTCGGCCACGGGCTTCGGGCCTGCCTCCGCTGTCGCCTGGTGAAGACCTACGACCAGGTTTGGGTTCCCTCCCTCCAACGCCTCCCCTCTCTCTGCGTTCTCTTCGGTTTTCGTCTTCCTCCTCGCGCTTCCTGCTCTTGTTTCTTCAGTTAGGGTTTACTTGCCTCTTTGCTTCTGCGATGAGGCCCAATATTCCTCTGTTCAGGAGCGATATAGCTTGAATGAAGACTGTCCATCGGAAGAAAGTAGACTGAACGATGGAGATTGGATTTTGCATATTTTCTGACCGTTCATGGTAGGCTTTGGAGCATTGTTTTCTCGAGCGATCGCTGGCCTGGAGGGGATTCGCTGCCCTCTTTGCTGTGGCTCACATGAAAGTAGGTCATCCGGAAGTATATTATTGCTATACTTACGTAGGAATTTAATTTAATTTTCAGGCCTAATCTTGGGGTTTTTCCCTTTTTTCCGCTAATGCAAGGGGTTCATTTGGGTATAGAGGGACAACTCATGGATATTTTTTACAGGCTTTAGGAAATGGGGGTTGTTATTTTTTGAACACATGAATGAAGATCCGGGGTTTTTCATTCACAGTTGCCCAAGAAATGATCCCTTTGTTTTCTTAGTACAGTCTCTCTGGATCATCATGAATGTTGTGAAGCTGGTGATTTGGATTTTAGCCGACGGGAGAGCTAGAATTTCCCCCTGATAAGATGAGGGAGCCTTTTTATGCTCTATCTACTTGCCACCATTCTGAGGGCCATTCTTGCCTAGGATTATTGGCTTTTACTCTATTCTGCTTTGGTTACATTTCACTGCCTGCATGATTGTGTTCATCCTCTCCTAGGGTGCAATATTATGCCCTAACTTGTTGATTGTCTTTTGTTGTCCTTCACATTTGTCCAGTTCAGAGAATCAGGCTGTGAAAACTGCCCTTTTCTGGAAATGGATAAAGATCACGACAATGTGGTGAATTGTACTACGCCAAACTTTACCGGGTACTCCCTCTAATCCTTACTATTTTAATCATGTCGGACATTAATAATAATTCCAGGTCAAAACTTAGTTGTGTAACTTTTCTTTATAGTAGGGCTTACAGCAGACTGCTCCATAGATAGAAATAATTGGGGGTGAGGGTCATGATCCTCCCTTGAGGAATCTTTCTCTTTAAGGTGTAAGTTTCTTTGTGACAGGTTATCTATCTCCTTTTACAATGAAGTGCCATGGTCATGTATTTAAAACTCTGTAGGTTTTATGCTATGCTGGACGATAATGCAGGGGCTATGTTATCCAGGTCGCATGGGAGAATTGAGTTCTTGACCAGCTTGGCTGCCTGAACTCTTTTTCATTCATTAGATATTTTTTCTTAATTTCTGTTTCAACTCCAACGAACGATTGCTGATCCTCTGCGGGGTTTGTTTTCTCGTAAAATTTGGGAGCCCGCCTGTTTTTTTTTTTTTAATGTCTTTCGGGAAATTTACATGTATAATGGCTGCTTCTCTTTGATGAATGAGCACCTGGTTTACCGTCTAAAGATCTAACTATGATTGAAAATACAGTGAACAAATGGAGACGATTTGTGTTTAGCTTGGATTGATCCTGTTTTTCATTTTGATTTTTTTTAACATTTCAGGATAATCTCAGTCATGGATCCAAGTAGGAGCTGGGCCGCTAGATGGCTGAGGATCGGTAGGTTGAACTGTTCCTAGTAGGACCTGTATTCATATTCCATTTATTTATACTCCAAACATTAATATATTCATTGCTTTTAAATTAAATGTCCTTTTTTCTTTGTCATTATAGTTTGATTGCCTGTTTTTCGCCTCATTAGATCTCGTGATTGCATCTTATCGTGAGTTTTCGTGCAGTGTATGATTGAATGAGCTGACTCTCACATTTCACTACATTTGCAGGGAGATTCATTCCTGGTTGCTATACTCTCGCGGTCTCAGAAGAGCTGCCAGAAGAATATAAGGTCCTTGCCCTTAAATCTATTGTTGAAGAATACTAGGACCCGTCAAAGCCTTTTTTCGATTTTTGGATTTGATTTCCAGGGCCACTGAAGCCATTAACCTCCATTCTTCTTCTTCTCCTCCTCCTCCTCCTATTTCTGTTTCTGGATTTGATGTCCAGGGGCACCAAGGCCATTAATCTCCCTCTGTAAAACCCTTTTCCTCATCATCATCGTCATCATCTTCTTCTTCTTTTTAAAATTTTAATGTGGCTTCTGAAACTGCCGTGTGATATATTCTTGGGTTTCTTCCTTAGAACATCTTCTTCTTCTTCTTCTTCTTCTTCTGCTCATTCCTTAGAACACCCGTTTTCTTCTTCTCCTCGTAATTCTGTTTTTTGATTTGACTTCCAGGGCCACTAAAGCCATTAATCTCCCTCTATAAACCCCATAAACCCTTTTCATCATCATCATCATCATTATCATCGCCTTCTTCTTCTTCTTTTTTAGATTTTAATGTGGCCTCTGAACTGCCGTCTCATCTGTTCTTGGGTTTCTTCCTCAGAACATCTGTGCCGACAACAATGTGCAGTATGTCCCACCGAAGGCCCGGAGCTGATGCTCCCTTCGATTTCCATGGTGCTTCATGTCCACCCGCCATAACCCACTCGGTTGCTTCTTCATCATATGTACTTCTGCTCAGAAATAGCTTTTCTAAAATGCTTTTTTGTTTTGTTTTGGTGGCAAGGTCATGAGCTCTAAGCCTGGAGAGAATTATCCCCCCCCCCCCCCAAAAGAAGGTGCTTCCTGTCCAGCTTGATCCCTCCGGTTTTTTGCTTAGTTAGATTTATTTATTTATAAATAAAAAATACCCGTTCCAAGGCTATTCTTTATCTGGTCCAAAAAAGCGCAGAAAAATTTTCTGCTCTAAATATATCTAACCTGCCTCTTCATTGAGACCTCTGGTCTAATATTTATGCAATTTATTGATATAATTCCCCACCGAAAAGGCATTCACATGCTAAACACCCACTTCTGGAAAAAAGAAAAAAACACAGAAAAATAATATTTTCGAAAAAATAAACAACAGAACAAAGCAATAAAGTCCTCGTATGTTCCCCATATTTCGATGACATTTTAACCAAAGTAAAAAGGTTATGAAGTGTATTATTATGAATATATAATATCTCAGGCACAGTACACCGGCGCCAAAGAGGGCTTGAAGAGGAACGGCCTGACGGTGTGCGAGTAACCGGAGGGGCGGGTGTAGGAAAACTTGACCCCCGCACGGGCGTCCGCACGGCGGGAACAGTCTGGGTGGGGTCCGCCGATCGGCCTCACAAGGCACGACGACCACCGGTCGACCTCTGGCATCGTCTCCGCCACTGTGTAGGCCCCCTTTGAGTCCGTGAAGGCCTGATAGTTGACTACCTCCCCAGACTCCGTGATGCATAGGACTGCCACCTCAGCACCTGTGGGAGTATTATGCCCGATCCATGAGGCAGAAGAAGAAGATGAAGTCAGCGAGGATGAACATTTCTAAATATGGTGATCATGGATCATCTGAGATGACAAATTTGATCTCGGATTATAACATCTTTGGCAGTTTACACTTTTCTTTTTTGTTGTTTGGAAGGGTCTGAGAGAGATGCCACAAGAACAAGGCTCTTCTGTCTGGGATTACATTTGGATGGTGGAAGAACACAGAATGATCTCTTTTCCTAAGATTATTATTATTATTATTATTTAATAAATCTATTACTGCACGGGAGTATAATAAGTTAATGAGAAAAATGGTAGAATCTGTGAGAAAATTAAATTTCCACACCCTCGAGCAGAGATCAAATGAAGCCATGATCAGCCAAAATCATGCTATCAAGTAGTAGAAGCTGAGATTAATCTTTCCCTTTTTGATGCCCCGAACAATCACCTCAACAGTCTGTTTTCTGCTTTGGTGTGAACCAGATGACAAATCAGTCGCATCACCAGAGCGAGACCCAGAATCAGACTGGAGAAGTTTCTGGCTGGGAATCTGGGTGGAGATCACGATGATGTTTCCTCATTAACCCAAAGTTCATTTTTGCTCACATATACTCATAACCCTCTCATTCACCAAAAATTATGGCGATTTTTTCCCATATATAACCCTCACCCAAACTTGGACACCAAGCACATAGAAAGTCAACTACTTCGGTTCCTTTCAGGTCAAGAGATACATGTGCTTGTCCCCAAACAGGAGACTCTGTTCAGAGTTAGAAGGGAGGTTAGAGGAGAAATTTACTTCCTTCCAGCACAGAGAGGTACTAGAGGAGGATGCAGCAGCTTAAGCACGTAAGCAGTAGAGGGAGGGAAGGAAGGAAGAACTAGATCAAGGATGGGCCCTAGGGGTTGGTTAGTTTCCTCTACATCTTTGAGAGTTGACATCAATGTTCCCTTCTGCAAACCTGGCAGATCAATGGCATCTGTGGTGTTATCAGCTAGTTGACTCATACATCGTGCTGAATTCAACTCAAGTCAACAACCAGAACAACTGAGAAAGGGTTCCACCAGCAAGCTTAAATTAAAGTCTTTCACTAGTCAAAACAGTTTTGGGGTCTTCCGTCATTCTTGGATCGATCAAATTCAATGGGCACTGGCTAGTATGCTCACTATGTTTACCTACATAATGCTAGTCAAAGCTGATGGAAAGCACCTTCAAAAGTTCCTTTCATGTCACCCAAAAACTTTCCTCCATGAATCAGTACCACCGAAGCACTTCATCCAACATAACATCTCTAGAGTATGATATCAAGCTATTTTCAAAGAACTGTTCACTTGATAAATCTATCCAGAAAAGACATGTCCGCTGAAAAGAGGAGATCGAATCGAGTAATCAAAAGCCGGAGGATGCTTGTTTTTCTTCAGCACGATATCAGTGTGGATGAAAATTTCCCACTGGTAGATGATGACTCTTCCGGAAAGGAAGGTGATCTCAACGTGTGATTTAAGTGTGCCTGGATCTGCTAAGAGCGATGGTTCTTTGTGAAAAGCCTCCCACACCCCACAAAAAATTGGGAATTCATGAACTGGCTCGGAGAAGTAGGAAATTCTCGAATTTACTGGCGCTAAGAAGACTAACCAGGAGAAAGAAGAGAAGGATAATTATTAAAGGGAGAATTAAGAGGAGAAAATTTGACGCCAGTATGACATGATCGAAGAGTTCAGATTTCAGTTCATCCTCATCCGGCGAAGCAACCACATCTGCTGTGAAATTCAGGATCTCGCTCTAAGATACGATAGAGAGCGAGAGAGGGATGGGGGAGAAACCTTTGCAGAAAAGCACAAGAATAAACAGGAAGTTCTCTCACAATGGAAGAAGGGAAGACGGATCGCTTGAGGATAGTACGAGATTAAACCGGAACACCCCCGAGATAGATAGAATCAGACAGAAGCACGCAATCAATCTGAAACGAGAACGCGAGACAGAAAGTGAACCTGCCAGGGCGTGATCCTCTGGCCCGATGGAGGAGTCCCCGCAGACGTCGCAGAGGACCCTCCCGTTGATCTCCCCCGTCCACGCCCCAACTCGACCCACGAGGAAGAGCATCAGCAGCAGCAGCATCTGCATCTGCGGGGGCACCGATGGATCCGACATCCCCTCAACCCTTCCCCTTCCCACTACCTTCTTCCTCTCCATCCCTTGCCCTTACCCTCCCAACCAGCTCGCCGGAAAAAGTACATACAACGAAGAGAGAAAGAGAGAGAGAGAGAGAGAGAGAGAGCGAGCCCAACGAAATGGGCCGATTGCTCAGGACGAGGCCCGGGGGGGACACGAAAGAGGGATTATAAACGATTTGGTCGAAGCAGGGAGAGGGAGAAGTGGGAATCTGGGGCGCTTCAGTATTGTCTTCGTTTCTTCAAGATAGTTTGGGGGCTTTCTCTATGCATCGCCTTCATTTTCATCTGCTTATCTTCGACATTTACCAGGGATCACTCCAGGACATGTTCTTTGCTTGTCCATAATATCCTCCACAAAGAACTAAGATCCAGCAACTGGTGCTCATTTTTATGGTTCTTTAATAGCGCATTCAGCTGTCTTATAGGGTGGGTTTTTTCTCTTTCTCGTAAATTCCTAGTCTTTTTCATCATTATCTCTGTTATAGGAGAGATTTGGAACCCTATTTTACTAGGGTTTATTTTTTGGGTGGACGACTACTTTTACGTCGGATGGATGCCGAGATTACTGATAACTATTGCCTAAAATTCACTTGGTGAAAGAAATGCAAATTAGGGTTACAACATTGATCACATTCAAGTGTTTTCTTGTATGAAAGAAAAGAAGATTCAAGTGTTTGTAAAATCAGTAAAGCCTTGATGGGTTTGACTGATAATCTTTCTCTTTTACTGTTCTTCCACTTTCTCATTGGAGGTGTTGGACTCGAAAGAAAAATTTTATCGAACAAGTGTGAGCTTGAGAAGACTAACTAGGAAGAATAATGAAGTCTGGAGAATGAGATTTTTCTTGAGTGGAATTGGGGAGAATGAGAAAATATATATTGCAGGGACTGAATTGGTTCTGGCATAGACTGGTGGAGAATCTCTAAAAGAATCAAGAACCAAATGTTTTTCTAGCCCCCTATACAATTGAGTCTCCTTATTTATAACCCTCACCCCTTCCCTTCCCATGTGGGATGCTTTCTAACCTCCATATGTAGTGGTTGGATCTGTAAAATTTAGAATCTTCTTCCTTCTTGAATAGGTCTTGATTGGAGGCTTTGTAATATTCCCTCCCACGACTTTCACCTTGCCCTAGAGGTCAGACGCTGATAACCACTTTTCAAAGAGCAGATATGGGTTCTCATGAGGCTTCAAAGTTAGATAAGTGCTGCCACTTGATGAGAACTTCCAAACTTGCTGGACAAGTCCTCAAGATTAGTACATCTTTTAGGTGGATAATCATCCCTTGGTTGTTGTATTAAGAGATGATAGATTTACAAGGTAAATTCATAGAAAAAATAACAAATTATGATAATTTATTTTTTTCTAAATAAATTTTAATTTAAATAAAAAGTAAAAAATAAGACTAATGAAAGAAACAATAGAGAAGGAGAGCAGGAGAGATGTTTTGTGCCCAATCGGGCATGACCAACTCCTCCCATCCCTTGTTACTTACAAATTATTAATATGCAGTAAGATAGTAAAAATTAGTTAATCTAATTTACAGTTAGTAAATAAAATTGAGGAGATAGAGAAGAGGAGGAGGAGAGAGAAGAGAACACAATTAGAGAGAAAAGACTTCATCCTCTACTTCTCCCACTAAGGGAGAAATGAACAATTTATTTAGGAAAAGTTATGCAAAAATAGACAAAAAAAAATATAAGGAATAAGGATCACAAACAAGTTTAAAATTGATCGAATACAAGAAAATATTAAGAAAATAAAATTTAAATAGATTAAAAATCTAAAATCTCCCTATGACAACAAATATGAGGCAAATGAATGAATTCAAATTCTAGGGCAAATCAATTAGTTTTTGATGCATGAATCAATTTTTAAATAAAGATATAACTATTATGAACTCAAAAAATATAAACAATTAAATATAAAATAGATTGGAAATAAGGATTTTCCTTCTTTGACACTGATGATTGATGGACAAACAAATTCAAACAAAATCTTGAATAAAAATCTTAGAAATAAATTATTTCCTTGATTCAGTAAATGTTACCTAATTAAATAAAGGAAAAAAATCAAAATGAAATAAAAGTAAAACTTTTAACCAAAACAACATGAGAAATCAATGAAGAACTAAGAGAACACTATCATTTGTCACCCAATGAAAGGATAGAAAATAATATTTTTGCACTAAATTAGAGATTTATATACTTCCATTAGATTTAGAATCAATCATAGGTAGTTAGAAATCAACTTTCTTAAAAAATCATTTGATTTTCTGTGAGAATCACCTTTCATTTCTCTATTTGTTTCTTTGCCCATTTCTTTAGATGTTCCTAGTTGTTTCCACCAATTTCTGCTCATTTCTGACCATTTTTGCTCTTTTCTGCCTATTTCAGCTCATCTCTCTTTCCTTGAATTATTTTAATTAAATAAATCAACCCAATGGACCTCTCAATAGGTTCCCTTAATGTGCTCCTTAATGGGCCATAATACCATCAGAAATCAATACACATCTTAAAGATATTCTGAAAAATCACCATTTTTTAAAAAATCATTTATATCTAAGACAATGCATCCAACAATTGCATTCTGATTTAATCTTTATTATGATTTATTTAAGGAAAAAAATAAACTAAAGCATATTAATGCATAATAAAGAAATATTCAAAGTATAAACATGCTCTAAAAGTATACAAAAATCATAAATTAAACATGTATTTCATGAGATTAATATAAAATATAATTTAATTAATTTTTCATTTTTTAAAATGAATTAGTGCATCAAATATGATAAATATGCAGCACTTGTCACTTAGAAATGACATGCTATTAGTGAAGCTCCTATTCTATCTTGTGAATTAGGAAAGGAGGTAGAGGTTGATTGTGCTGAAGAGGTCTCAATGCCCTACATAGGTCAGACACATGAAACACAAGGTGGAATGATGACTAGGGTGAAAGGTTTAGCCTATGTGCCATAGGTCCAATTTTCTCTGAGATATGATAAGGCTTGAAATATTTTAGGCTATGCTTCTTGTTTACTTTTTTAGCAAGAAATTTCATCCTATAGGGCCTAAGTTTTATATAAACATAGTCATCAACATCAAATTGAATGTTCCTTCTATGCTTATCCACCTATGTTTTTATTTGGGTTTGAGCCTACTTTAGATGCAACTTATCTAGGTTAAGAGTTTGATCTCTCTTGGTGAGAAATCGATCCACCATATTTATGGAGGAAGCTAGAGATTTGTAATAAGTGTGTGCACATATCTTTTATGTACTGCCTTAAATAGTGTCATCCTTATGGATGTGTGTACGAAGTATTATAGCTGATTTCAGCCTAATTTAATCATGGTGATCATTATTTATGCTTCTTTGATGCTAAGTAATTCTCTAACCACATATTAACAACTTCAAACTAATTATTGATTTAGGGATGATTTGATGAACTCATCTGCAATTCAATCCCTAGAAGAGTGTATAACTCTTACAGTAGTGTGCTAATAAAAATACTATCATGGTTAGAGATTATAGACTTTAGAAAGTCGTGTAATCTTATAATCTCATTTGAAAAGAATTTTGCAACATCTTTGGCCAAGGAGTGTTTTAGAGAAATAAAATGACTATTCTTAAAAAATAGATTGATAACCACAAAGATAAAATCATACCTTGTTGATCTGGGCAAAAAATTGATGAAGTCTATTGACAAATCCTCTCATATTTGATTTGGAGTGGGCAAAGACTATACTAATCTTGATGGAGCCAATGAGGATGATATGTGTTGTTGGTAGATTGATCAATTATTCTTGACCAATTAATGTATTAGTTGTTGGTAGATTGATCAATTATTCTTGGCCAATTAATGTGTTAAGTCTTAAGGTAGCTGGAGTCTCCTCTCAATATGTTATCATGTAATTCAATCAAAAATATTCAAATAAAATATGAGGAAGGAGGTGATATTAACATACCCTTATAAATGAAGGATCCTTAGCATATGAAATATTTCAACAATGATCTTGATTTTTTGAGTATGAATTGATCTCATTGAATGAGTGTCCCTTTCCACTTCTTGATTGATGATGATGACGTCAAAGAAATGAGAAGTATATACTATGGTATTTTGAGTTGACGAAAATAGGAGATCTTGAGATAGGATCTACAACCTTGTTCATTTTCCCTTATATTTAATTTCGAAATTCAAGCCCATTAACTTTGTCAGCCACTTGTGGTAGTCAAGATGGATCTCTTTCTGATCAAATAAAAATTTCAGGCTATAGTAATCAATTAATATAATAAAGTGCTATAACATCAAGTAATATTTCTGCTTATGTAATATCTAACTATGAAAATCAGTTCCATCTCATACATTTATTTTTATCTCAATTTCACTAGTAATGTTTGACTAAAGTAAGCAATGGATTTTAAATGCTATATAAGCACCTCCCCAATTCTAAAGGGATCTATTTCAATGATGAAGGGTTGAGAGAAATTGAGTAAAGATAACATAGACATCGGAGGACATAGTTTGACCAACTTAAAGCATCTCTTTTCAAGATTTATGTAGTTAGACAATTGATATGTATGCTATCACAAGTATATAGTAATAATTGACCAACCACAACAACCCTCTTAACTCACACTAGATGGGTAGATAATTAAGGGGGGGGGGGTGAATTAGTTTTTAATTTTTCTTTGAATTAATTAAAATAATTCTACTTTTATTATCTTGTATCTATGAATATCTCATTTATATCTCTATATTAATAAATACATATTAAAAAAAATAAATAGAAGATGATTCACACTTGATTTTAAAGTAGTATGGCCAAACTCCTTTAACTTATCTCCACTTTTGAGGACTCCACCCCGATTTTATTATTTTACTCTTGGAATACACTTTGATCTTGGAGCATTGAAATGGGTTGATAGAGATCAAGATTTATTTTTAGAGTAACGATTGTCTCTTGAAAATCATATTCT